ATAACTGTTTTCTATTTTAATCAATTTAAAAATATAATTTATTTCTGAGATGCAAAGCTGAATTTTCAGCATCATTACTACTATCAGCATCTTCAGTTTCACTTGATCCTTCAGAAATCATTCTAATATGCTGATTTGCTGCTCAAGAAACATTTCGTATCATTTCTTATTAAAATAATTATTTTCTTCCAAGCATGCCAAAATGGTCAAATATTGGTCGTTGAATAGGTCTGGCATATATATATATATAGCGTTATGTCACTAGTCTAGTCTACTCACTAGTCTACTTTTACAGGTTAAAATGCATTACATTCAAAGTTGGCTGTTTTCGTTGTATTTATTGCTAAGTTTTAACACTAGGGTTGGCGATTACTAAGCGGTCACAAGGCCTAAAGTACGTCAGGCTTCCTCTGGTGATGCTAGAACATAAATTTGACTAATTTCATCTCATCTGTACCTCTGTGTATTACGTTTGAGAACAGCAGCATCTTTGCCATAACTTTCGATCTCTTGTCCTCTGCTGGACAGCAGACATTTTCTGAAGTAAAAACCATGCACAACTACCTACTGGTCTTCCTCTGGGCCAGAGGAGGTCATTTTATTTTGGACATTGGTTTTTACAAACTGTATGTCGTATTTGTGTTTTTGTGCCAGATGTTCTGTAATAATATTCTTGGCCCAAGCTTATTTTTGTAGACTTTTAACAGCACATCAGTATCTCCTTTTGATGATGTCGCCTCTAAATAACTTGGAATAATTTTGAGTGTGTATATATTGTGAAATTGTTGTGAAATTTGCACCACCTTATTTTCTTGGCCTCATAGATGTAATATGTCTGTCCCTTCAGTGGACTTTATTCACTGCTGTACATGATTCTCTATGGAAAAATCCCCTCTGGTCTCTCTGTCAGTAACTCGATCTGAAGCTCAAAACATGTCGTCACTGTGAAACGTGTCAATATTGGATGTTCAGGGTAGTTATACCTTGTGAGGGCAAAAGAATTAGGAAATTTCAATAATAAAATAATGAAACTTGCCATCAAACACTGAAAATGCGTTCATGTGTGTTTATTGACATATGATGTTTGAGGCAGGAGTTTGCAGAGCTCAAATGGTAAGTTCTACTCCAATTCTATTTTCCCGAAACATTTTTTTTTTTCCAGCTATTAATTAGACACCTTTCCTGGTCACTTTACTGACGCATTAGTAAAATAAAATAAAAAATACAATAAGGATCTGAATAGTCTTGTGTCAGAATAATATCATCTTAAACTGTTTTTTTTGTCACTTATTTAAAAAATTGTAGATATTTTGTCACTTTTATTTCAGTTTGAAGTCCCAGGAAAGCATAATCATTTAGTTGTAATAGGTTTTTAGACTATTTGATGCCATGGACCCTCATATATGATGATCCCCTTGCAGAGGACTCGCTTCCTGAAACAAAGCCTGTTATGAGGGTAGGACTCCTATGTGTGAAAAATAGTAAGTCTTATAATAAGACATTAATAATAAGCATTTTAATGTTTATGTTCCTCCAGTGAATCTTGGCCATTTCCACCACTGGCGATGGTAATTATATTTTGGTAGAAGAACCAGGATTGTCGCTAGGTCATTTTTACTGGAGAACAAGCCCCAAGTAAAATACCGCTGTATTTAACCAGTAAAATATTATTTATAAACCTTTGTTTTTGATCTGATAATCATTTTGTGTGTGGACTACTGTTGGTAAACTGTCCCAGTCGCCTTGCTATACCAATTTGGACCTTGTCAAAGTCACTCAGATCTTTACTCCTGGCCATTTCTTGAACCCCATATTGGTCTGAGGGCTGACACACTGCTACATAAAGTGCCTTAGCTCAAGTAGAAAAAAATCGTACAAAATCAGCAGTTTTTACAGTGTACTCTGATAAATTATAACTTGTAAACCCAAATGTAATCTGCTGCAAACATGCAACAAAACTTCAATTTTAGAATGGTTGAACCCAACTGTTACAGGTATAATATAATCACCATCTGTTTTACTTCTAAATAATATATAAATTGAACAAAGCATGCTGCAAATCAACTTTAATGTAAATCAAATGTGAATTGAATTGAATGTGAATCAAATTGAATGTAGATCAGTGTGAATGCAATCGAATGTGATTTGAAAATGAATGTGACTTGAATGTGAATATGAATGTGACGAATCGAATATAAATCACATGTGAATCGAATCAAATGTGAAATAATCTTGAATCAAATATGAATTGAATGTGAATGTGGATCAAATCTGAATCGAATGTTAATCAAAGCGAATGTGAATTGAATGTGAATCAAATTAAATGTGAATCGAATTTGAATTTAATCGAATCAAATCTAATGTGAATCTAATTGAATGTAAATAGAATGTGAATGGAATAAAATGTGACTCAAATGTGAATTGAATGTGAATCTAATTGAATGTGAAGTGAATTGAATCGAATGTGAATGGAATCAAATGTGAATCGAATATGAGTCGAATAGAATGTGAAGGGGACGATTCTGGAATCCACTGCAGCTTCAATGTATATATATTGAGTGATTATAATCAAGGTATTAATCAATATTTTTCCTTCTAAATATCACGAGTTGAATGACTTCTCTAGGCTTACGGGATTTTATTTTGTTATAGAAGTTACCGGTGTGATTACTGAAATGTTCTTTTCATGTATTCTCTAATTTCTGTATTTGATATCTGAGAGGTGACTGTATCTCTGGCCATGTCTTTTTGGGAAGAAAAGTTTACTGTTAGATTAAAGTGTCCTCTCATTGAGAGAAAGAACATGTTATCTTGATGTTTTGAGAAGACTCTTAAGGAACAAGTGGCATTACAATATAATTATACATTTATTACAATTTATAATAACATTGTAATAAACATAACACTGTAATGTGTAATTACATTGTAATAAACGTATAATTACATTGTAATAAATGTATTATAACACTATAATAAATGTATAATAACACTATAATAAATGTATAATTACATTGTAATAAACGTATAATTACATTGTAAAAAAGTATAATAACACTGTAAAACATTTTTAATAACATTGTAATAAATGTATAATAACAACCTTGAAAAGAATCGCTACTTTTTTTAAATGAATCGCTACTTTTTAAAAAATGAATAATGTAACAAAATAATAATGTAACATGTATAATAATAATGTAACATGTATAATAACATTTTAATAAACATAATAACACTGTAATGTGTAATTACATTGTAATAAACGTATAATTACATTGTAATAAATGTATAATAACATTGTAATAAATGTATAATTACATTGTAATAAATGTATAATTTTGTAATAAATGTATAATAACACTAATACATGTATTACACTGTAATAAATGTTTAATTACATTATAATAAATGTATAATTACAGTGTAATGTATTACACGACCACTCATTTATTACAATGCAATAAATGTATTACATTGTAATAAACGTATAATTACATTGTAATAAATGTATAATTATATTGTAATAAATGTATAATTATATTGTAATAAATGTATAATAACACTGTAATAAATGTATTACATTGTAATAAACGTATAATTACATTGTAATAAATGTATAATTATATTGTAATAAATATATAATAACACTGTAATAAATGTATTACAATGTAATAAACGTATAATTACATTGTAATGTATAATTACATTGTAATAAATGTATAATTACATTGTAATAAACATAATTACATTGTAATAAATGTATAACTGTAAACATTGTTCAATTACATTGTAATAAATGTATAATAACAACCTTGAAAAGAATCGCTACTTTTTCCAAAAAGAATCGCTACTTTTTTCAAAAAGAATCGCTCCTTTTTAAAAAAGAATCGCTACTTTTTCTATCCGTATATTCAAAGCTACATTCATCCAAAATTAATCAATACGTTTATTACGTTTTATTATGCCATCCAGTATTGTGGGCTCTCGCGTTTCATACAAACACAGCTGCTGCTATTTTGTGACTATTGTTTTGTAGGAACCAGACCTTGGAGCAGTGGAAGAAGGTCGCCTTGTCCGATGAGTCACGTGGACAGCCATGTGTGTGTGAATGCTCTGCTGGGAAACCCTGGGTCCAGCCGTTCATGCAGACGTTAATCTACCTAATTGTAGGTGACCATTGTTGTGACTGTACACCCCTTCATGACAATTGTGGTCCTGATGAAAGTGACCGCTTTAAGAAGTATAATGCACCCTGCCACAAATTGTTCAACAGCATAGTAGGCAGGTGGTCATATTGTTTTGGTTCATTATTTTCTGTATTTCCATATTGCATGAAATGATCATACACTTTTTTTCCAGTTTTATTTAGATGTAATGTAAATATAATCGTTAATGCCTTTTAAAGAATTCTGTGCATTACATATGTATACAGGCATTATTTGACAAGATAAATCTCTAAAAAAAAAATATGCACACAAAACATGTAACACACCCACACAAAATAAATGGATATGGGGTTAAAAGTAGAATGCATTACAGATCCATGTTCCTGTCACTGACCAACTTTCAAAATTTAAAACAGAAGAATAACTAACTTATGATAAATACATAATTAAAATAAGATTGTTATATTATAAAATAATATAAGACATTAGTCAATATATTAGTGACACCATAGAGGCATCCCTCTAAATAAAAATCAACATCACGACAGAAAGAGCAGCAGAAATAGACTCACTGTCCTAATACTGTATTGTGAGTGGAAAATATGAATTTGCATATTAAAGATTGTAATCCAAACATAACAGTCATTTTCAAAATCATTTGTGTTTTATAACACATTCCACACTCAACACAGTGGGCATGTTACCAGCTTAAGAAATGACAAGTGAAAATGTTTATGTTGTTTCCCGAATAACAGAAAACCAAACAGACTCCAACTTGACCATTGGGGGACACCCAAATTTTCCTGTGGAAAAATATTTTTTTGCAGGACTAAAATAGCCCATTATTGCCATTACAGTACACTGATATTAATATATCAAGGCCAGCTTGTTACTATATCAAAAGCCTTGATTGTTGCATATGCATTTTAAATAGGAAACTGTGAAAACTCTAAATTCAGCTATACAGAGCAGTGAGTTTAAAACAGTTGTCTTTCGATAAAGTATTGCATATATAATATTTAAAATATTCACCTGGCCAACAAGCCCAAGGTACATGTTTTTTAGTTACATTAGGGGTAGTCTTAACTATACATTTATCAATGACAGGGCAAGATTCCTGTGGATCAGTATATGTCCGGTACTTGGGAATAATCACGGTCCCAGTAACCACTGGAGAACAGCCAGTCCTGAGAGCCATTGTGTGGATTTGGACCTTGATGAAACCACCTGTTTTGGGCAATGTGAAAAGGTTCAGATCAGCAAACGAATAAAACCACTGATAGTTGATTATAACAGACCGTCTCTTGGTGTTAGTCAACTCAACAGCCAAACATACTTAAGAAAATTATTCTTTTCGGACCCCTTATTACAATAATCTCTTTCTTCATTTAAGAGATTCAGTGGAGCATTTGGCTGTAACACTTAAACCGGGTGTAAAGTTTCACCCTGCTCTCGCAGTGGAAGGCCAGGGAGCTCTGTTTACATTGTCTTATTCCACATTAAAAATAGATTGTCTAAGGGGACATAAAAAACACTCATTCCATTGGTGTGACGTCTCATTTACATATGATAATCTAAAAAAAGACTATAGAAGAGACTTACTATATTATACTTATGTATAAATTTGGTGTAATACTAGTATTAAATTATTTTTTTGCATCACAAATAGTCAATAACTAACTATTTGAGGTATAAAAAAAACTTTTTAAATCATAATGGCCCACACATAAAACAAATGGTTTACTATAATTGTGTTGTTACAAATTGTTGCAAATATTTTTCTACCACAAAAACCCTAAATGTGCAGTAATTACAGACTGTGGTTACAAAGATCCCAGGAGTGATTCAGGAGTGAAACAGCAGCAGTTTAATGAGAAGGACAGAGCAACAAAGCAAGTGTCAAACCTGGAGCCCGAGGCGACGTTTCTGTTCACCGCAGTCACAGGATGGATGACAATGCCAAAAGAAATGAAAGGGAAAATGGGGTTAAATTCAAAAGACAGTGTCCAGTTAACCAGGACTAAGAGTGCTATTAAACATCAATGAGTTACTTAAGTAGATACTGTTAAGCTCTTGATAGAAAAATAAATGACTAAATTTAGTGTGCATAATAGAATTTGTTACACTGTAAAAAGTGATCAGTTGACAATGTAAAAAAAGTGAGGAAACCTATAGCCTTAAAATTGTTAAGTACTAAACTTCATGCTTAATTGAAAAAATTAAGTTATGCAAACTTAACAATTCCACAAAACTGATTTTTTTTCAATTATGCATGAAGAATGAGTTTCCTAACTTTCTTTAAGTTGTCAACTGATCAATTTTTACAGTGGATGCAGTTAGTCACAAGCAAACCCTAATTTTACACAAAAAAACTGTGTTTACATGTGCATAGTAACTGCAGTTAATTTTACAACATTTTACATGGTATTTGCCAACACTTTCATCAAAAAATTAGATTCTGAAAAACAATGTTTGAAGGAGATCCCATTTTTTATTGAATATGATTTTTGAGTACTAACAATAACTGTAGCAACTTTTGGAAAAAGCGAACAGCAAAATGATTGTGTGAAAATACAAAACTGTAATATGATATTTCTGCACCTCGTCTTCCACTCCTCATCCGACTTAGAGCGATTCTTACGTGCCGCCCTCTGTTTCTCTTCCAATCGCTTCTTCTCCTCACTAGCCAGGTCTGGGATGATCAAAAAAGAAAGAATATTTCAATGTTGCTGGTTTGCGAGAAGTTCTACAGATATGTAATGTAATATGACATCATAAGCACATCATCAGCAATGGCACAAAGATGCACACAGGAAAGCGCATACCGATGTCTCCGTTCTCCATGGCTCGAATGTCCGGCCTCAGTCGGCTGTCGGATTTTGGGATGACCGTTTCAATCTCTTTGACCAGCTCATTGAGTTGCATTGCGAATGTAGTGAAGTTGTACATCTTTTTATATGCAAATAAAACCATAATATATATAAAAAATGAGAAGATAATAAGAAACAAATGTAGAAAAAAAAGCTCAGATGACAGCATTTGTGGCATAATGCTGATTACCACAAAAATTAATTCCGACTCGTCCCTTCTTTTTAAAAAAAAAAAAGAAAAAAAAGAAGAAAAAAATCAAGGTTACATTGAGCCACTTAGAAAGGAAGTTAATTTTTGGAGATGTTAAAAGCTCATAATTTTATAAAAGCACTTACATTAATGCTTCTGTTAAAACTTGGCTTGTCATGGCTACGAAAGTTATAAAACTGGATATAATTTTACACAGTGTAGTACATATTTTTATCAGTCTAAAATCACATCAACACTCATATTGTTCACGTCTTGCGGCTATACTATTGAAACCATGATTATTTGAACATTTACAAATTGGCCCCATTCACTTCAATTGTTTCTTCAAAGGTTTCTCAGAGCGACAACTATTCTGGAACCGACCTGGGTAGAGTTTGCTGGTCTAGGTGGAATTCTCCAGAGCAACTGACTTCCTGGGATCACATCCAGTGAATCTCCACCTGGTTGAGGCGTTTCTTCTGAGTCTGATGTCTGAGAAACACCAAGAAAACAATTATAAAACATGTAGTGCATCTCTTACATTTAGCCTTATTAGTCTGGCTCTATTACAATAGACGGGTATCTTGACGAATGTTGTATGAAAACGTTCAGAAACACCTGTTTACTGCTTTTCTTGTCTTCCGACGCTTTTTTATCATTCTTCTTTTGAGTTTCGAACAGAACTGGGTCGACTATGTACATGCACTCCGTCCATTTCCCGTAAAGGATGAAAACCTTCTTTTTGCTATGTGGAATTAACAAATAATCAATATAAAATGACGTTGACATTTATCATGGAAATTAAACTCTCAATTCAAACCACTGACCTCTTGTCCAGGATGTAGCCTTCAACCTTATGCAATTCTTTCCCAAAAAGGCCACACGGTTTGAAATTCAAACAGCATTTTTCACCAGTTCTATTGGCAAATATCAGTCAAAATGATCCATCAAGGGTCAGCATTAATAGAGTTTGTAAATTGAAACCAGAACTAGTAGATTTCATCAAGTTTGTAAAGTGAAACCAGAACAGTCTGGTTGATACCTGTGGTTGATAACCTCCACACTGCCATACTGTTCGATCCACAGCTGTCCCACGATGATGTTGTGGACACAGCACGTGGGGTTCGTCCATGTGTAAGCCTCATTATGCCTGTAACAAGTTTAATATGACAGTTACTAAAACAATGGATGTCTCTGTGCGACAACTCGTGAGCTGTTGGAATTATGTGTTTTTTAAGGCAACACTATACTATAAATGTCAAAATGAATCTGCAGTGGTCAGGTAGTATAGCAGTCACATGATACAAGTCGGAGCTCTCCAAAAATTCTGAGTTTAAAAGTTGTAATTAGGAGTTCTACAAAGACGTAAACACTTTTTACAAGTCAGAATTTCGTAATTACAATTCCACCATGGTGTGAACTCGCTTATTGGAATGAGGTTAAGACCAAATTCATGTGCATACAAATACTAAACAATCCACGCAATTATTAGCAAATGAGAACCAATGTGCGAATATCAGTAAAAAGCTATCGCAAACACTTACTTAGGAAGTTCTAGAGTGATGATGCCCTTAGGTTCGGCCTCCACGCTTTTCCCCCAGAACTTCAGTTTGGGGTAGATTGAGCCATGAAACACAAAGTCCTTCTGCAATCCCTCGGCATGAAAGGCGCTGACAGGAGGATGGTGGCTCACTTGTTCCGATATCAGCCGGAAACCAAGATCATCCCTGAAGGATGAGGAAAAAACATGGTAATTGTCCCTGATATATTGATATTCACACACACACTAAGTGGAAAAAAGGTACAGTTGCAATGCTAATGTTAATGCTAACATGAATGCTAACACTTTCACATTCAAAAAAAGCAAAAGTCACATTTGTGGCTCAAAATTTTGTGGGTCCATTGCCTATTCACTTTAGTGTAGCAATGTATGAACCACGGCTCACACACAAGTTACTTTTAAACCAAACTACTTTTGCTGGTCAGCGCGACGAATTTACATGATTGTGAAATCTGTTTGTGAAATCTTTCGCTCCTGTGTGAAATTCCAGATCGAGTGGATTCATATTGAAATGACTGATTCAGCCTGTGAAAATTCACCGAACAATGGTAAATGTGACTGCACCGTAATGCTAACGTCAATGCTAATAAACTAACATTCAATCTCTCACCTGACTAGCTCGTATGTTTCTCCAAGCAGGGGGTTGAAGGGTTTACCCGTCCTTTCCCACTGAGACGCCACGGCTGATACTGCAAACGCTGCCACACACTGGATGGAAAACACATTCATTTACTTAGATGACAATCTATAGGTTAGACTAGATTTCATCCAGGTGGCTATTAAGGATTTGGGACTTTGAAAACCTTGAATCCAAGAAATATCTGTTTAAGACGCATTAAACAGGCCTATAAAAGGGTAAAGTAGTTCATAACAGTGGCGATTTTAATAGTCAAACTGATGTAGTTATAATTATTGCTCTGTCTATATGAGTTTTTGTCAATTTTGAGAGCAATGTATGTGATCACCAGTATATATAATATGTTTTAATACGATAAGACATTTTATGATAGCACAGCATATGAATGAAAATATTAGAATTTATTGCGAAATTTATTATTTATTTATTTTACAAGATATTTAGTACAAGGTTAACTAATATTTATGTCAGAACATGTGAAAATTGCCCAAAGATGATGGAAAGTTGGCTGATTAATTGGCCATTAGTCAAATTTCATAGTTATTTAGCATGTTCGACCTGTAAGGGTTTTTAGACAAATAGAGGGTCATGTATATTGTTTTTATTTTTACCTTCATTCTCTCAATAGAGTCGTCTAAAGCATTGGCCTGGTGGATGAGGTACGTGTGCTCCATATATTCTGTTAGCCTTTGTAAAAAGCTTAACGGCTCATTAAAAATAACCGGCATGGTGATCTTAGACAGCTCCTGAAAGAGAGATGGAGAGATGGAATCAATCCAAACTTAATTGCTTAATTTGATTGTTTTGAATGAAAAGTTAAAAGGTTACATGATAGTAAAAACCTCACCATCCCGATACACTTCCTCAGTATGCTCCAGATACTGAAGTCATTTCTGGAGAACATGGGAGCTGGTAAACTTGTCCTGTGGAATAATTCAAAGGAACTGAACTGTGCCTTATCAGCTTCTGAAAAATACCTGTTTACATTTAGAAACCACTAAAATAATGAAAAACGGACTAAGTTCGCTGTTTTCATGGTAACTACTGTTGTCATGCAGACGGAAAACGTCTAGACTGGTGTTATCAGACAGGTAACGGAAGCTTTATATCTTATTCAGCAAAGCAAGGCCAGTGTCAGTTTCAGACACTCCAAAACCTTCTATTTTATATAGTACTTTCTAAATGTAAATGTAATAATGAAGAAATGTAGTGTGTGGTTAATTTTTGTTAAAGCAAAAAGTAAATTTTGTGAGCAATATGAGAAGTCTCTAAAAAAGAGGGTATACATCAAAGTTTAATGGACAACAAGAAAATCAGTTAAAACAACGTGATATTTAGAACAATGTTCCAAATACAATATTATAAAATAGAGGCATCCAGAGACATCCAATAAAAATACTCTACGATCGGATGCAAAGTCAGTCAACTATCCGTCAACAGGCCATCAGTCAACATGCCGAGCCTTAAAAGTTCAAATTACGGCGTTAAACTCGGCTACCTCATCAATCTTTTACTGTTTCATTATGAGCGCCTCTTCTGGCCTTGGCTCGCTAAATTATTTACCACAAGATACAAACCAAAACAAAACAGAGAAGTTGCCTTTAAGAAACCGTGACATTAAAAAGCAAACTGGGCTGAATGTTACGTCTAAGATCACGTTTATTTTTATATTAATTGTATAAGTTTGTTTTGATTTAAAATGTCCAGTTACTTTGAACTTTCAAAAAACATTTTGCTAAATATTTATGCAATAAATACTTTGCATTAAAGAGTTGGTATTGTAGTTTTTTTTTTTTGCATTCCTACCTGTGTTTCCTCACTCCATTAACTCTGGCCGCCTCATCTTCATCCTCTTCCTCTCCACGACGATCTTCCTGAGACATCCTGCCGCCGAGATGAGTTGGGACGCTGCAGTAGAGCTCGGACTTTAAGTCCTCTCCGTCTTCGTACGAGTGGCCGGCCGCCTCAAAACAGCTCAGCACAGTCTCAGTGTCCGAATCTGTGGAAACCCAACACAAACAGACATCGCTCAGTGGGACAATGCCTGGCCGACAGCAACAAGCTCTCTGAGGAAACCTGAGCAGGGGATCAGGTGACATTTAATGGAACCGGAAATGACTGGACACATCACTGAGAAAGGTGCCTCATGATTAAGAAGCTGATTCTGAAGATTTACTTGTTACTGTAACAGTTGCTGACTGCAAGTATTAATTGGGCTCATGGTCTTTAATGATATTGTAAATCATGGAGTTCACATGATTAAGTGATAAGGGATGTAGGAATCATGACGTAATCATCTTTAATCTATACACTTGTTAACTTGCGAAAACTCATCAAACTAATTGTCATAAAAGCTGATGTTGTTGAGCCTTGGTGCTCGTGTGGGAAATGCAGGTTTGAATTCAGTTTGCGCAGTTTCATGATCCCATTCCTTCAACAGTATCTCCTCCTAATACATTTCTGTCACTCAACTATTTTATTCAATAAAAGAGGCAAAAACATACACCTGAAAACGTTACAGAAATGTGCATATTTACGATTAAATTAATACAAAAAAATCCATTCTACTACACATCTGCAAAATATAAAACATTTTTTGGGCAAAATTATTCACAAAAGTACAAAAAGTGCACTAGGGGTGTACAGATAAGCAGATAATTATTTTTTATATTATAGCCAATAATCAATAAATGGCCGATATTATACACTTTAAAGCTACACTGTGTAACTTTTTCAGTTTATTCTTAGCTAAAAACACTTAGTTCTTTCAAAAATTCACTACCGTTCAAAAGTTTGGGGTCAGTGAGAATTTTATTTTTATTTTTTGGAGGAAAGAAATCAATACTTTTATTTATCAAGGACAGTAAAGACATTTATAATGTTACAAAAGATTCTATTTCAAACAAATGCTGTTCTTTTGAACTTCCTATTCATCAAAGAATCCTAAAAACAAAAACAAAAAAACTGTACAACTGATAGACCAACAACTGTTTCAACATTGATAATAATAATAAATGTTTCTTGAGCATCAAATCCTCATATTATACTGATTTGAGAAGGATCATTTGACACTGAAGACACTGACACTGGTGATGCTAAAAATTCAGCTTTGATCGCAGGAATAAATTACACTTTACTATATATTCACACAGAAAACAGCTGATTTACACTGGAATAATATTTAATACTATAACTGATTTTTGTTGTATTTTTTATCAAATAAGCGCAGCCATGGTTAGCAGAAGAGAATTCTTTTAAAAGTATTTAAAATCGTACCGACCCCAAACTTTTGAACGGTAGTGTATATGTGCTCATTAATGTATATTTACTTCGTTCAAGTAATAAAGTATTCTCGTGAGTGTATAATATGCCATTGAAAATACATACGGGTAAGGGGTTCTAATGTCGGTCGCCATGTTGCCCCTCCATCTTGAAAGTACATTAGCCAAAGAGGGACATACCCGTTTTAACACTCGATGGCACCCTGTCGAATGTCATAATAAATAACCTATATGTTACCTGACAAATTAAATTACTGCAAATTATAATAGTTTTCTAAAATACCCTCATTACTTGAATGAAAACTCATGGACGAGGTCGAACTGGAAACCATGTTAATATTGGACTACATTGGCCACCGTAGGAGTTAAAACAAAATCGGAATTGAGAGGAACAGAAACTAATATTCACTGGATGGTCATATACCTTTTCACCGCTAGATGGGGGTAAAAATCACACAGTGTAGCTTTAAATAATACAAGTAATCCAAAAACATTTAAATGTGTGACAAGTGTGTAATAAGTAAATTAGGCAAAAGATTAAAACGTACGCACCAGACAGAGCGTCGTAGAACTCGTCTTCACTGCGGACGCTGCGGGGCGAAGATCCTTTGACCAGCGACTGCTCCAGCTCATGATGTTCAGTGGCCAGCGTCTGCAGAGCCTCTGACAGGATTTTATTCTTCTCCACCTCGTGCTCCAGTTTCAAACTGCGTGCCTGGACAAACACACACACTTAGAAATCCACTATGCAGGAGTATAATCTAGCGTTTTACATATCTGACCTGCCAAAAACAGACTTGACGAATAACCCTTAACGTGCCCCATACATGGAATACATGATACACCCATGCTCATGTTTTATATTTCCGATGTATTTGTGATCATTAACAACAACTTTGCTTGGAGTTTTTTTTTTTTTTAAAGCTCCAGTCCGTAACTTTTCCTCTTTGTCGCCATCTCTCTGTTCGAAATCTGTAACTGCAGTGATTCGCGGAATTAACATCTTTACGTGGGTTGTAAATCGGCATGAAACAGCGCGGATGAACACAGTGCTTTGAGGCGAGTGCTGCTGTCAGTCACCGCGCTGTGTGGATACTGTCATACAGAATCACAGATTCACTTTTTGAAAGTTTGACCAACATAAGAATGTTCATAAGAAAATGTCTTCTGAACAAGTAAGTAACATCCATTTTTGTTCTGACCAACTAAGGGGGAAAAAGCATTCGACATGATAAGCTTCGTTAGATTTAATCAACGCGATTTACAGCAACCGTGCAAATTATAGCCTACTTTGTTCTCAAATTCATGTTAACAACATCAGCATTGCGTGACTAATGTTAAATTTAATGTGTTTTATGGTTACCTGTGTAGTTCAGAATTCATATTCTCCATAATAGCAAAACGAGAAAGGCACAACAAAGGAAACTCCATAACTGTGTGAATTAAGAAAACGTACTGTTACACGATTGAACTATTGAAATGTCTTAACTTACTTGTTCAGCAGAAAAAAGCCGTCTCTTCTTCCGTTTTGAACCCCTTCAAAACACGGAGTTCACGCACTTTTCAAAAGCCCCGCCGATGTTAAATCCTTGTGTTCGCATGAGACGGTTTCTTTCTCTTTCTCTAGCCACCTTAAATCCGAAGTACGAAGTCTTTTGGGTTTTATAACTGCTGAATCTCCAGTTGACACTGATGATTGTTGTTTGGATCTTCCTGGATGCCATAAGTTTAATTATGTAAAGTGCTGCGAGAAAAGCCTATACATCTAAACATCTCGTCACGCGCAGTATAGCCGAAGGAGCCGAAACTCCTTCTTTATGTGTACGGGTGTGACGTAATTACGCAAAGACATGCTCGAATTTCCCGCGGAAACCCACCAGTACCACTGGAATTAAAATCATTATTACAAGCTAACCGTTTTGAATCTAGCTATGGCAAGCAGATAGTTTTGACCACTGGCAGAATAAGTTTTTTTAAATATAATTATTTATATATTATTTTTAACTTAAAAAAGTTACGGACTGGAGCTTTAAATGTTATTTTTGAGGTTTTAGTATGTTTATTTGACAAATATAGTAAATAGGGACGTAAAATTGTTGGAGAGACCGAATTCGAACTAGTGTAGTCCAAGTGAGCACCAAGGCTCAAAAGAATCACGAAAACACCACTCTGCTGTGGCTCAGTTTTTAGCACACACTTATTATAACCTCATTTTTTTTGGTGAAAATTTTTCAAAAAATGTCCAAAGATTGTTTTATGGTTATTTATAAACATTTAAAGATAGACCTGTTGTGACCTCCAAGGTTGTTAATCAATGGTATATATGCTTCTGTTGAAGTCATCTGTTCACATTATTTCAACCTATTTTTAAAATAAACAATCGTGTCTAACAGCAGAATTTGTGGTGAAAACTACATTACCCATGATGCTGTACAGAAAATTCCACCAATCAGAGTCGCGACAAACAAAAAACACCTTTAGCTCCGCCCACTCCCATGAAGCACCACGAATTACGTAATCGATTCAGTCTCCCTACACTCTCATTTCCATTACTTTCATGCTTCAAATAAAACCTTGTAATGTTGTGATTCACCTCGTACTTGGTTGGTTTGGTTCATGGCTAATATGAAGAATAATACATACAAGAATAATGTAATCACTACAGGAAAAATGAATAGAAAAATAATTCTAAAAAAGTGGGCGGGCACTAATGCACTCCATGGAATTGTGCAGCACAGTAGATACATACTCCTTCCTGTCTGGAAAAAAGCCCCAGGCACTGGTGCAGTGAGGAGCAGGTTTCACTGGAGGCTTCACAGACCTCCTTCAGCTTCTGAACGACTGTCACAGGCAATCCTGCAAGGATATAAAGAAGCACTGTGGCTTTAAAAATACAGATCTAGACAAGCGGTTGAGGCCAATCAAATGCAGCAGATGATTTAAGCTCTTACGTTCCACAAGGTCATCCTCTTTCACCATGGACAGGAGGACCAACAGCTCAGTCTCCAGTCTCTGATGGCACAACTCGGCCCGCTGCCACACAAAAGAGGAACAAGACAACAAAAATAAATGTAAGAAAAGGGATATTAAGGAAGAGAAAGGTTACGACTGTAAGAAAAGGTATGGGTCAACTTTACCACTTCCTGTGGTTAGAGTGAAAAAGGGAAGTCAGAATAAATTTTCCTGGTACTGTAGAAATATATGAGCATGAGATCAAATCTATTTAAAGTTCAATATAGTTCAAATAAAACCAAATAAACTGAATAATTTAAACTTTTCATTTATTTTTATTTTGTTTTATTCATTTAAATGTATTAACGATTTAAATGTATTAGTATGAATAAATACAAAATAAATCAATAAATACGAAAAAGAATAAATGAATAATAACAGAAAAAAACTGAAAGAATAAATAAATAAAAATAAATAAAGAATAAATGAATACATAAAGAATAAATAATAACAGAAAAAGTAAATACGAATAAATAAATACGAAAAAATAAATAAGCAAATACAGAAAGAATAATACAGAATGAAAATAAACAATGCAAAAAGAATAAAGAATAAATATAGAAAGAATTATAATTATATATATATATATATATTCATTTAAATATATATATTCATTTAAATTTACCAGCGACATAAAATCTTTAGAATATAAACAAAATTTTTTGTTTGAGGTTGTCTGTACCAACTAAACTAACACAAACTTCTTTTGTTACATATACATACGTATATATATATATATATAAACATGTACACACCCAGGTATATATACGTATATATATATGTGTGTGTGTGTGTGTGTGAATAGGTGTATGTACTATACACACACACACATATATTGTTTTCCCTGCCAGTCATCTTTGTCATAATTTCTGTAAAAAAAAAAAAAAAAAAAAAACTTTTACAGTTTATAGATAAGGTTGTCATATGATGAAGGTTTCAGAACAGCTACATGTCCTCGTAGAAGAGGAAGAAAGGGCAGTCACGTGCATTTTATCAGCTGATGTGATTGTTAGGTATGTACAATATGCAGAGGACATTTCTCACCTGAAGTGAGTCAGAAAGCTCATTTACTGACACAACGTTGTCTTCCTCTTCCTCACTGTCAGGGTCCTGTGAGCAGTAATGTGTGCTAAAAGCAGAATGTTCCTCTATGGCCTCCAGCCACCTCTGACAAATAAAACACATTCACCCAAACTCACATAATGTTCTCCACTCTAGATTAAACAAAGGAGCAGAAAGGAATCTCACTTTTCTGGTGTCTTCGGGGTTGTTCTTCTGTGACACTTTGAAATGGTGAACGCTGTCATCAAAGTATTTGACAGTGAAATAGCAGTTATCTTTCGCTTTAATCTGAAAGATGCAAAGAAAAGGAGTCTTGCAAGTCATTCAAAACCCCATAAAACATGAATCAGCATCTTATGATAAATCATAAAATGAATCTTACCATGCACTGGGCTTGTGTTAGCGGTTTGCAAACTTGCCGGCGTGTGTTTGAATCTACATCTGACCTTGATGAGTTAAAAAAAGGCTTAAAAATTACAGGTTTCAAAAAAAAATGTCTGCAACTTAAAATACGTCTTTAATTCCAGCAATTTTGCTATCATTCAATAGCATTACAAAATAGCATTACATTTTGGAAATATAGGCAGATACTCACTGTTTAGGGTACCATGACAAGACTCCATCTTGAAGAACTACCCAGTAGGAGCGCCAGCCAAAGAATCTTGAGCTCTGCAACAATAAATCAAATAAGCAATAAAGAAAATTCAAGAAAAACAGAAAGGAAAAGGAAAAAATAAATACAAAATATAATAAAAATAAGTACATAAATTTGGGGGGGGGGGGGGGTAATAATAAATGAATAATAACAGAATAAATAAAGAATACATTAATACATAAAGAAGAAATAATAACAGAAAAAATCTATAAAAGAATATATAAATAAATACAAAAAAATAAATCAGCAAATACAGAAAGAGTCAATAATACAGAATAAACAATGCAAAAAGAATGAATAATAAATATAGAAAGAATTATATATATACTAAAGGTTTTGATAAAGCATACCTTCCAAAGAGGCCCCTCAAATGTTTTAACATGCCGCGTCATGCCCTGTAGGATCAAACAAAACCAAATTCACAACATTGTACACTGATTTCACTCATTGTAAATTATGCTAAATATTATGATATATGGTGATGGACAAGGTATTTTTTAAACAAGCCGCACAAGTTATTACAAAAATATTGCATTAATTTGTGACACTCTTACATCAGAACTGTCCAGTTAAATGAACCTACTTTCATAACATTTCCTGCAATGATCTGCTTCATTTCCGCATCATTAGCCAAATCAAAAACAGTCTGATCTGAAAACAAATATGCAAAAATAAACATCAGCATGTTTCGGGCGACCACAAAATACCCTTATAAAATACATATATTTAATCAAGTTAATGATTCATATAAATTTGTAGACGTACTGAATTGATAGAGTAAAAAATTGGAACAAATCTGAAACAATAAGACCATTAATTAAGAATATATTGACTTTTAACACAACAGCTTTGAATGCATTAGAAAATGATGCCACAATAAGTTGTCGCTGGGTACCGTTTTTGTTCTTGACATTAGGGTTGGCCTTGAGTTGCAGGAGTTTGATGGCACACTGTTTCTGACCCCTGTAAGCGGCGCAGTGCAGCGGCGTGTTTCCCAGCAGGTCCGTGCAGTTTATGTCCGGGGGTTTCTTCATGTTTAGCTACGCGAGTAACAAGAGAGTTATTATCAACGTTTAAACGATGCTACATGATGTAGACGTCTTTAAAATGGTATAGCAAAGGTTACCAGTCTAGTGAGGGTAGATATGGTTCCTTCCCGCGCCGCCTCCAGCAGCTGCTCCTCTCGTTTCCTCTCTTCAGTCCTCTCCGCAGCTAGTTGGTAAAAAAGTATCAGTAATGATCTAGTAACAAAAGTAATTACCCAGTAGATTTGATCCAAAGCGCCTTCGGTACACTTAGTAGAGGGACGTTTTCATGCAATTTCAGCATGCTTACCCTCCAACATGCTTTTAATCTCAGCGCTCTGGGTAACATCTTTAGGTATCTCCGCCGTCCCATTGATGACAGAAGGACAAGCGTCATACTGAAGAAGCAACATTACAACCTCCTAAACAGCAAAGTCAGCATTCGGTTAGTATTCAGAGTCCAATCAGTGTTCGGCGTTCAGCAGACAATCTGTATTCAGCATTCAGGTGAGTAGTTATGTTGGTTAAAAACATGACATTAATTATGAATATTTTTTTTTAACAATTAAGACATATTATTTATTGATGATGAGATGATAATAATAATAATTATGAAATTACTATTATTGTAATTATAGAATGTATAACAATAATAATAATTTGTTTTATTAATAATTATTATTGTACAATTGTTGTTGTCATATTTATGCCAAGTTCTTTTGTCAATAAATGTCAATAAAAACATAATATTTATTATGAGAATTGTATTAATAATTAGAATATTTCTAATTGCATAATAATACAATTATGTTATTAATAAAACAACTATATTATTAATTAATTATAAATAAAACATAATATATTAATAATTAGTATTATATTAATAATTACAATAGTGGAAATTAACATAAAAACAATAATAATAATAATAATAGATAGTCATAATTAATATTATTGTAATTATAGAATGTATAATAATAACATATAATAATAAATTGCTTTAACGATAATAATAATTATTACCATAAACATGACATAACAACAATGGTAATAATAATTATCATCATTAAAGCAATTTATTATTATATGTTATTATTATACATTCTATAATTACAATAATATTGATTATTACCATAAACATGACATAACAACAATGGTAATAATAATTATTACCATTGCTGTTATGTCATGTTTATGACAAGTGGATTTGTCAATAAGTCAATAAAACATGGTATTTTATTAATAATTAGAATATTACTAATTACACAATAATATGAATAATACATTATAATATTATTAATTAAATAAATTAATAAAACGTTAAAATTCATTAGTAGTATTTTATTAATTAGAATACTACTAATTATATAATAATAAAAAATATTAATCATAATAAAATTAATAGTATTGTAATTAGAAAATGTATAACGATTCAAACATATAATAATCAATTATTGTATTAATAATCATTATTTTTACCACTGGTGTCGTCATATTTATACCAAGTTGTTTTGTCAAGTCAATAAAACGTAATATTCATTATGAGTATCTATTAATAATTAGAACATTCCTTCATAACAATATTAATAATAATATGTAACATGATTAATACTTATTAATACAATTATTATCATCAACTAACTATAAAATGTATAATAATTATCAATAAATCATTTTATGAATAATTATTAAATACTGTTGTTTTATTTTATTATATAATTTATGCCAAGTTGTTTTGTGATCTGAAAGGTTGCAAATGTATTTCTATCTTTGTTTTGAGCAGTCTAATTGTTAAGCTACACATTCTCTTTTAAATCCAGGAAAATGTTTATAATTATCCAGAAACATACACCAAATAAATGACTTTGCCTTTGAATTACAACGTTGGGTGCTATTTTCTTAAGATACTAAGAAATGGGCCCCTCTAAAATGGGCCCATCATTTACCCATCAAATAACCAAATATCACTCTAGCTCTAGCTTAAATCCATAGTCTCAGTGCATTATGATATATTATAGAAGTAATACGTACTTTCCTCCCTGTGAATGCTGCTTTATGGAGGGCCGTGTCTCCGACATTATTTGGCAAGTTGGCATCTGCTCCAGCCTGTAAGAAGCACAGATGAGCTCCCGCAAAGCCATTCTTCTCATAATAAACATACACATATATCATACATAGAATGTGTGTTGTATCAAAAGCCCGAGATGATCGATACCTTCAGTAATGCCTCAACAACATCCTTATGTCCAAAGTAACTGGCCAGATGAAGAGGCGTCCAGCCATGATTTGATTTGCTCTTGCCTGAAACAATGCAATGCCATTAGAAGTACTCAAAAATATGTAGATAGATATGAACGGTCAAACAAAGGAAACCTAATGACGTGCCCTACCCTTGCAGTTGATGTCGATGTTGGCCTCCTCCTTTATCTTGGACATCAATAGCCTCTGGATACCTTCTAGGTTCCCGTTCCTGGCATCCCTGAGGAACTGCTCCTCCGGGTCCAGCTCCTCCATGGCTTTACCAAAAAAAACAACCAAAACAGCATTATAATCATAAACCTGAGCCAGTAAGTGTGAAGAAGAGCAGGCCTGTGAGAAATTATATCTGGAACATCAACAATCAGAAAATCATTCGATCCTTCAAGATGTTGTGAAATCCATTGTCATTTTTCTTTGCACTAATCAACAATTATGAAGGCAAATTCTTTTAATGACTGCCATGTGATTTCCTTGTTTAGTTTGGAGGAAAAAGAAGACAAGCACATGACACCGCTTCGATGGGCAGGACTTTTCATTAAAAATATGCCGACATGAAGTTCAGGCTTTTGAGGAATGTTTATTTGTTTATCTCTCAATCATCATTGTATTGCATTGCTTTATAGGTTTTTGGATTACACTTTATTTTAAGGTGTCTGTGTTACAGTGTGATTATTAAACATTTAAGTACCGAGTAATAATAATTAACTACATGTACTTACTATAGGGTTAGGATGAGGGTTTGAGGTAACACTTTATGGTTACACTTTATTTTAAGGTGTCATTGTTACAGTGTAATAATATATTTAAGTACTGAGTAATAATAAGCAACTACATGTACTTACTAAAGGTTAGGGTAGGATTAGGATTTGGTTAAGGGGTTACTTGCATGTAATTATGGATAATTGACTGTTATTACTATGGTAAGTACATGTAACATATGTAATAAGGACACTGTAAAATAAAGTGTTACTCACTATTTTACAGTGTCCTTGGTACATATGTTACATGTACTTACCATAGTAATAAGTTAACAGTAAATTATGCATAATTACATGCAATTAACCCTCAACCAACACCTAATGCTACCCTAACCCTATAGTAAGTACATGTTAATTAATATTACTCAGTAGGCCTACTTAAATATATAATAACACTGTAACAATGACACCTTAAAATAAAGTGTAACCGTGTTTGGTTTAGGGTTAGTTGCATGTTATTATGCATCATTTAAAGTTATTACTTCAGTAACGTGTAACAATGACACTGTAGAATAAAGTGTTTCTCTGTTTTTGCCCTCACAATAAAAACTACAGAGCTTTGATCATAAAACTAACACACATTATTAGAAGATAGAGTGACAAATAGTATATGCATTTTATGTAAGTAGACAAGGGAGGATTATTTATAAAGCACATTAATATACAGCGATTTACAGAAAATATACATTATTCTTTTTTTTTATTGCGTGGCGGAAACAAGCTTCCATAGTTCGGGTCCTGTCAGGTGTCTTGCGAGAAACAACTGTGCGATGAAAACACTCAATTGTGAGGGGGAAAAAAGTCTGAATTGTGGGATAAAATGTCAGTTTGCCTTTTTTATTTTTATTCAGTTGCAGAAACAAGCTTCCATAAGTATGAGCATCATATTCTTCTATCTAGCCTACTATATGAAGTATATACTATGTTATACTAAACAAAAACATATGCAAATGTATTTTTTATCAATAAACTATCAAAAAAATAAATCGATTTTTCATACTATTTCATAACTCAGGCTTTCCAGCCGTTTAGACGTCGACAGCCAGTGAACCAACCAAGAAAGAAAAATGTCTTGGTATGCAGATTAACAACGTCACTTTTAACGCGATAAGCGTTTGGTAAATCATAAAGCTTTCTTTGTGATGAATGTAGGCCAGTAGCCTAAAGGAAACATGTAGCTATATTTACGAGCCAAAACATAAATCAAAACGACTTAAAACGATAAAACAACTGGGTAACCCTTATAAAAAGCCTCGAAACCCGTTTTTATAGACTGACTCTTTCAGTTCATTTAGATCCGAGAAGTGGAGATCATGTCAGCAGGATGTGGGTTTATCACTTGACTTAAAGAATTAGGTGAGAATTTGGCCATGAGCTGGAGTCAAAAATAGTCGGAGATATATGCAAAGCAGCGTAATAAAACCCAAATATTATATATTAATCAACATTCTTTGATGGATATGCAAAGCAGCGTAATAAAACCCAAATATTATATATTAATCAACATTCTTTGATAAGTCTACCACTTTCTAAACATTTCAAATTTAACTTATTAGAATCTTATCAGAAATATATTTGCATATGTGCATATCTTACTTAAAAATAGATATAAAGGAGACTTGCCTGTTTTTGAAAGTTAACGCATGACTTGAGGTTCGAGACACGCTAACATCCCTAATCCAGAGTCACTCCGGAAAAAATAAATAAATAACATTACATTAAAAAAAAAGACTTTCATAAATTGTGCTTTATCATAGATAGATTTGACAAAGCATGTGATGCAAGCTTCCTGTTTGTGTAACTCACGCATGTGGTTCTGTCCTAATAGTGCAAAGTTCTTTACAAGCATCTTCAACAAACATCTTACAATCTGTTGTGCAACTACACACAGAATGTGCGCGTGCCGACGCTCGCGAAATGAACGCAAACACAAACTAACATCACACGGCAGTGTGTGAATGAACAGCTGACTAACAAAACACATGATGACGATGCACTTCCGGTTTTGATAAAAACAGTAAACAGATTCAATAAAAGTCTTCAACTACTACAACTGATAATAATAATCATCATAATAATAACAACAACAATGATAATAACAACAACAAATTAATAAATACATGAATAATCAAATTAAATTAAATTTCACAGACATACATTTTTATACGTTTATTCCTCATCTCGGTCGTTCATGTCTCTTATTTTAAAATGTCTTGCGGAAGTTAGTAGTCAGTTCAGTTGCGTCATCAGTATACTATGGAGGGATCCACAGCGGACGGCGTGTCAGCGCCTTTACCTGGACGATGTGCTTTTTATGTAGTAAAAAAGAAACGATACTGCAAGATGATTGTTGGAAGTGGGAAAACCTTCTGCGGGGAACATGCAAATGCTGTACGTTACAATGTCCATGTGGTCCTGCTCTGAATGGACGCGCTTCTTCTTACCGTGCATAAACTTTGATGTCATTTTCATATAGGGCGAAGAGAGTGAGAAAAAACGAATCCCCTGTCCTTTGGACCCCAAACAGTAAGACTTTAACTCTTCTAGAAAGTTTGGAGAGGTTTCTGTAGTTATATAAACTTAGTTATTACTGTAGAAATATAAACTTTAAGTATAGTTCAGTACAAATTGAATCAAAGAAATCATTCCAGAGCTTCAGATTTATGCATACAGAAGTATTACAGCCAGTTCGAAATTAAATAAAATTATTTGATATGAATATTGACAAACATAGCTGAGTTTTGTCCCATGTCTTGGACAATGGTAGATGTGTAGAGCTTTTATGTTATGGTCAAAAACCATCTCCTGTTTTAAACAGCACTGTATTTGAAGATAATTTGGCTAAACACCTGAAGAAATGTAACTCCAAGGAGAAACCAAAACCTGTATGTATGAATAACTCCACCAACCCTTATCCCTCAATATGTTATTTTTCTTACTTTTTCTTGAATTTCACAGTTCTTGCGCTAATGACTGCTATGTTTGATTATATATATATATATATATATATATATATATATATATATATATATATATATATATATATATATATATATTAGATTTATTACGTGAAGGACATCAATGCTGGGTGTGAAAATCAAGATGAAACCATAGATGAGGTGATCATACTGCCTATTTGAGCATATATTAAAATTACATGGCTTTAAAGAAGATATGGGCTTAATAATGATGTGTTAATGCAGATATCCATTGCTGATCGATCCAAAGAGGAACTGGATGAGTTGATAGTGAAACTCAAAACTGCATTACAAGGTATGCAGGTGTCATTTAGGTTTTATCACATGACTACTAAATCTGTTTATGTTACGCATTAATTAGATATCAAAAGATGAACAAATATGGAAAATAAGAATTGGTAGCTTTGATGTTGGAGGGTTTATTGTCATTTTATTGTAAAGGGATTCTAATCTCTTTTCCTCAGGTCTAAATACCAAACTCGTGGAAACAACACTCTCACATTCTGCTCTATATGAGCCTCTAAATGACCCAAAGAATGGAGATTCTGCTTTTAAACACCTCAAGCAACAGGTAAAGCATTCCAGAACTGACAAACTATACATACTCAATATCAACAGTGGGCAACGTCAGTCCTGGAAGGCCTCGATTTTGACAGAGGGAGCAAGTCTACTCTGATTCAAAGTGATCAAAGGCTTTGGGCATTCCATTTAAACACATTGCAAGGGTTTGGACAGTAGTTGGCACTTTTGCACTTTTTCAGTGACGTACATCCGAGTGAACTTGATGGAGGGAAGAGCGTAAAAAAAGGGGTGATTTATGGAAAGTGGCCCCTCCAGGACCGAAGTTGCCCATCCTTGCTCAAGTTGCTCTGTATAAATGGTCTTTATTTTCAAGCAGTGTTCATATTCATAATATCTAATTTCACAGGCCTCTATTCTTGGAAACATGGAGGTTTTGGAACTGCTCAGCCCAAACAGATGCTACATAGAGTTTGGGGCAGGGAAGGGAAAACTGTCCCATTGGATTCACATTGCTCTTAAAGCAGCTGAAAATGTCCATTTTTTACTTGTGGAAAGGTCCAGTACTCGCTTTAAGGTGTGGTGTCCTTTGCATGAAGCTATCCTTTCTTCAAATATAGAAAAATATTGTTCTTTCTGCTCGAAAGTGAGGTTACATTTGAATTTGATGTGTTTTTAAGGTAGATGGCAAGCACAAAAATGCAGACTCGACTTTTGATAGGCTTCAGGTTGATATTCAGCACCTTGATTTACGTGCGTAAGCTTCTCATACAGTTCCTAATGGTGTTAATATATTATAATATAAATTTTTCTGAGATTTTCTTTGATCTTCTCATAAATAATATTTCCTTTCAGTGAAAGTTCCTCTCCTGAGAGAAAAGCGACTTCCTGTTATTGGTGTTGGGAAGCACCTCTGTGGTGCAGCAACTGGTAGACTAGAATTCAATAAACTTCATAAATATTATCATGGTATTAGTCCTGCAAGATTGATGTATCAACTTATATCCACAGATCTGGCCCTTCGGTGTTTATTTGAGCACAACTGCATTGACAAAGATGATGACCCTCCTACCAAGCGTGTAAAACTTAATCATACGGAGGGTGCTGGTGATGATATGAAGCCTGTTCCCTCAACCGAAGGCAGGGAAACTGGTGAAGAGCTCATAGTGTCAGGACTGGCCATCGCTCTTTGCTGCCACCACCGTTGCGACTGGAGACACTACGTGGGAAAAGAGTTCTTCAGACAGAAAGGTCTTGGACCAGAAGAGTTTGCTGCTTTCCAGCGCATGTCGAGCTGGGCCACTTGCGGTATGAGAAAATTCAGCTCCAAGATAACAGAAAAAACAGGCGAAGAGGAAGAACATGAGATGAGCGAGGAAGCTGTGCCAGATACCCTTAACGGGTGAGTTTTCTGCTGATCGACCAATAAGTATTATGTTAAGTTCTTGATTTAATTTTTAAACGTTCTTTCTTGCAGTTTGATGTCAGTTGAAGATCGGGAACAGATCGGGCGGCTTTGTAAGCACCTGATTGACCATGGAAGAGTGTATTACCTCCAGCAAAAAGGCTTTAAAACCAGTCTGAGATACTACACAAGCAGAGATGTGTCATTGGAGAATGTGTTACTAACTGCCATTCCCACAGCCAATCAGAATAGAGATGAATCTAAACAGCCTTCTTAAGACAAACAAGCACAAGTGCAGGAAACATATGCTTCATTTTATTTTATCAATGTTTATGGAGTTTTTTATTTTAGTTCATCCACGAACATTACTTATGACATACTAGCAGGAAGAAGCAACTCCAACAAATGACAGGCAACAAAACATTTAAAAGAAAGAAGCGCTCTCCACAGGACTTGGGGGGGACAATACTTGACATGATGGACCGGAAAATCAGTCCAAAAGGCAGATGAGCAGACAGAAGCCAGCATGCAAGTCACAAAGATGATGCTGTCTCTGACACGCCGTCCAGCGTCACATTTAGCAGTGACGTGAAAGTTTGGGATCCTGCAATAGACATGTAATGCAAAAGTTGGTCATTAAGAGGCTCTAAAGGCTTTAATTCCAGTTCTGTTTTATTTATGTAATATTTTAGAATAAAGTTCTGCTACAAGTTTTGCACACAATACATATTGAGTACGGCATAACCTCTTTTCCGGGCTTCTTGGATGTAGTAGTGCATGAACTCGCGACCAAACATCTCCCTGTCATTCTCTTCCTCGTCTACATCCTCTTTTAAATCAGGAAGCGTCACCTCATACGTCAAAGGATTGTCTCGGAAATTCACAAACCTGCAGAATGAGCATTTTAAGCTTGGTAATCATAATGATTTGTAAATATCCAGACACGAATGCATCGCCAATCGTTACAATTAAGTCCTCAAAGAATTTGCATTCACGTATTTGCTTGAAATATGTTCAGGGCTTTAGTCGTTCCTATAGAATCACTGTTTTGCTTTTGTGAAGCTTTTTATTGGTTTCCAATAACGTTCTACAAATTAAGCAAAATATTTGTGCTTACCTGAGGTTACTCATGCCCTCCATAAGCGGAGGAATGTCTCGTAGTTTATTTTTGCTCAGAACTAGTGTGTCCAGGCTTTGCATGCGACTGATGTTGTCTGGCAGGTACTCTAGTTCATTTCTTGGGAGCCACAGGGTATGAAGTTTCTCCATTCTACAATTAAAACGTGACATAAAGGTCATCAGATCCATTACAAAGTCTTGGTTTTATTAGGCATTGATGGACCAAATAGTATTTTTACCTGTGAATATCGTCTGGCAAACTCTCCAAAATGTTGCTGCCCATGTCTAGCCACTCAAGAGAAGGAAGGTTGACCACGCAATCTGGAATGGTGGTGAAGTGGTTCATGGAGAGGTCCAAGTGATACAGCTTCTTAAGATTGCTAAGCTAAGGAAATTTGGATTAAAGTAAAAACAGGTGATGGGTTTATATAGGGACATATAGACAAAATATGCGGTGTATATATAGGCATTCAGTGTTATAAATACCTGGGTGGGCAGCTCATCCAGATCTCGATTCATTGCAAGTTCCAGTTTCTCCAGATTTTCACAACAACTAAGTTCTTCTGGTACGTAGCTCACTCTGTTATAGCTCAACATCAGCTCTCTTAACCGAGTTAGTTTGCCTGTTGGTTAGAAGAGCATATCTGAGAGTTACTTTAACTAAAGAAATTCATCAAAGTTTGTTCAGATTCCACCTATTTTCTTACTGACCAATCTCTCTGGGAATCTCCATGACTGAATTACGAGATAAGTCCAAGACTATGAGAGACTCAAAGCTCGAGATGAACCGTGGAATTCTTTGAAGTCCTGTTCGGTGTAACTGCCATTCTTGAATCTGGGAGAGTTGGACCAGAGCTGGAGGAAGAGTCTGCAGAAAGGGTCAAGGTTCCAAGAGTGAGAACCAAACAATCCATCCATTTTTTGTTTAATTGAAGATGTTATTTATCTCAATAATATCTGGGCAGTAGTATTGTCCTTGACCATTTAAAAGTATTAACTCTTTCAGAATCTTTGCCCTAAGTCAGGGGACTCTAATCCTGCTCCTTGAGAGCCATTATCCTGTAGAGTTTATGCTGCATTCCAGACAGCTTGAAATTTAGATTTTCCCCACCTCATATTTGAATATAACATCTTGTAATGCCACTCAGAAGTAGGACATTCGACCTGTGATCTCAGGGCAGATCGATCAACCCTGACCTCAGCGAGGCAAGTCATTTGATGTCACTTCTACGATGGCGGCAAGTCCTGCTTCTAATGAGCATAGCCTTGAGCTACCTTATCAAATGTAATAAACTTTAATTTAGACATTATGTTTATATAATGATACATTAAATTAAGCTTTTTATGCAGCTGTTTTTAAGCAAATGGCAGAATTTTGATATTTTTCTGTTTTGCCATAATTGACACAAAAACATGAAATGCTCTCTTTGTGTCATGGAGACATCATGTGGTCAACATGTGAACTGGAACTCACTGATGTCTGAAGTGGGACATTTCAATTGGGATATTTCCACATCCAATCTTGTCTCAAACGTGGCATTAGCTCCAACCCCAAACACACCTGAACCACTTAATTAAGGTCTTTAAAATTACTAGATGTGTCCAGGCAGGATATGTTGATGGCAGGTTGAAGCTAAAATCTGCAGGAGCTTGGCCCTCTAGAAGCAGGATTTGGCACCCTTGCCCAAAGTCCTGTCCCAAACCGCAGCCTTAGCCCTTGCAGTCCACTACTGGCAGCTACAACCTTAAACACCTGAACCAACTATTCAATGTCTTCAAGATTACTAGAAACCTCCAAGCAGATTGAAGGCAACCCCTGCAATGCAGTAATGTAACCCTCCAGGAGCAGGATATGAAACCCCGGCGAGTGTAAGCCTCAGCAGTGCAAGTGCTTTGTCCGCTCCTTTTGGACAAGACCTATTTTTAATCACCCATTATATGATTTATATGCCTTAAATCACCGTTCTCTCTAGATAACAGCATTGCTTACTGACTTCTAATATGATATTGAGCTCAAACTCACAAAGAACAAATCACAAAGAGCCTTACCTTCCACTCCTCCTTTTCAATCCGAAGGATGACACGTCCTTCCTCAGTCACAACTTTTTCCTTTAGCTTGGCCAAAGTGATACGATCCTCCCAGGCACCTGTTAACCTATGTCAAAGATTTTAAACTATTAAAAAACGTTCAATGTTAACTGCAGTTTTGGGATAGACAAAAGCACAGACTGTGAAGTGATTCTCAACCGGTTTTACTTTAGGTCCCAGATTTTACATTGGACATAGTGTCGACATCGATCCAACGCAGTACCAAACCCCAAAATCACATTTAATGTATGTATCTTTTACCTTGCATAGTTAAGCTCATGGTCTTTGAGAATAATGTCCTGTCATGCAACTTTTCCATGTTGCCAACTTGCCATCTGCCTAATTTGACTAGCTTCTACCAAGTAACAGGAGAGTCATAGAGTTCGATTGTACACTTAGCGTTTGATGATTAAAAGTATTTTGTTATCCTAACTATTCATGATTTTATGGTTATTATTTGTATTTAGAGACCTGCAACCCTTTTTAAGGTCATGACCTACTAAGAACCATTATGATTCCCATGGGATACTGACAGTAGTGCACGTACCTACCCACTGCTCTCTTGTCTCTCTGTTCGCTCTCCTTCTTCAGTTCATCTTTGCTTTTCTTTATCCGGGTTTCCCACAGAGCCTTGACGGAGTTTACTGTCCCACAGCACACCGTGAGCCCCGTCATGATGATACAGAGTCCCAAATATCACTTCATACACACATTTTGCTAGCCTAAGGCAGCAGACAAGCCATTTTACTGGCCAGAAAAAGTGTATGCACTGCAAAACTATTAACATTTGATAGGACACATTTGAATTAGTACTGTGGATATCACAAGCCGTGTCTGGCGTTAAAGCAACTTTGAGATACCAAAGTGTAATTCTTACCACTCTCATTTGGTCATATTGTCCTTCCAGCGCCTATATACCATGTCTGTACCAAGTTAGCGCCCATTGCTGTATCACTAGTATAAGTCCTCTGACAATTCCAAGAAGTGTGATCTGTGTTGAAAGAATTGATTTTGAAGTAATTATCCCTCTGTGATTGTCATGGTCTTCCCTCTTGAAGCTTAAGTCTGGCCAGTGTCTATATTTAACCGGAGACAACACTGGGAATAGTGTGGTCACATGTTAAAGTTGGCACAAGAGCAGCTGTCTGCTTTTGCATACTTTACCGCACCAGACATGCTTTCAAGAATAGCGACATTAACCTGATTAACAAAGTTTCAAAACAACGCTGTTAGGTATAGGCCATATATTTGCAAATTATGACTGCTGCTAGTAGAAATTTTTTAATGTTATAGTTAGAATATTTAAATTTCCTGAGTATATCATGCAGTTATTAGCACACCATAAATGTGAAATATTCCTCATGTTTTGTTGCAGTTAAACACGCTGTTTTGCAAGCAATATGACAACAAATTGTGCCTTTTCTATACCATTTTTAACAAAGAAAGTATATAAAAAACAATGCAAATTTATTAACAAATTTATTTACTGTATGTTTATAATTTTTTTAAATATAGTTAACATATTAGATACATTAGCAGATAGTATTAGCAATGCGAGACATAAATACTGGCAGAATTATTTCCAAAAGTCTTGATTTAACATGTTATTATTATTTTAAATTAACAGAATAATTGGACATAATAATATGGTCTTGTATTACTAAAATCAATTAAATTAACAAATAAAAGATCAGTATTTGATCTGTAATATGCACATTTGGGATAATTTTTCCAAGAAATTATTCAGCAAGCAACCATTAAAATTGTTGAAAAGTGACAGTAAAGGCATTCATAAGAGAAAATATTTGTATTCCAAATTAATGTTCTACTTAACTTTCTATTAAATAATACTGAAAAAAATGTACTATGGTTTCCACGAAAATATCAGCACAACTGTTTACATTATAATGATTTCTGAAGGATCACGTGACACTGAAGACTGGAGTAATGAAATAGGCTACAGTGCTGTCAAATCGAGTACGAGTAGCCTAATCAAGATAAAAGTTCGAAAATATATAGCCAAAGTCCTTTTATAAATAGTCTCTGATATAGCCTAATGTTTGTATGTGTATATAGCCTACATACAGGTTGGTATATACTAAAGGTTATGTGTGTGTGTGTGTGTGTGTGTGTGTGTGTGTGTGTGTGTGTGTGTGTGTGTGTGTGTGTGTGTGTGTGTACGTTTACACATATGTAGCGATTAATCGATTTGAGAGCAGGTGACAGATTTGAATAATTATTTATGCTACTCTTTATACACAGCAAACAAAACGCAAAGCGCAAATAAGGATCTGTTTTTATAGATATATTCAGTGAATGTGTCTGCAGGGGGACTCCAGACGGCTCTACTGGAGCAGTTCACCGCCGAGTCATTCAGCTGCCCGATGGCCACATAACAGACCAGCTTATATCGATCATTCAGCAGCTTCTTTACAGCCGTTTTAATGCAGTCAGACAGTTCCCTGGAGACGACCGCGCATGCGCAGCTGTACTCCACATTCTCGAGTCTTTCATCAACAATGCGTTTGATTATTTCACGTGCTCGGTCAGTGGAGAAGCGTCTTTCTGGGGTGGTCTGGTAGTGGATGAGCTGCTCGTCTCTGTCTGATGGTAACTTTTGGTTTCTCGGTTCCTTCTTCATCGTCCAGGTTGAGCCGCGTCCCCTCTGGATGGGGATCAGTGATGATTGAGGGTTTTCCTTGGATGTTTTCCTTCTAAGGGAGCTTTTGCTTTTCTCCTGGGGTCCCTTCCCCGTTTTCTCTTCTTTCTTTTGTAATTGGATTGAGAACAACATTGTTACAGTCATTTGTCATATGAAAAGGTACACAATATACAGTATCTATTTGTTAAAATCAAGTTTCTTTATTTTTTATTATGCTTTATTGATTTGATCGAAAATATTATTACAATTTTAAATAACCGTTTCCTATTTTAATATATTTTAAAATGTAATTTATTCCGGTGATCAAGGCTGTTTTTTCAGCATAATTACACCAGTCAGTGTCACATGATCCTCCAGAAATCATTCTATTTGAAATAGAAATCTTTTCTAAAATTAAATAGCTTTACTGTCACTTTTAAATAATTGAATGCATCCTTGCTGAATAATAGTATTATTTTCTTAAAAAAACAACAACATGCATATTACAGAATAATACGTTTTTATTAATTTGATTGATATTAGTAATAGATGATTTTAGATTTTGTTAATTTAAAATAATAAAAAATAACATGCTACATTATTATTTTTTTATACTAAATTTTCCAATATTTATGGTCTTATTTTGCTAATACTATCTTCTAATGTATCTATTAGTATTGGTTGCTTAAAATAAATGAATTCAGATTAAATCAAACATTTAATTTATTCTTTGATCAGTTTTAGTACTATAGTTAACCTAGAATACAATTAATCCTGTTACATTAAACTAATGTTTAAGAAATCTAAGAAAATCTTTCAGATATGTATAAAAGCCTTACCTGCATGTTCTTTCCGTAACAGATGCTCAGCTAAAAACTTTTTAGTTTGTGTTGGGCTTTAAACTGTGAGCTGAGAATGAGACACAGGCTCCGCCCCCTACTGATACACACTGTTTGACTTGTCTAACGATCATAAATCCTACAAGATTTACTTGCTGTGCTCATTCTGGCTCCTGGAGTTCACCATGTATGAGATGGAATAATAAAATACTGAGTGGAGTATAAAGTTTCTCAAATGTATAATTTATTAAAACACTTTCCTTTGAAATTCACACACTTAAACAAAGATCTCTCAAGGAAACTCGCATTATTCATGAGTGGCAGAACATTATGCTCCAACAAGAATCGTCACACCAGAGAAGATGAGAGGACGTATCAGTACAGATTCCCCACAGCTATAGTTAGAATCACATATACTTCCATTGTCCTTTAAAAACAATGACTGGAGAGAAAAGCAGAAGTGAAAAAACGTGAATCAAGAACATGTCCTAGACAAGAAATTATATTTTGCTTCAAGAAGTGTCAATTTTTAGGAACAGTAATTTTTTTAAATGACACAATAGTAATAGTAATTCTAGAAATGTCATTTCTTTTGATTTTGAGGTGACATTTTCATGAGTTTATTCTTTTTTAGAGATGTTAACCACTAACAAATAATCACTACTGTTCATCGCTGATATTAAAAACCCCTGTGCAACACCATTGGAGGCTTTACAGTATATAGAAAGTTCATATACAAAAAAAGATCATGTGTGAGTTCTCATATTGCTACATTAAGTTCATATTCTCTAACATTCAACAATACGTTCTGGTAGATGTAACATCTTTAATAAGTAAGGCAACAAGAGGAGAGAATCACAAGAAAAACAACAAAACACCAGTAAGCTATTAGCTTCATGACATTGTTGAAATGTTCTTTATGTGCAACAGTCATGAGACCAATGGCTCAAATAGCTGTGCCCCAGTAACGAAAAAATCTTTAGTGTCGGGATACGGAGTCATATGTCTAGAAGAGCTTGGAGAAAGTGTGCTTTCTATTTTAGATCCAGGACCATGGTGGCGGGGTTTTCCAGGTACGATCTCCACATGTTGGAGAACCGACACATGGTGGCTCCGTCGATGATTCGGTGGTCGGCGGACCAGCTCACGTTCATGATGTGTGCTTTCACTACCTCGTCCTTGTGGTTGAACCGGGGCAGCACCTGAGGAGAGCGCAAAAAAAGATAATGCCACTTGATAATGGCATACTAATGGCAGCATACAAACATACGGATGCTCTCTCATATTATATATATATATATATATATATATATATATATATATATATATATATTATACAGTTGTGGTCAGAATTAATGGCACCCCTGGTAAATATGATAAAAAATGGCTGTAAAAAATAACTCTGCATTGTTTATCCTTTTGATCTTTCATTAAAAAAATTGCAAAAATCTAACCTTACATTGAAGTAAAATAATTGAAAGTGGGGGGGGAAATCACATTATGAAATAAATGTTTTTCTCCAAAACACATTGGCCACAATTATTGGCACCCCTAGAATTTTTTACGAGAAAAATATCTCTGAAGTATATTCCCATTAATATTTACTTTTTTTTAATCACACCAGGTTGACTAGGAACATGAAATTGTCAAGCCATGACTTCTTGTTTCACAGGAGTTTAAATATGAGGAAACACAAAGGCCAAATTCCCTTAATCATCCATCACAATGAGTAAAACCAAAGAATATAGTTCTGATGTGCAGCATCACAAAATAGAAAGTGGCTGTAAGAAAATAGCTAAAGAATTGAAAATCCCCATTTCCACCATCAGGGCAATAATTAAGAAGTTCCAATCAACTAAAGATGTTACGAATCTGCCAGGAAGAGGACGTGTGTCTATATTGCCTTAATGGACGGTGAGGATGAAAGTTTGAGAGGCCAAAGACTCTCCAAGGATCAAAGATGGAGAAATACAGAGATTACTTGAGTCTTGGTGCCAGAAAGCCTAAAAAAAAATATCTAACAACCTCTACATCACCACATTGGGAGGGTTAAAAAAAAAATCCTCCTCGCTCCTCCAAAAACAAAGTCCAGCATATTCAGTTGTCAGACACGACTGGATCTTCAAAAGGGACCGGATTCTATGGTAAGATGAAACAAAAAAAGGGCTTTTTGCCAGATGTGTTTTGTGCAAACAGTGATAAAAAGTACCCCATGCCTACGGTTAAATATACTGTTGGATCTTTAATGTAGTGGGCCTATTTTCTGCTGGAGGTCCTGGACTTCTTGTTCAGATACATGGCATCATGGATTCAAGCAAATACCAACAGATAAAAAATCAAAACCTGACGCCTTCTGCTAGAAATCTTATAATGGGCCGTGGTTGGATCTTCCATCAGGACAACGATCCAAAACAAACATCAAAATCAACACAAAAATGTGTTACGGAGCACAAAATGAAGAGAAAAAATAGAGAAAAACGCGTGCAAATAGAAAAAAGCACCTGCAAATTAAAACAAACATCTTCATCAGTTTCACAACACACGTGTGCTCCAAATAAGGAAACGCGCTGCAAAAGTTCACAACACAACCAAATACAGAAAACGCGCTGCAAATAACACAGACCACAACGGAAATGTTTCCAGGGGAACCAAATAAGTGACGAACCCGGCTGAGACGTGCTTATTGCTCGTGAGCTTCCCTATGCCATACTCCCTTCGAATGGCAGATTGCAGAGCCCTTAAAGTGGGACTGTGGAGGGAGCAGGGCTCTAGTGTGCTGTTATGTAGCCGTGTGGAGCGCACTTGATGAAGGGAGCAACTAAAGACAACATAATTTCCTCATTATTTTCACCTGGGATGTTCCCATGACAACGCAGCACGGTGTCCATCAGCTGGTCTTACGACAGAAATATAATGCTGTTAACATAACGGATGCTAATACATTTTTATTTTTATTTTACAAAAAAAGCTTTTAAAATATGCGTTATATATCTGTGTCTCAACTTTAAAATTTTGGACCCTACATTACCTAACATTTCTTACGAAACTTTTCTTTATGAAAATGTAATAACATGAAACAATTTGTACAGTGTAACTGATCTATAGATACATATCTTTCCTTCATGTTTTTCTTCTTTATCTTTTTTATTTATTTTAGTTTCCAGCTCATTGTTCTTTTCTCATTTGTATTCTGATGACATTGAACATATTGTTAATACATTTTGTACATTGTATACAAGTTGTATGTCATAAAAATATGTAATCTCTGTATGTTTTGCACAAACAAATAAATAAATAAACAAATAAATAAAGTATAATTTTAAGCTGTAAGCACCAGCACGCATAGATTTATGGATATCTATGCCAGCACGTCTTTTACTGTCTATGAGCACGTCCCAGCCGGGTTCGTCACTTATTTGGTTCCCCTGGAAACATTTCCGTTGTGCTCTGTGTTATTTGCAGCGCGTTTTCTGTATTTGGTTGTGTTGTGAGTATTTGGAGCACACGTGTGTTGTGAAACTGATGAAGATGTTTTCTTAATTTGCGGGTGTTTTTTTTATTTGCACGCGTTTTTTTTTTCAATTTGCATGCGTTTTATTTTATTTGCATGTGTTTTTTTTTATTTGCACACGTTTTTTTTTCAATTTGCATGCGTTTTATTTTATTTGCATGTGTTTTTTTCTATTTGCACGCGTTGTTTTCTATTTGCATGTGTTTTCTTCAGTTGCAGCGCGTTGAGCTCTCTCGGCCACCGTAAGAAGCACCAACATGGATCTGGGAATCTGAAGGATCTGGAGAGATTCTGTATGGAGGAATGGTCTCTGATCTCTTGTCAGGTGTTCTCCAAACTCATCAGGCATTATAGGAGAAGACTCAGAGCTGTTATCTTGGCAAAAGGAGATTGCAAAAAGTATTTAATAAAAGGGTGCCAAATTTAATATTTGTGGCCAACGTGTTTTGGAGAAAAACATTTTTATTTCATAATGTGATTTCCCCCGCACTTTCAATTCTTTTACTTCAATGAAAGGTTTTTTGAAAAGATTTATTTTTTACAGCCATTTTTGATCATATTTACCAGGGGTGCCATTAATTCTGACCACAACTGTAAACTGTATATATATATATATATATATGCAGGCCATAAAAATTGCAATGTTCACAATTGATTTCAACTGAGTTTAACGTTAGGATGTTGTTAGCAATACTGTAGTAATCGTTAAAATGCATAACGCACATAAATATTTTTGTAAAATCAAGTAGATTAAACTACACAATAATCTTTTTGTGTACTGAGTGAATAATTTCATCATATTGGCTTTGTCGGCCATTGACCTTGTCAGAATGGATTATGGGATTGGCCAAGCATACATGTGATTCTGCCACAGATCTTGGCCAAAAATGATGTATATCTTAGATGGCAACATCTGCTTCTGTTGCCTACATAGGGAACTCGCTTGTTTTGGAACAGAGCCGTAGACTACGGAAGCTTGTTTGTGCTACTGAATAAAAAAATAAAAAAGGTAGTTTTTATCTAACAATTCTCACTTTTTCCTCTCAGAATTGCGAGACATAAACTTGCAATTCTGATAATTAAAGTCAGTATTTTTTACCTCAGAATTGGACTTTATAACTGGCAACTGTGGCTTTATATCTCACAATTTTAAGAAAAGTCGTTATAATTCTGAGATATTACCTCGCAAAGAATAAAACCTCGCAATTCTGAGAGGAAAAAGTCCGAATTCTGAGATAAAACGTCACAATTATCTTACTTTTTTTTTTTTTTTTGTGGTGGAAACAAGCTTCCATAGTAGACAAACAAACAGTGTAATAATAATAACAAATACATTTTTAAAAAAGGTTTTAACAAAACATTTTAGAATGAATCTAAAGGCACATCACAATTTTGCAAATGTCAACAAAGTACAAAAAGACGTTATAATGCAAGTATGAAAAGTGCATACCTAAGGATGTAACAAACTAGTATGCCAGTATTGGAACATACTACATTATTGTATCATTATTGCTAATGATGGATACTTCGCAAAGTTTTCCAACATATTATGCTTTGATATGCACCAATCCTAATCTCGCAAACTACATAGGCCGAATTGTATGTAAATTTTAGCGTGAAACTTTACACACCTGGATCTTCCCAAGAGCACCGATAGCAACCTCTGGCGGTAATATGACCGGTTTTGCGTAGGTTCCTCCAATCTGTCAGGAAGCAATCAACATCAAAGTTAATGTTACGTCATTTCCATGCGTAGCTAGCTATGGAATTAGCACTATATTACAGAAGTGAGCAAAGTTCTTCCTGCAACCCTCAACTTACCGATCCAATGTTTGAGAGCGTGAACGTTCCCCCCGTGAGGTCGACAGTCCCCAACTGTCCCGACGATCCCAACGTCTGCAGGCGGTTGAGCTCCACTGCGAGTTCGAAGACGCTGAGCATCTGTACGTTCTTTACGTTGGGAACCAGAAGACCTTGATTGGTGTCCATCGCCAGTCCGATATTATGAGCAGCCTGGAGAAGTGGTCAAGACCAGTGGTCAATGATCTACATCGATTTAACCCAAAATATCGTTATTTAGATGGAAACATTACCTTATAGGTGATATTTGTGCAGTTTTCATCCAAAGAGGAGTTAAGAATGGGAAAATGGAGGAGACTGAGAGACGCTGCCTGTTTACGAAGAAAATACCGATATCAAAACCTGGTTTGAATAAGGTTTACGCCCCCCACAAATCCCTTTCATACCTTGATGAAGAACGGCATGTAGCTGAGCTTCACTCCTCGTGACTCAGCCAGGCCCTTCAGCTCGGAGCGCAACCGGACCAACTGGCTTAGATCCACTTCGTCTTTATAACCGAAGTGAGGGATCTTCAGGGCTGCTGACATTGTCCTAACCATCGCCTTCTGAAAGCCTTTGAATTTTTTTTAAAAAAATCGTTAAATATTTAAGCGAATAAAACAATCAAAACAGGCAAGCAAACAAACCTTTTATTGGTTCAGTGCGGTCTTTGCCTGTAAATACAGGTTTAGGGATCACAGGAGTAGGTACACTAGGTGGAGTCGTCTTCTCTCTGGGTTTCGCAGCTGGAGTTGAAGGTGCTACAGACGCAGGAGGGGGAGGACAAATCTCCTGGAAGGGAGATGGGGGTAAGATGGCCCCTGTCTGTCTGGCTATGAAGTTCAGGATGTCTTCTTTGAGAATGCGCCCGTCTTTTCCAGTGCCGACGACTTCGCTTAGTTTGATCTGTGAGGATTTTGAGACAGAAATCCTTTATTTTGTTATAGAGAAACGGCTCAAAAATCCTTAGTAATACTTCACCCTGCCCCCCATTTGTGGCCATAGTAACAACACTAATTTCTCCAACTATGTGACGCTGACAGGCTAGCCACTTTTCTAGTTACATCTCATGACTTTGATTTATTGGGTTACTGCACTGCCTAGCAACTTCCCATCCCCTGGAAGAGTTTATGACCCCTGATGACAATGGCTAAAGTCAACCCCCCACCGATGCTGACGCCATGCTCAGTTTGATTTCTGCATGTACCTCTGTGACTTACTGATAACATCCTAATTGCAAATATAGTTTAAATTACCCCATAACGCTCCAGGTAAAATTGATTATTCTGTAACAAATAATCTAGCGCAGGACTTAATTATATACTTCAGGGTTTGATTTATTTACTTAAATACATTAATATATTTTTACTTTCCTAATCAGAATATTTCCTAATTAGGGGTCAACATTTTTTGTGTGTATGTATATATATATATACATACACACACACACATACATACAAACAAACACACACATAAATATATTAAATTATGTGTGTGTGTGTGTGTGTGTGTATATACGTATGTACACACACATACAGTATATGCATATGTGTTGGTGTATGTGTTTCTGAGTAAAACACACACACACATATATGTGTGTTTCACTCAGAAACACATATTATTAAAAAAAAGCTGTGGTTTTGTGGCAAGATATACAAATATATATTTTTATTTAGGTATACCCAAGGTAAAGTATACCCAATGTAAAATAAAATATAAAGATTAGTTTTAAAGTTAACAAACTAGCCTGCAAGATAAACAAATACATATTTTTATATATAACATTTTTTATATTTTACTTTTATAATGTGATGTATTTCTGAATTAAACAGAATATTCAAAAGGAAAAATTCTATAATTTTTTGTTTTTTTACATTTGTTCACCAATATGTCTTTTGAATATTCTGCACATATATATCTATATATGTGTGTGTGTGTGTGTGTGTGTGTGTGTGGTTTTGGTGCAAGAAAAATCCAAACCGTACAGTATTCTCCATTGCTAAACGTCTGACGGCAGGGGTGGCATGAGTCTTGAGACCTTTGATCTCCTGGTGTGTGTGTTCCTCATGGGACATGGCTGGCGTCTCCACCACATCCTCCTGAGGACCTCCCACTGCAAATGCCAATGAAAAACTAAATAACTCAATACTAAAAGTCATGCACTTAAAAAATACCATCAATACTCACCCTGACCAGCGTCCGTTTCGATGTCAACGAGAGGTGTGCCTACAAGGGCAATGGAATCGACATCATAGTAGAGTTTTCGAATGATTCCATCATAACGGCTGGTGATGGTGACGGATGCTTTGTCACTCTGGACTTCACAGATGCTGTCGAACTGAGAGACTTTGTCACCCTCTTTAACATACCTGATGATGATAGAAAGATAATAGCGACCTCTACTGGCAGATACTTGTATGTGTCAAAAAAACAACAACAACAACTTACCATTCTTTAACAGTGACCTCCATAATTCCCTCCCCAATATCTGAGAGCTTGAACGGCATAACTGGCCTCGCTGCAACTGCAATAAGCAGGATAAAGGGATTATGAATACATTTTGCTAATTGGGAACCCACATACGTTCACCAACTCACCATAGCTAGTGCGAAAGAACCGTTGCTGTTGTCCAGCAATGAGGAAATATGAGTGGGGTTGGTATACAAGGCAAGCCGCCTGGACCTTCGAGCAGCAGTGCTTGTGCAGGCGTAAAGAGACCTGAAATACCGGTACACAACAGAACAAAAACAGTCAGTTTTTTATGTTTGTGACATTAAATCTCAATGGCGCTGCATGATATAAATTATGCAATGCTAAACAGGAAAACAAAAATCAAAACCAGAAAGCCCAAATGTTCAAACCCACTGCTTCAAATTATAATTATTAATAAAAAATTTGTGTGCATTTGAAACGTACATGCGATTATCCAACGAAAAAAGCTGATTGCAATCATTTAAATCAAAATTGTCTCTTCTGCTCACCAAGGCTGCATTTATTTGATCAAAAATACAGTAAAAACAGCAAAATTGCGAAATATGATTACAATTTCAAATAACTGTTTTGTATTGGAATATATTTTAAAGTGTCAATTATTCATGTGATGGCAAAGCTCTTTTTTTTTTTTAATTGTGATAACATTGGTGCTTTTACTGTATTTGTGATCAAATAAATGCAGCCTTGGTGAGCAAAACTTCCTTCAAAAACATAAAAAAAATCGATTTTGTTCCAAACCTTTGAACTGTGAGTATAGTTATTAATTGATTTGATTATTTAATACATATCTATAAAGAGACATATTGTTAAGAGGCGATAAATATATTACTAAGAGACCTCTTTCAAAAATCCTTCAAAAAGAGTTAGGCTATTCCACACTTTTGACAGGTAACGTTAGTGCGTATATACACACTATACACATATACTTTAATACATATTAATATTAATATAGAGTTAATATTTCATGTTTACATTTAATTAAATGTAAACATTTACATATTGGTAATGGTAAGTATTCACAGTTCTTCTGCTTCAGCTGTTGATAGCTGCAGGCTGCTAGTTCCTCTGACTCTCCAGTTTTGTACTCGCTTACAGACGCTGATTTACGCCTAAACGGCATCTAAAAATCAACTGTTGACTTTAAAGGTCATTGCAACTGTAAGATACGTGTAAGATGAAAGATAAAAACATACCAGGCGTCTCATAAAAGCGAATGGAGCCCGCACAGTGATGACGGCCGCCATGTTTCCCAACCGATTTTGGTCTAATCGGAAATTACGTCACACTCACGCCCCGCTCCACTGCCCAATCAGAGAGCTTTGAGGCCAAGGGCAAATATTTCAGGGAATATTTTTGATAAAAAGACAAACTTTGAATAGAACAGTTAAATAAAATAATAGAAATAATGAATAGTTCAAAATAAAAAATAAATTAATATTATAAGAAAGAAAGAAAGAAAGAAAGAAAGAAAGAAAGAAAGAAAGAAAGAAAGAAAGAAAGAAAGAAAGAAAGAAAGAAAGATGTTCTTTTGGTGCGATGTACTAATTGTACTGTTTATTTTATTTCATATTATCCACAAAATATATTAAGCTGCTTTAACTCTGGATATGAAAAATATCGTGTCAGAAAAAATTATTGTGCTTTACATCACAGACCATTTTTTACTTTATTGTGTTATCCTTGACAAATTAGTGTATTTTTCACTATTAATTTGTCTAATAAATCAAATCAAATGTAAATTATTACATGTATTGGTTAAATCAGGGGTTTTCAAAACCATTTTAATGACAAATTGCTAGTGCTCAAACTCATTAAACTGATAACCATCTCTTTTGGAACATGTCTGATTCGTAAATGAACCAAGATCTGATGGATGTGCCGATACTCAGAAGGTTCTCAGTTTAATGAGTCATATAGTTCACTCGAAACAGCTCAGTTATATTAGAATGAACCAAACGGTATAGTGAACCGATTCATATAATTCAATGAAAAGATCCGATTTAATAGAACAATTCATCCACGAATCGGACATCGCTCGTCTGCGCATGTCCAAAGCTCGTCCACCATAGCAGAGTGACTGGCAAGACTAGTTGCCAGAGAGTGTGATCGTGTTGCCAGGAAATTCGCTGAAATCAAATTTGTGAGGAAGTCAACTCATTCTTTATTTATTTGAATCAACCCAACTGCGCATCAAGTTTAGTTCTTATTTCAGTTCTAAAGGACAGTTCCCTTGTTCCACAGCTTTTGTTAAGAAGTTCGTGTTTATCGCGGCATTGTTTCTGGTCATTTGCCGGTTTATATTAACTTTCATACAGTGTGAAAGTCGCGCGCTCTGTCTCTGTTTTTATTCCCACACGCGCGTCGCTCATCACGCGCACTTTGATACATCGTAACAATTTCTCGCTTTTCGCGAAAATGGCCGCAACTACGTTCGAAATGGACGGAAGTGTAATGGAAGGGGTGAGTATTCATTTTCGAGGCTTTTTGTTTAATATCTCCGATTAAAGTTTCAATATGTAATATGTTAAAATGGCATCGCAAGAACTAAATGTAGTAGTTGTCGTTAATTATTAAAAACATTTTTCTCGATGTTTCTTTTTAAAGGGGGGACAGATTTTGAGGGTGTCTGCGGCGATGAGCTGCATCCAAGGGGCGTCAATCAAAATAAATAAAATCCGAGCGGGTAGAAGCACCCCGGGTTTGAGGTACGGGAATTTTTGTTTTAGACACATTATATATTTATTTCTATGTTGCTTTATGTACATTAAAATAGTTGTTTTTTATATGTCTAACATGCTCAGTATGCTCCCCCCCTTTCCTTTCCATAGTGAATCATGAAACAAAGCAAAGTTGGTTGTTGAAGTCCAGTTACTTAATTTACACTTAACTATTGAAGTCAACCATATAGAAATGTGACTGTTTATGAAGTAAAGTTGTGTTGTACCGTTGTTTATCCCACAAAAATGCTATTAAATACTTTTAACATGAATTTTTAATGGGGCCCTTTGTTAGTTGGCACGGAAGCACATGGCTACTTTCCATGTAATTCTTCATGTTTTTACTTTAAAAGGTCTGGATTCTTATTAGAGCTCTGTAATAGCCCATGTTTTTCTTTGTTGTGTAAATTATTTGGCTGTTTGTAAATATAAATATAAAGATGCAGCTCCTATAAAAACTTATTAAACCTCAAAATGTGAGGTCTAATTTTCTGTCAATAAATGGAGCATTTCTGATTCTTTTGGTCGAAATGAATGGATTTTGAAATGCACGCACTTAGTTTTCTCTTCAATTGTTTTCCCTACATCCCCCCCCTCCTCCTCCCCCCTATTCAACGTCACCAGGCCTCAGCATCTGTCAGGTCTCGAACTGGTGAGAGACATGTGCAACGGCAATCTGGAGGGAGCCACAGTGGGATCCTCTGAAATTACCCTCACTCCTGGGAAAATTAAGGGTGGGAATCACATCGCTGACACTCAGACGGCCGGGTAAGGAACGTTTTTAGTCTTTAACGGTACATTCATGACATTTTAAAATGCCTTATTGTCCCCTCAGCCTTGAAATTACACAAATTTGCGACACTATGATGAAGAATTTTTGGCCCTAAAGGCTGTTCAAATTAAGGATGATAACGAAAAATATATAGTTTTATACATCTAAATGTAAAAGACTAGCAAGAGTCTATTCCACAACTAAAACTATAATGGCACAGAGGAACTATATCATTGGAATCACTTTCACAACAACAATTTTTTTCAGCTAATACGACAAAAACATTGACAGCCAATCAGAATCCAGCTTTACAGAGCTCAAGCTTTTAAAGCAACAGACGACAAACTTAGCACGTGCTTATAATAGACAGAACAATATCATGCAGTCACCAAGAATGATAACTATAATAGCATCCACACCTGTGGATGCTATTATAGTTATCATTCTTGGTGTGAATGGGTCTTAAGTCTACTTTTGTTGTCTGTCGTGACTTGTGTAGAAGCGTGGGACTGCTGATGCAGGTATCGCTGCCGTGCGCCCTGTTTGCTCATGGTCCGTCCGAGCTGTGCCTGAAGGGAGGAACCAATGCTGAGATGGCACCTCAGATCGACTACACAATGAAGGTACGTGTAGATGTATATTTGCGCAATGGGCAGGACCAGACTGGACGTCCTTCTAATTTTGTTCACGTCATGGCAATGATGTTCTAATCTCTCCTAGGTCTTCAAACCAATCATGGAGAGATTCGGAGTTCACTTTGACTGCGATTTAAGAATGAGGTATTTAAGCGTGACTTTGGTTCAGTTTGATCGGATTGTAATCGTGTTAAGCTGAAATGCATTCAAACTATTTTTCATTGAAAACAGAGGTTACTATCCTAAGGGAGGTGGTGAGGTGGTGATCAAGGTGAACCCTGTGAAGGAACTGAGTCCCATCAACTTGACCGAAAGAGGAAACATCACCAAGATCTATGGAAGGGCCTTTGTTGCTGGAGTACTGCCCTTCAAGGTATGAGACTGTTAACTCTTTTTTTTTTTTTTTTTTTTTTTTAGTTAGCTTAACTGCTCAGTTTATTACTTTATTTTCTTACGCTAATTGAAAACATTTTTTAAAAGATGGTTTAACTACATAACATTGAAACCACAGTGTACATTTTTTACTTCGATTTAGATTTTTTCGCCACATTATTTGCTAACGCTGAGACTATCGCTGAGACAAAAGCTCCTAAACCACAACATGCTTATTTTATATATTTATTTTTTACCTCAGTTCAAATTTACATTTTTTTTTTCCTAAGTAGTCTGTGTAAAAAGCTCCTTAACCACAACCTGATTTGCAAGCCACAACGGTTTGCTCGTTGTTTTTTACTTTCATAACTGGCCTTTAATGCTCGACATGCTTTTTTCGTTTTATTTACTTATTGTCGAAAGAAATGATCTCACTAATCTAGGATTAAGTCCTTGAAAAAAGTATATAAACCACAACATGCTTTGTTTTATGCCTTTTAATCAGCATTGTTTGCAGAAAGTGACATTTGGTGTTTGTCAAACAATCCATTTATTTTCCAACAACTCTTAAGTAACTTAACTATAAGCTTCGGCTGATTGTTCTTGATGTTCAGTTGGCGAAGGACATGTCCACGGCAGCGGTTCGCACTATCAGGAAAGAAATTAAGGACCTTTACATCAACATTCAGTCTCTGCAAGAGAAGGACAAGGCCTGTGGAAATGGCAACGGGATCATGTGAGTACATCCGATCTCAAACTGTCTGCTGAAATTGTTTGGGGGTTTCGTTTCGTTTTGACTAACGTCTGTATATTTTCTGTCTCCTGGCAGAATAATTGCAGAATCATCCACCGGCTGCATATTTGCAGGGTCAGCTCTTGGCAAAAAAGGTAAGGGTTGTCTGGCTGCCCAGGCCTGAAGAATTAGTTCAGTATTGTAGTTTTGGCACTAGAGGGCGATACGTCACAAAGAAAAGCTTGTTCATTTCTGCTTTCAGTTTTAGCTTGAACAAGAAGACAATATGTTCCCTACCATTAATTGGATGATTCATTCTTTAACTTGATCATATTAGTTGAACATTTTATTTTTTTGGTCGTATTCCCTCTATTTGTCCCCAGGCGTATATGCTGACAAAGTTGGCATCGAGGCTGCTGAAATGTTGCTAAGGAACATCAGACACAATGGTTGCGTGGATGAGTTCTTGCAAGACCAGGTCAGACACACAAACACTCGACTGTTTCAGAGCGACGGAACAAATACGCGCTCGTCTGGAGACTAATTATATGTATCTTTTTACAGCTTATTATTTTCATGGCCTTGGCGAACGGCACATCCAGAATGCGAACGGGCCCGGTCACCCTCCACACGCAAACGGCAATCCACGTCGCTGAGCTGCTCACGAACGTAAGTTCAGACATGAACACACCTCATAAGTGGTTTAATCTTAAGGAGCTCAGTTATAGGAACTAGCCACCAGAACGGTCCCCCAAGAACAAAATTTTCTCCTAGGACCATTGGATTCAGTAGAAACTCTGACGTGACGTAAGCAGTCCGACAGCCACGTCGTTTAAGTGCGAGACTCAGCAACTGGAGGATGGAGGACGCCGTTGTCGCCATCTATCGCTGCTTTCCATGTTCATGGATGTTTACACAGCTTTTTAAAAATGGCGGGTGCCAGTGTTTCATATGGCATGCGTTTGGCCAATCAACATACACTTACGTCACTGGTAGTGCCTACTGTGAAGTAGGAGCTAATTTATTCCCCTCCAAAAGGCATTCCTAGAACTAAAATCGTTCCTAGTTCCTGTGGTGCGAACACGCCAAAAAGTAGGTACTTTTGCCAATAGTTATAGGAACTTTTGGTGTGAAAACCCCTATAGGCATTTTTGTTTTAGGCCCTGGTGTGTTTTGGTCGATCGGGTCTAAACGTTTTGAGATTGTCCACTTCCGACCACTTTTGAGGTAGTTGAAAACGCATTCGACCAGATTGCTTTCGTAGTGTAAACGCTCATGTGGTCGAATGCGTTCGAACAGCCACAAAAGACCTCCTACTCTCCGGTTACTGACCTAATGCGTAAACATTATGGAAGCGCGCTAGCCAGACAGGGTTTAAACTTTGTCGACTGAAGACCCAAGTTTGGTTTGAAGACTAAAAACGGACCAAGCACAATGTTCTCAGCATTCCTGATTTCTAACAGTCACTCACAGCGTTTGGCAGGTCTTGTGGCTGTCAGAGCAGAAACCAAAGCTGCTGCTCTATGTGTGTTTTTCTGTTGTCTCAGGGCACGTTCATATGTAAATTGCACGAGCTTATTTCGTCCATTAGATTGAAAGATCTGAAAAAGCCCATAGACCCTCCCCTCGAAGAAATCAGGACAGAAGTGGTTGACAGTGGACAAAAGAGACGGATTAAAACACCAGGTGTAAACGGGAATGCGTCTCCCTCGTCTACTTGTGATCCGATCGACTAAAACACATCTTAATACCAGGTGTAAACAGGGCCTGGAAAACTAGGGGACTACAATCTACTACAATTTTCTTTCTTTTACAGGCGAAATTTGTTATACGCAAAGCAGAGGATGAGCCAGGCAACACCGACACCTACATTATCGAGTGCCAGGGAGTGGGCACAACCAATCCTGGCTTGTAAACGCACAGATCCGTCGTCCTTGGCTTGTCCCCAGCCGAGATAAGGAGGACTTGTAGCAGAGACACACTACTACTGTAACCGACTGGATGACGTAAAGATTACTTCATTATCTTTACGTTCTTTTCGGTTACAGATTAGCTTTTTTTGCGCTGACCACCAGGTCAGTACATATTTGTCCCTTACGACTGTTGTGTCCCCCTCTGAAACTTTTGTTGTTACTCAGGGTATTGCCTTACACTGTAATGAAATGTCAACTTCGGATAGTTTTGAACTCGCAATATTCGCCCAATCCTGACAAATTTGCTTTCCGCACGCTAACACAAGCCTTAAAGTTTCATTAAACCCTTTCGATACTGCGGTCTGTTGTTAACGATAACTATAGCCTAACCAATTTGCATGGACGTAGTAAAATACATGTATGTCACTGGTAAATTTAGTGCACTGTGTGTACGTGGAGGAAAAGTTTTCCATCCAAGTTTTTGGTTCCATGTAGCTGCTTTTGTTTTTTTGTATTTGTTATTTAAGTCATTGTGTTGGTAAGAAACACATTTCCGAAATTCCATTGCCATCTTATTCTATTTCCATTGAAGTTCTTTCATTTGAATTCTGAAAATGTTTCATTCTTGGTTTGTTATTTATAAGATGGAATTTCAGATTTTTTTTTATGCATTGATATTTGCTTTTTTTGGGCTACTTTTAGGTGTTTTACTTTTGTTATTTGCATTAAATAACTTTTTTTTTGTTTTTTTGAGGAGAAAAATACAATAAAATGAGTGATAGACATACAATATTGTATTTTGATTGTGTGGTTCTTTAAAAAAAATCGATCATTTACCAGTATTTAATCTATCAAGTGTGTTTGCTCTTTTAAAAGTGCACTGTTCTAATGTAATTCAGGCATTGGCTACCTTTCGCATTCATTTGTCTGTCTTAAAGAACACTTGGGCATTTAAAGCTGTTTTATATGGCTCACTCTCATATAAACCACTTGTCTAAAGTGAAAGTACTTGACGGCTTATAGTGGAAATCTTCACATTTAGCTCACCCTAGAGACAGCCTACAAGTGTTCGGTGTTACCGGTCCAACTGGAGTCTCTTCCCTCGAACCCTTTGTGCTCCAGGCTGGAACAATTACTGCCGGCAGATGCCAGGACAATACAGAGAGCAAAAGAGAATAGGGGAAGCCATGTGATGATGCGTGAATATGCATCGAGCCCTTGGGTCTGGAAAGGGCACATCTACATTGTTAAAACGAGAAGCCTCCCTGTGGGGGGCGGTGGGTGTGGCTTCTGAACCGCATTCAATGGGCCGTCAGTCTGATCATTGGCTGTCTGGTGCATCTGTTGCTGTGGGGAGTAATTAAACACTGGCAAAGCAGAAAAGAAAATCTTTGCATATGGTCACTGGAGGATCAAACAAACAAATTAATGAATTTTAAAACTTGTTTTTTTTTAATGAGTTTTTTTTTTCTTGAGTTCATTTTTAGATATTTAAATGCTAATTTTGTGATTGAGATTTTGAGATTAATTTTAAAGTTTGGATGTTTTAATTGATAAAATTAGGTAAAATGAATACTAAAATGTATGTAAAATTACTAATACAAATACATGACGCTACTGACAAAAATCACTATAAGGAAAATCTTTGCATATTTTCTGGATGATCAAACAAACTTGTTAAAAAAGCATTAAAGATACAATATGTAACTCTTTTTTTGCCGCTAGAGGTCGCTAACCTTTTACAATAACAAAGGCGTAGGTTGGTGACGCAAAATTCGTTGAATTATGGAACTTGTCAAGCTTATGGATCGAATAATGCTTATGGATGAGTGAATAACTTACATTGATGTTTTTATCATGACTGGTATGAAGCAGGTCGCGATTGCTAATGAGAGACAGATATCAGCGCCACACGCAAGTCCCGCGTATATAAAGGAATAAGGACATTTAATTCTACCGAACTAAGTTACCCGCAAGTGCTGAATTACTCACAAAGGTCAGTTTATTTGACGAATGAAGCTTGTGAGGTAACGCAGCGCTGTTTCACTTGGTCTATGTGTTAGTTCGTTGGCTGTATGAGACTAGCAGTAAGCTAATCAACATTAGAATAACATACAGATCATATTCTAATATTTAATCATGTTGAGCTATATAACATTGATTAGTTTTATGTACATTTGCTCACCTGTCTAATATAGTACATGTAAGAGCTCTGTCAAGTCGAAGTTTTTCACAGACGCAGAGCTCTCGCTATCTCGAAAACGCCACGCTGATATTGATCCTCGTTTTAGTTCTCCTTTTTTCCCAAAGTCTGCTTGTCATGGCCCATAATGTTTGAACGAAACAACTGCAGCTAGAAGTCACGCTGTTGTCCACGTCTGTCGCCATGGTTACTATGCTCATAGATATCACCAAAGCCCGTCTACTTCTCTGATATCACTATGCTCGTATTGCACGAGCGGAAACCAGGGATAACGCGGATATTACGTCAGTGACAGGCGAAAAAATTCCGGGACGGCCAATTATTTAAAATAGGAATTTCTCTGAAATTTAAAAATCTTTTGGAACTTTTGGGATATTATAAGTACACAATTGCAGGAAATATTTCACATTGTGCAAGTGATTTTTGGATATTTTTATACAAAATTCTTACATATTGTATCTTTTATTTCTTTTATCTATCTATATATATATAAAGGTACATATAAATAATTTACATAAATAAAATAATATGAAATTTATACAATTTCCTGCAGTTGTATATAATTGAATTCAATAATAAATATACAGTGCTGGGTACTTACAAATTTTCTAATAAACATTACACATTTAAGGTAATATAATCAGGCTTATTTTTGATTGCTTTTAGATTAATTTTGACCTAATTCGTTTATCTCTAATCTTGTACCACGTTAATATAAAATACAAAGACAAAAAAATATTTGCTATTGTTTATTGTCAACAACGTGAAGTGCATTAAATATTACATTACGTCAGGGTTGGCAGACTGGTGGTTGTGAGTAAATTAAAATCTATTAAGTAATAAAGTCATAAAAATGTAAAATGAAAAATGTATACTTTTAGAGGAAAAATATAATTTTAAAATAAAACATTTACTAAAAATGATTTAAAAATATTTTAATTGTTTACCAGCATCATCAGAGAACTGTGAACATAATTACATTTATTATTATTATTATTATTATTGACTTACCAATTCATTATCAATAATAAATGAATTATGAATAAGTTATGTTACTTAATTTTTGGAATCTGATCCAGATCATAATCCAGATATGTGTAATCAGTACTACACAGCACTCTGTACATATATAGTGATATGTATATATACAGTAATATATATATATATATATATATATATATAGAGAGAGAGAGAGAGAGTTCAGTAGGCTATATATAGCGATTTTGCAATTCATTTTAAAGTTTAGATTTTTTAAATTGTACAAAAAATTATAAATAATTATTAACTTTTTAATTAATTATTGGAAGCTACTAACAAAAAATGCTATATAAGAAAAAAATCATATATTCTGAGTAATCAAGCAAAATTAATGTAAAAACTGATGATTAAAAAATGTATTCATTTTATGCATATAGCCTACATTTATTTATATATTATGTTTTATATTAAGTTTATAATTGGGATTTAGCTTAATTTTTATTATCCATTTTAAAACTGTGATTTATAAAAAAAATAAAATATATATATATATTTATGTAAATATATTTAGATTAAGTTTTATAATTAAAATTCAGATTATTAAAAAAGTTACTGACATAAGTCTGCCTGGGAAAGGTTATGTAAAAATCAGACATAATCTACAGCCCTGGCTTATAAATCTTGCTGTTATGATAACGCTGTCAGAGCTGAGTGAACAAAGTAATGAGTTTGATGACTTTGTGGTTTGGTGCACAAAGATGACATCAGACAATGACACATTTAAACATGCCCTTTGAAATGCAGCATAATGATTAATGCTATATTGGCATTATAGCATTAAATAATTAAATAACGTTCAATGGAGTAAAACTTGATGAACTTTTTAATGAAATGAATATGTTGGTTTTTAATAACAGTATATGGACTTTGCACTGTATTAGATTAGATATGGTGACAGGACGGATAACACGAGTGCGCTGTATTTGCCAAAACATGAAACTCCATGGAGATAAATCTATTACAAATATTTTTTTTAATAAGACGAAAAAATATGGAGTATCAATCTAGGCATACAAGAAATTTGTTATAACTTAATATTTTTTCATAAAATAGACGGAATACCTTCTGTCCAAAGTTCAAAAGGCATGTTTTCTTGTAGGATTAGGGTCTATTCAGGGCAAATGTTATATATATATATATATATATATATATATATATAGGCCTATATATCCACTCACCTAAAGGATTATTAGGAACACTATACTAATACTGTGTTTGACCCCCTTTCGCCTTCAGAACTGCCTTAATTCTACGTAGCATTGATTCAACAAGGTGCTGAAAGCATTCTTTAGAAATGTTGGCCCATATTGATAGGATAGCATCTTGCAGTTGATGGAGATTTGTGGGATGCACATCCAGGGCACGAAGCTCCCGTTCCACCACATCCCAAAGATACTCTATTGGGTTGAGATCTGGTGACTGTGGGGGCCATTTTAGTACAGTGAACTCATTGTCATGTTCAAGAAACCAATTTGAAATGATTCGAGCTTTGTGACATGGTGCATTATCCTGCTGGAAGTAGCCATCAGAGGATGGGTACATGGTGGCCATAAAGGGATGGACATGGTCAGAAACAATGCTCAGGTAGGCCGTGGCATTTAAACGATTGGCACTAAGGGGCCTAAAGTGTGCCAAGAAAACATCCCCCACACCATTACACCACCACCACCAGCCTGCACAGTGGTAACAAGGCATGATGGATCCATGTTCTCATTCTGTTTACGCCAAATTCTGACTCTACCATCTGAATGTCTCAACAGAAATCGAGACTCATCAGACCAGGCAACATTTTTCCAGTCTTCAACTGTCCAATTTTGGTGAGCTCTTGCAAATTGTAGCCTCTTTTTCCTATTTGTAGTGGAGATGAGTGGTACCCGGTGGGGTCTTCTGCTGTTGTAGCCCATCCGCCTCAAGGTTGTGCGTGTTGTGGCTTCACAAATGCTTTGCTGCATACCTCGGTTGTAACGAGTGGTTATTTCAGTCAAAGTTGCTCTTCTATCAGCTTGAATCAGTCGGCCCATTCTCCTCTGACCTCTAGCATCAACAAGGCATTTTCGCCCACAGGACTGCCGCATACTGGATGTTTTTCCCTTTTCACACCATTCTTTGTAAACCCTAGAAATGGTTGTGCGTGAAAATCCCAGTAACTGAGCAGATTGTGAAATACTCAGACTGGCCCGCCTGGCACCAACAACCATGCCACGCTCAAAATTGCTTAAATCACCTTTCTTTCCCATTCTGACATTCAGTTTGGAGTTCAGGAGATTGTCTTGACCAGGACCACACCCCTAAATGCATTGAAGCAACTGCCATGTGATTGGTTGATTAGATAATTGCATTAATGAGAAATTGAACAGGTGTTCCTAATAATCCTTTAGGTGAGTGTATATATATATATATATATGTGTGTGTGTGTGTGTGTGGGGGTATTATTTTATTATCATTGATATTTAATTTTTAATTTACGTTAAGTTTAAATAATTTTGTGTTTTTGTCATTATTATTGATTGTGTTTTTTATTTATATGTATTTTTAGTTTATATTAAGTTTTATTTCAGTTTTAGCTTTAGTTATTTTGGCACATAAGTTAAACTAAATGTAAAGTTAAATTATTAATGTCCTGTTAGCTCCTGTAGATACTGTAACTTTGTGTTCTCCCTTAATGGCTTTCTTTCTATATTACATATTTATTTATCATTTTTATTTATATTAATATTTATATATTTTATTATATTATAATAGATGTTGTACCAGTAAACAATTCTTTTCCGAAAGCCTTTACGCTTTAGACACTCTAATACTAGCGCTATATGGTTTAAGGATCACATTAATTCTCTTTTTTAATCTAGTTAAAAAAAAAAGAAGCTTATACTCTTAAAAAATAATGGTTCTTTATTGGCATCTGTGGTTCCATGAAGAACCTTTAACATCCATTGAACCTTTAAATTCCACAAACGGTTCTTTATAGTGGAAAAATATTCTTCTTCAAAAAAAAGAAAGAAAAAAAGAAGAAGAATATTTTATGAACTGTTTACTGAAAGGTTCTTTGGGGAACAAAAAAAAAAGGTTCTTCTCTGGCATCATGGTGAAAACCACTGTTTGGATCATTTTAAGGGTGTACAGTAAGTTGCCTATGTGACCTTGATCACCTCTTGAAAACCGTGTCAATAGCTGACCTCAAAACACAGTGAACCACTCTTCATTTTCACTAGCACATTCACCGCCTTCATGAAACCCAAGACAATTAGCTTCTTGTCCACTAGTTTTTCCATGATGTCACAGCAGCATGTGAACCTGTACAAAACCACAACAATAGCCAGCATGCTCTAGAAAGCATAGATATATTATACATTATGTGACAACCTGGAACGATATCCGGAGGAGTAAACGTCACATTAGTGCACTCCGTTCGGAAAAGTAACGTGAGAAACCTTGAAAGTCACACCTTGGCAGGACTGTAACACGAGCGGCATGTGAGGAAACCTGAGCGGGCCGCGTGAACCGGATCCTCTCTGTTCCACTGGTACACTCTGTCCCAGTAGAGTAGACCACCGCACACTTTGTGCTCTGAACGGGCCAGGTCCGTTCCCGAGGGTCCCGTCAAACCCGGTTCTGCTAAACCTCCATGAAGGCATGTCAGACGTTGCATCCTGGAGACCCCAGGAAAATAGCGAATGGAGCCAGTCAGCCACAGCCGTGAACAAGGTCTGGATCTCTTTGGTTGGAGGTAACATGGACTTTTGAAGCTACATTGTTTATGTACTGCAAAATATATGAACGGAGCAAAATGTTGTTTCTTGGAGCTCCAAAAATCATTGTGTGAAAAATTGGAAGTTGCATGTGACATGTGAGAATGCATTGATTTCTTCAAGATAGAAGGGATAGTTCATCTAAAAATGAAAATTATGTCATGTCTTTCCAAACCTGTATGACAAGAAGGTTTTTTTTGTTAATTTTTTAGTATTCTTTTAAAAAAATCTTTTTATAAATAAAAATATAAAACACTGTATAGTATATATATATATATATATATATATATATAGGCTATATAAACTTATTTTTAGATAGACTTTATTTATTTATTATAAAGTTTGGATTTTATATTAATTAATATAAATAGTTACAAATTAGAAATGTATATACATTTATTTGTCATTTTTATTTTTAAAATTAATATTTATTATCTATTAATTTCTATATTAATTAATATAGAAATTAATAGATAATAAATTGGAAGTTCAATTAATTAATTAATTGTATTTAAATAATAGTTTATTATTTATAATTGACTTCTTTCTTTATTAATATTTAAATATTTAAAATGGGATTGTTGAGAATAATTTTAAAGTTGGGATTTTATATATTTATATAAATGTGTTTATTTATATATTATATTTTACACTGTTAAAAAATATGATCAATAAGTTATGACATATGTTTTAACATTGCTTTAACTCATCAAAATGCAATTTTACAAATTTGTTTATAAATTATACAAGATTAAACACTTTTTTGGTTGTAAACTCTAATTTAAGTTGAAATGACTTAAACATCAAAGGTGATTGAACTTAAAAATTTAAAGCAATAGCTTTTTTACAGTGTATATTAATATCATAAATGATTTTTAATTTAATTTAACTATTACATTTTATTGAACTTATTATTATTATTAATAAAATAATTATTGAAATTAAATAATTATTACATTTTTAAAACTCTTCTTATCCATACAATGAGAATCAGTGCATGGGGACCAAAATTACGTTGTTTGGACCCTATTGGCTTTCATTGTACGGACAAAATATCTTCTTTTGTGTTCCACAAAAGAAAGAAAGGCGGTTTGGAATGACACATGAAAGGGTGAGTAAATGATGATACAATTTTTTTTTTTTTTTTTTTTGGTTGCAACCAACATCATTCACCTTTCAGGCTCTACTAAAATGCTAATAGAATAACAACAAAAAGAAGCACAAGCTACTTCCTGAGCCAAGGGGCAATAAGTTCACTCTTGTTTACTCATTTGCAGATTATTCAAATCCTACGCACAATGCACCAAAACATCCTGGTTTGCTTTGTTTGCTGCCTAAGCACATAAAACAACACCGAAAGATCAGTCTGAGCTGTCATGAATGGACCTATATTAATCTCCTTCATGACGTCCATCTGCTCAAACTGAACTATTTAGGACCCGCGGCAGTGACCACGGTGTGGCCAGTTTCTACATGATCTCTCCAGCTGTTGTTGTGGATGACCCGAATAAACAGTCTGCTGTGGGCGAATGATATTTGAGCTCAGTGTTACAGATTGCCGGCTACTTGTGTGTTCACAGATGCAATCTGCAATAATGAAAGAAAAACAATAATAATCAACTAGATAGATATAGACAGTAGGCTATATAAACTAAAACACAAAGTAAATTACAATTCTACCGAACTCTGAAATCAAATTATGAATTAGAAGAATATCTCCAGAGTGTCAGAGACACAAAGCAGAGACGGATCATGAGCAAGTACAGGCTCAGTGAACACAGTCTAGCCATCGAGACTGGCAGACACAGAACGAGCTGGTTACCCAGAGAGCAAAGGGTGTGTTCACTGTAGGACAGGAGAGATCGAGACAGAGACTCACTTCCTCCTTCACTGTCACAAATACAGTTCAATCAGAGACTTCTATTTAAACAAATTCACTAACTTAATAAAGACCTAGCCATGACTGAACACATAAAGATCATATTAGGAGAGGGGCAGACAGCGACAGCAGCACTGGCTGCCAGATATGTGTTTGTTTGTGTGCCACAGCCTGAGAGACAGCAGGTGAATGTGTGTGTAATGTGTGTTGTGTCTGACCCATAGACTGTAAAAAGGTCTGACCTCAGTGTGTTTCCCTACTGTCCACCACAGTGCCCGTCAGTAATGTGTGTGTGTGTATGTTAAAACACTGTGGTATCAAATGTTCACACGTTCTAATTTGTTACACTGTTCATTTAAATTTAAGTTATGTTATCATATTTTATTATTTTTATTCTTTAATTATTATTCTATGTATTCCAAGTTTTGGCAATATTGTATTATGTAGAGTCATGCCAATAAAGCAATTTTGAATTTGATATAGACAGACAGATATATATATAGATAGATAGATAGATAGATAGATAGATAGATAGATAGATAGATAGATAGATAGATAGATAGATATAGATATAGATATAGATAGATAGATAGATACATTATCCCTTTATCAATGTATTTTCCGGAATCTGTGTAAAAGGGGCTTGAGACTAAAACAACTTCTTGTCCTCTGATTGGTCGAGTGAGAGTTAACCCAGGCAACAGCCTTCCGTGCAGCTGATAGGACAGCGCCGCACCACGTGACGTCTCTTTAAGATCTTTCTTGACTGTCCGCGACCATGGCAAGGGAAAGATTTCCACCTAATGACCAGGGCAGAGTTACCATGCAAAGGCTCGCGTCTCGTATCTGCCCAGTTTGAAGCGAAAACGGATATTTAATACGACGAATGCTGGTTTGACGGCTCACGCGAGAGAAAAAAAGACTCCGGTGCTGATCATTCACGTACTTTTACGCGGGACTCGCGATGCCGAAATGACGCACCTTGAGTTGTTTTAACAGTTGCAGATTTTTTCTTCACATTTTACGCGTGGTAGAATGCCACAAGATTCAAGTGCCTTATTTACACATTTCATTGTTTTGTTTTTTGGTTCTTGAGCCACAGGAATATTTGCGCCATCTGTAAGAGAGAAGTTGCATCGGTGAGAGGAAACGGATTTTTAAACCAGCAGTTACGTTAGTTTGTTTTTCTTCTAGAAGTAGCTGCGCCTCACTCGCGCTCCGTCGATGACTCTAGACAACTTAAAACATTCCGCGATACTCACAACCTTATTTAAAATGGCTGACGATTATGATTTAATAGGTGCTTCGGAGTTTATTAAAGGTAAGTATAAGTTTCAGAGGATTTTCTAAATAACTTTGATTCATTGTGTTGCCATCAGATAGATAGATGTGTGTGTGTGTGTGTGTGTGAACAATTATCTGACACCAACTTTTTCTGTGTTGTAGATATTTTTTATTAACTTATTAGCAGGAGTGCAGCGTTTTATTTATGTATTTGTTTGTTTTCCATTTATTTATTTTATATAATATTTGCGTGAAAAATGCTTTATTGAAACACATTTTTTTTGTATTTAATCATATATAAATTAATATAGGTAATGCATCAACCCTGTTACCATGAACACTATTTCCAACTTTTTTAACTTTTATTAAAGTTAAATTCAAAACTTTGCATTATGACAGCATCTCTTTTAGGACAAGTGTCTCATCTTTTTTTTAATAGAGGACATTCTTAAATAGTCAACCATGTTATCTTGATTATGTAAAGTTGATTATTAAACATGTATATTGTAATATCAGCATTATAGTCTATTACTAATAAACACTGTAGTGTCCTCAAGCAACTCGAAAAGGCTAAAGATTGTCAACACTGTTCTGCTATATATCTACTGCATTTAATTTTTCAATTGGCAGCACAATGCAGTTTACACCTACATTTATGCTTAAAGACATTCTTTATCTGATAGAACATGTAAAATCACTCACTTCAATTAATGACCCATGTGGATTCATAGATAAGTGGATTAGATAAGTGGAGAAACTTATTTTTGTCAACTCTGGTGAGAAAAACCCTTCATTTATGGAACACACTTACATTTCCTCTGACCATATTGACTAAAGTTCAAGTAATGTGACAATTTACACATCTCGTTTTTAAGTGTATTTAAAGCTACAGTCCATTGGATAAGTCCATTGTTTCACATGATTAAGCCCAAGCCAATAATCCGATGATAAAACCTTATCTCTGAAGAGTATTAATAGTTGTTTTATAACTGTACCAGCTTGCTTAATTGATCATGTGTATTTTTTTCTTCTTTTTTCAGATCGACTCTATTTTGCAACCTTAAGGAGTAAGCCGAAAAGCACTGCAAATACGCATTACTTTAGCACGGATGAGGAGTTTGTGTACGAAAAGTGAGTTTTCCCTCCTTCAGTCATCTTTCAAAGCCAAAACCCCCAGCAGGCGAGAAATGGTTCCAAAGTCTGTTACATAACTCTTTAATCGAACACATCCTTCTTTAGTAAAAGTTGCATTTTTATCTCCAGCGTTCCATAATGGATCTTTAATTTAGAATGTACGGATGTGGGGGGATTAGTGAAAAATGGAGCTGATGTTCTTCACATTATTTGGACTGATCATTTGGACATAAAACAGTTTTTGAGATTGACTTCTAAAGATGAAATATGGTCTGCTTTGAGGGCCCATCTTATTATAATTGCAAAATATAATGTCCAAATACAAAAAAGTACAACTTTATTATTTATATTTGAAATTACAAGAATGATTTCACCATATCCATAGTACATTCTAGGGCTGTTTTCGACTAAGGATTTTCATAGTCGAATCTGATTCGTTAGATTTTGCCATAGTCGACTGATAGTGGAGCCTTTTTTTTTTTTTTTTTTTTAGATAGCAGCTAGACGTTCGGTTGAATAACTGTTCGTCTGTTATAGGACAACTCGCTCTACGTTTATTTAAAATGAACAGCAAGACAACTAGAAGTGAATGTGCTTTCCATTAAATGAATCCTTAACACACAAAAAAAAAACGTTGCAATGAACGTGCTTTGTTTTAAATAAATCACACACAGTAAATAAAACCTTAACAACAAAACTTTGCAATGAACTTTGCAATTTAGACGCGCAAACTGCGTGCCGGTGCGGTGAGACGTATAGCCTACATGCTCGGGCAGATTCAGCTTGAAGTCGTTCATCCTCGGATGCGGCGTCGCGCGCGCTGTTACAAAAAAAGCTGTGCACACAGCCAAGCGAAATGGGGTCTTGCCGGGCTTGCGCACCCAACGCGTCATTTTTTTGCCGTCCGCACCTTTGCGCTCGTGCGGACGCGTCGAGTATAAACAAGGCTTTACTCCGTGTCAGCGCGCGCTCTGATCGGTAAAGGTGCACAGACCTCTCCCGAATCATCTCCAGCAGTAGCAGCCTCCGATCGCACCACTAACTCCGCCTCCGTTTCCCTCGTAAGATGATATTAGTATTTAAACATTCTCTATGATAAAAAATGTTTGTAAAAAATATTTTAATAGCACGGTTTTGGCGGTTATAGAGTTCTAATGACGGTGTTCACCTATAAGCGTCGGTCTCACGGTTATATAACGTCACACCCCTCATAACACTTGCCTACTATTCGACTATGAGGTTCATAGTCGAATCAGACCTCTCCGAATCGAATCGTCGAATCCTCGACTATTAGAAGTCAGCCCTAGTACATTCCAAAAGAGACGACAACCTTTTGTCTTTCTATGTCAGTTTAACACCTGCAGTGGCTTGTTTCTTGGTGTTCGGGCCCCAGATGGAGGCCCTGCACAGTTAGAGGCCCCGGGGCCCCATTAGCCTGAGCCAAATAAATGTATAAATTAATTATTTTCTTCATTAAACAATGAAGTTTCATGATATTGTTCTTTTTTTTTTTATAGCTTTTATGCTGATTTTGGACCCCTCAACCTTGCAATGCTGTACAGATACTGCTGTAAACTCAGCAAAAAGCTCAAGGTGAGTCAAACACCTGCTTGATTTATTACGTTTCTCCTGATAAATGTGCAGTATATAGTAACAATTTAAAAACAGCTTAGGAATTTGCTTTCACACCCCCTTTGGTGGATATTTTGGGCTGTCCGATGTGCTGACGTTTCCTTTGTTTTGTAATATGGGATGGGAATTTAAACTTAATTATACAGCATTGAACTTCAGCTACAGTTAGAAAACATTCCATTCAGCCCTCGCTTTATGAAGTCATCAGCTCGTTTTATGCCATGTCTGTTAGGCGTGTGCTCATTAATAAAAGCGACTTTGACCAGAGACTCAATAGGATATATCACATGCGTCTTTAGCCATGTAGTCTTTAGTCTTTTTTAGTTTTTTACTCACCTGTTTTGGCATTTTAATGTGGACCGAGAGTGTCTCCTGAGACCACAGGATGTTCTTGGCTCAGGGCCTTTATGCAGATCAGCAGTTCAGGCCATGAAGAGATTTCTTCTTTATGGAATATTTCTGGTTTGGTACATTTGCGTAATGCTGATTACCACAAAAAAACTATTTCCACTTGTCCCTCCACTTCTTAAAAAAAAAAAAGAGAGCTTACAACTAGCTTACAATGTAAATGAATGGGAATTTGTAAACGATAAAATACTGTTTCAATAGTAAACAACAACAAGACGTAAAGAAAGTGTTAATATAAGCACTAACCTTTTCTGTGTGGGGTTTTATCTAATTTTACAACTTTGTTGCCATGACAAAGCAAGTAAACCCTACAATGACTGTAAAAACGATTTAAACTTTTTTACAGCTCAAAAATACACAGGTTTTAACGGAACAATTAATAGAAGTGCTTTGATAAAATCAAAAGCTTCACATTTCTGCTTTTAAATGCTCCAAAAATTGGCCAAAAATTAAGTTTCTCACTTCCATTTTTGCTTTTTTTTTTTTTAAAAGAGGGACCAGTTGAAATTACTTTTTGTCGGAATTAACATTGTCGGTTGCACTTGACTTGTACTGAACCCGAACTATTCCTTTAATCCATAATTATACTATATAAAACCAGTCATTGAGAAAGTCCACTCAGTTTTGGTTTATGAATGTCAGATGGACATCTGCAAGTTGTGTTACGCCTAGAATCTGCTTTGTAATTTCTCTCAAGCTTTTCAAGTCTTTAAGTTAAGTCTTTATCCAGTGGTTTAGTGAGTAGTCATTTAGTTGTCGTTTTTATCTAAATGCTGTTCAGGGATAATCTTCCCCAAGTGTAGTCTAGGGTTAATTTAAGTGCCTTGCACAATGGTGGATCTTGTTCACTTTGGGGATTGAACCAGTCACCTTCCGGTCACCACTTTTAAACTTATCCACTTGGCCAAAGTTTCACTATTCAAGTCCAACTTTTTCTTGCAATTGTCATTGAACTTAACAGGATATCAGCAAGGTATTATTGACTACAATCGTCATCGATCTCTGTGCTCACGGTCTGCTGAGAAAGTGAGTTTCTTAATGTAACCATTCTTGATCTCTTAGGCCTGATCCTCGCTTCTATCAGATGCAAACAAATGTTGGGATTAGACGTGACCTTTTTCCTATATCCAGACTTTAGCAGCAGCCACTGGCATTGGCCTTGCCATATGGTTCATGCGTGTCCTAAGGATTTATGGAGGAGGATTAGATGTCCGAGTACTGCTCTGCATGCATCAGTTGTGATGGGGAGAGGCATGGGATCCATCCCAATCCATCAGCTCCCAAATTTTCCATTCGATTGCAAATATAGACACTTTTTAAAGGGTAATGTTAGGTTGGGGGCAGGTAGCAGTAGGTACTTACTTTGGGTTTTTACTAGTTGCTTTCCAAAACCTAGTGAGCTGCCTTGCTTGCTACTACCTACATAGGCAGCTACCTTCTAAGTTAGCATCTTAACTAGAATGAAACCCCCCATAGTGACTGATTTGGAACACTATAAGCAGAACCTCAATGTGCCTCCCAAAACCTTTTACATAAGCATATTGCTAAGCTAACAGCACAATGTTTGCTAGCAATAATCTGTTTTTTAAATTAGAATATTTTTCAACATTCGAATGCAATAAGTGCACTTATTATTAACATTTCTTTTGTTCGCCGTCTTAGTTTTTTTTAACTTTCCGAAATGTATTCTGTTATTACCTACTACCATACCTTATATATTTTGTCTAGATGTGCAGTCTAGTTAGGAAGCTTGATTGGTTTTGGAACATAGATACAATATTCTTCTCTTTTAGCAGAGTTTAGAAATGTAGTTGTTGAGTTTCATCAGCTTTCAGGAGCATAAAACGGTTAACTCAACACAACGGCAACTTTAGTTTCCAATTAACCTATATTGAGAGGTCAGCAAAGAGGACGAAGCCCCAAAGCACACAAGAAGTTTATAGTGTCCATGTAGAGATTCATTCTGCTGACATGTCCATTGTCCACTTTAAGCATCTGTCTAAGGTAAAGGAAGGTGTTTGAATAATCAACCATTTTATCTTTGTGTTTGTTCTGTGTTTCTGAAGCTGGCAAGGTGTAGTTCTCTCATGTGTTCATGTTGTGGAATGTTAAAGGTAAAGTCCCGTGGTAAAGGCATGATGTGTTTTCTTCCTAACCACTTTCACTACGTCCACACCCATCAAACCACATGTGAATGTCCCTGCCTGTTTCTAATTTACAAGTTGTTTCCTTAGAAATTACTTTTTTTTTCTTTTCTTTTTTTCTAATGTCACTGGTTTTGGGCCTGATTGGTTGTAGGGTGCAGGAACCACACAGCAAAAAGGGAAGCTTTGGTATTATCTGTTCTAGTAATATCTGGTTCTCGTCAGATAAGCTTTCTAGCATTGCTGAGCAGAGCTTGTGCAATCTCAAGTTGTTGTTTTAAAAGCACAATCTGATAAAAAAACGCTGCAAATCTTGAGAGTTTTTGAGTTGTTTAATTTTGACAGTGATTTCTTCCCCTCACTAGCATAACCACCTCCTGCATGTAGATGTTGCTATTTTAATAGAAAATTAACTTGCTGGGTGATTGTTAACCTTGTTTTGCCTGGAAAGTAAAAAGGGTTCAACTCTGTGAGAACAGATGACCTGTTTGAGAATAGCTAGAGAAAGGAAAAAGATCTTCAAACTTGTTGACATTCGATATTGTTTTGCTTATCGAATTAACTTGAAAGGTTTCAACCCTGTTGCTATGACTCTAAAAAGATTATCTCTATATTTTCACTTTCCAAACTAGTTTGCATTCAATATCGTTTTGCTTATTGATTTGCCTCGGAAAGATGAAAGGGTTCAACTTTAAGAAAAGGTGACCTCTAGCTCTTCACTTGACTTTCAGTGTTGTATTGCTTATTGATTCAGTAGGGAAAAATAAAAGGCTTCAACCCTGTTACTATGACTCTGAGAAAAGAAGACCTCTATCTTCACTTTCCAAACTAGTTTGCATGTAATATTGTTTTCCTTATTGATTTACCTTGGAAAAGATTAAATAGTTCAACCCTGTTACTATGACTCTGCGAGAAAAGATAACCTCTCGATCTTCACTTGTCTTTCAGTGGTGTCTTGGTTATTGATTAAACTTGGGGAAATAAAAGGGTTCAACCCTGTTACTATGAGTTTCTAAATATTTATGCTAAAAAATTAATAGGCAAAAAAGTCACTTTTTTAAAGAGGTGCTCCTGAAAAAAAGGTTGAATTTCTTCTGAGCTCTCAGCTTATAGAGCTCTGAAAAATTATTTTTCTTAGTTTTGCCTTCGGTGTACATCTCTTTTTCTTTGGGGGTGGATTGTAGGTGGACAAGTTTGAATCCTCATTTGTTGTGCCGGCAGTTTGATTTCACTGTTATTCCACCCCAGACAAAGTTTTACTCTGCAGCATGTGGAGTGAACAGATGCTTTGTGCTAGATCTGAGCTGAACTGAAAAGGCCTCAGATTATTCTGAAGCTTTTGGTGTGTGCCTGCTGTACATGAGTTGCCTTTTAGCAGCTACACGCTGCCTCTCGCGTGCACATTTTGGCTCACCTGCAGCACCTCCCTGTGCGTTACTGCAGCAGCTGGGGCAGATGCGGCAACATCTGTCTCCAAATTCCCTCATGTTAAAGACACTCAATTGAGTTATCCAGAATACACCTCAAGCTAGTTTAAGCAGGAAAAATGTGTTTTTAAGTGTGTGGAATTTGATGGTACTGAGATATTCGCTAATGAGATTCTCACAACCTGTTTCCCAAACATCTAACCAGTCATTTTAACTGTAAATGGGTTTGAAGTGACTTTTACATTAACCAAGATTTACATTTTTAATTAAGACAAACCAACAAGTTTAACGCTTGATGCAGTTCTCTTTTTCCGTCATGTTAACATAACAAAAAACAAGAAGTTTGATGCAGTGATTAATGATAGTTTTTTTTTTTATAATAGCATTTTAAAGAAGTCTTTATATAATTTATATTTGAGTTTCTTTCTAAATACATTTTTAATGAAAACCATGTTGAATGATTGATTTTGGTTTTCATTCAAATAGCATTGCTGCAGGTTTTGTTTTTTGTTTAAATTGCAGTTTTGTTTCTTTAAAATGCCATTTAACGAATAATGCCGGTTTGTGATAAAATGCTTTAAACGAAAACTTTAATGATTGATGTAAATGTTGTTTTTATACGTGTAAACTTACTGGAAGTTGAACAACTGTTGATCTTTTTATTTATCTTATGCAATTTGTAATTCATTTTCATACATTTTTCTGTAATTAAAAAAAAACTACATTGTTTGAACAGTTGATGTAATGCTCAATGTAGAGCATTACATCTAAAATAAACTGCTATCTAAAATAAATTGCATATTTGAAATGTTTTCTTGTACTTTGCTTGCAGTGTAATGGATTTGTTTTTTGTTTCCAGTCATTTACACTGACCAGAAAGAGGATTGTTCACTACACCAGCTTTGACCAGCGCAAAAGGGCTAACGCTGCTGTGCTCATCGGTGCTTATGCTGTGAGTATCCCATCTCTTTCTGTCCTTCTGTCTTCCTCTGGCGTTAATTACTTTCGCCTGTCTCGAGGATTCATGCCCAGGACGGAATCTGTCATGACCCTGCAAATTAGCCGCTCAGCCGTTTCCATCAAAATCAACAATCCTCCCACATCACAGCATCGACAGCAAATTCGTATGTAGTTTGAAGTCTTCTCGGATGTTTGCCAGCGTCCTCATTCCAGCCTCCCCCTCAGAGAGAGCGACAGACTGCTGACTGACTGGTACATCCCCTGTGTTGTGGCAGCACAATAACTACGTCCTTGACTTGCTCGCATGCCAGTTTGTCCTGTTCCAATGCATTCATTCATCTATCCCACCACGTACACAGTGGCCATTGTGAAACGCCATAACTGAACGAGCGATGCCAGCCGATTGCGCCATTGGGCATCTCCACTTTTCCTGTTCCTGGCGCTCTCACGGAATAACTTCGGTCCGGGCAGATTCTGAGCTCTCTAAAGGGTCACGGCACCATTTTTTCTGCAGATATTTTAATCCTCTTTTTAATAGCATGCACTTACTCGAGTATATTCAGTTTATTTGTGCTGATTTGTACTGACAAAGCAGCTACTGTCTCACAATGACATAAGCCCTGGGAGATAAGAACGCTTCTTTCCTCATGAATATTGATGAGTCCTAAATGGCAACACGGAAAGGAAGTGTTATGAGAGATGCTTCTCTAGTTCCTTCAAAAAAGCCACTGTTAACTTGTTCCTCCTAGATCTGTAATGTGAAATATTAGGGAACTGAAAAGGGCGATGGTGTTATACAATATCAGCATCCTTTTTTCTTTTTTCTTTTCTGATCCTGGGCTATCCAAAGAGGGGGGATCCGATGATCCCTTGCTTTCCATTGGACGAGGGCCATGACGAGTTATAATCTGGCTTTTTGTATAATCTGATTTTGAACTGTTGTGATGCAATGGCTGCATGCCACCATAAATCCTGTGTTGGATGTTAGATTTTTATATATTATTTTCACTTATATTTTTTGGTTCCCTATCAGCAGAGACTATATAGCTACATTCATACTGCTGTTAAATGTGTCCCAAATGTGACCCCCCCCCCCCCCCCCCCCCTCTTTTTAAATTTATTTAAAATAAATTAAATGTATAAATTGACACTATTTAATCATTAAGATTGTGAATGTTAATGCAAAAACACATGGATATTTTCTTCTTCTTTCCTTGCAAACCTGGTCTTTGCGATTCTAATTATCTTGCAAATGCCTCTCAAAGTTGGTGTACTTCCTCCAAATCTGTCCACTAGGAATGGTCACATTTACCCTTTCAGTCTAAATTTAGCCTGAACCCTGATCCTGGTCTTAATTTAGTTGTCTTAAATGGAAACTCAATTTAGCTACCTTCATAAAACCCAACCTCTGGAGACAGCCGTCAAATCATGCGGATTCTCTCCTGCATTGTGCTCAAGATGGATGTTTAAGATGATTCTCTCATATACTACTGTGATCCTCTCCAAACTGCACAAAACCGTTGTTTCTTCTCAGCGTGGGCTTGCCTATCACTCTTTGCGTGCATGGACATGCTGTCAATGTAAATAGTCTTTCTACTTGCAGTGAATCTTCTGTAAGTAGGTTTTTATTGATCCAGGCTTGTGTGGGATGTGTGTTTCTGGCAAGTGCAGATGTTTGCTGCTGATCTGCCCTACAGTAGATGACCCAGTTTTATCATATGAAGGAGATTATTGGTTGAACAGCTGGGGCCAAGATCTTCCATCGTTTCTCTGGGTCACATGGGACAGTAGGGTGCAACACAAACAAACAAGTGATGACCCTTCTCTTGGGACTGAACTTAATCTGCCGAACTGTTCAGCTAATTGTTTGTTGGTGCATATTTCATGAGCTTGTTCAGAAATGATCTGGCCTCCTGTTGAACAAATACAGCCTTCACAAACAGTCACTTGAACTCTCTCCTAGTTTGTCTTTTATGTTGTCAAGTACTGGAGAGCTTAAGATTAGTTCATGCAAAAAATGAAATTTCTGTCATTTACATTGTTCTAAACCTGTTGTTCCAACCTTCTGTGGAACAAAAAGATGATGTATGGAAAAGAGCAACCTGCACACTCTTCAAAATAATCACAATGAATGAGGACTAAGACTGCCAAGCTTCATAAGATGCAAAAGTGCCAAAAAAGTATCATAAAGTGGTCCATTTTATATATGAATATATTATAATTATTATATTATACATTTTTACAGTATGTTTTCGGAATAAAAGTTTCGTTTTTCATTTCCCACACGCCTGTAGTTTCAGTTTGGTTTAGGTTTGTTTCATTCAGTAAATTTCTTTTTTTTTTATACTTATGTTTTTCATTCTTGTTCTATTCTGAATATTGTTAAATTTAAAGAATTTGTTGAGTGAGGGGAACTATAAACTATTTTACATGTATTTCTGAATGTAATAGTAAAATGTGATTTGGACTCTGCAACTTATCTATTTATTTAATTATTTTTTAAATCTCAACAGTCCAATTTTGATTTATTTTCCTGAAAATACGGTAGTTTTTTTTAGAAAATCACATTTAGCCATGTCAGATTTGTGAATAAATCATTCTTTTGAGTCAAATCTTTTCAATTAATCAATTTTTTGCGGTTTATAAAGTTAGTATGAATGATTTTGCAAATGGAATAGAAAATTTTCAGTGAATATTTAATATTTTAATTATTGTGTGTATGTTTGAAACGCGAAAAATAGTTTCCATTTATTGTATTTGCATAGAAAAGAGCAATTAGCACAACCTTCAAAATCTCTTCATTTGTCTTACACGTCATTCTTAACTTGTATGAAGTTATTTTGGATGTGGGAGTAAATTACGTAATTTGTTTTAGCATGAACTATCTCCTCTTCTGTATTTAATGCATGTTGGACAGCGTTGCGGTTCACATGCGTTTCTTTTTCTTGTTGGCACTTCCCTGCTGCATTCTGACATCAAGCCACAGAAATGTTTAAGGAGTGAGCAGAGATCTTATTACAGAGCTCTTTCTCTCTGTGATGTCAAGAGGGATTGGCGTAGAATAGATGAAGGGAATAGATGACCGCTAAAACTCGTCACTTCAGCAAGTCTGTGTTTGTGACTGCCGCACTGTGCCGTGACAATTCGTCCAAACTTGAGAAGGGCCCCATTGTGCTGAGGCACAGCATCTCATCTGTGTGACACATTCTGCCTAAACATCACTTTCCTGGAAGTACATTTGTGTATTTGATAAAGAGGAACATGTACAGACATGGATAGGAAAAACGAATGAGTAGGCAGTTCATTTAATTTAAATATTTTCAACTAATATTTAGATTTTATTTCAATTACAGAAAACGGATTTGTATTCGTTTTAGTTAACGCTGGTGTTAAAGTCTATAAAATGAATACCATTTAGCTGCTTTTCTAGTGCACTAATGTCATTTCCTGTTCCTGTTTCCTGTCTCAGGTGATTTACCTGAAGAAAACTCCAGAGGAAGCCTACAGAGCACTGATTTCAGGCTCCAATGCCTCATATCTTCCCTTCAGGTAAGACAGCCTCATATCCACTTCATCTGCAACATGGGAATTTACATGGCTATGTGTTGTTCTCCTTTTAAAAAAAAGCCAGTTGTTTCCAAAACTAAGCTTATATGTATATTGCCTCATTTCACCCACTTTCCTCTCCCTCTCTTATCGCACATTGCGTTCTAATTTGATTTTGCATGAAATATTGTCTCTTGTGGCTCACAGTGTTTTTAATGCGATAAACTTCTTTGCCCGGATAAATAAACAGGGAAAGTGGAAAAACAGCATGGCCATTTTTTTTTTTTCGTGATGCTCATAATTGCAGCAGGGTTAGATTTATCTTGCTCCTACCGGTTGACATCTCTGTCTTTTAGTTTGGGATTACGGAGTCCAGCCGGGTCAGCGCACTCATGTAATCCCTTCTCTTGAGCTGAATTCTGGACTCAGTTCAAAACTGTCGCAAAGGACAGGATGTTAAAACCTTTGAGCTGACCACCATACATAAGGCTGAGTGCCCTTAAGTATGAGGAAACCCTTCTGTGGCAGGTTCTAGACTGGTAATCTGCTATGTCTGACTTGTGAATGGATCAAAGAGAAGATTCTGTTGTGAATGGGGTCTTCTTGTTGAGTAATGGTGTTGGCATTTCAAAACAACAATTACACAACAGTAACCTTCCAATAAATAAGTCTCCACACTTAGTGCGAGTCTGTTTTTCCTGTCACACTATACGCAAGACGTAAGTTGTGGATTTGTGCCTGTGAGACTGCGGTTCTGTTATTTCACCACCCAGCTGCCCTGTTAAGGCCCAGGACACACCAAGCCGACTAGCGGCGATGAAAGCTGACTGTGTTGTCGCCTTTCCTCGGCTGCGTCTCGGACAAAAAGCTGCGCTTGAACATACCAAAAGGAGTTAAGGCGAGTATGCGTTCTGCGCCTGCGTGTAAGTAAATATCTGTCTGATATTTATCAGCAGATATCAATAGTCTAAAAAAGGGAAACTGAAACTAGGACTGCCGATATACAAACCGTAAACAAAACAGCGCTTGCTTACCATTTTGAATACCAATCATGCTGATCACTTTCTTCGTTCTAATCAGCTCATGTTATTATGAAAATATTCGTGCATTTGATGGCTCAGGTAAGATGATGTAAAATTTGAACAGCCTTCTATCTGTACCGTCTTGACTTATTTGTTCGCTTTCATCACTTTCGCCTTTTTTCTCGTGCACTGACTCGTTCGCTAAGCCAATCCGAGTTCTCTCTCACACTGACTGCCGGCTGCCGAGTCAACATGCTGAAAAAACTAAGCCGACCGATGCTCAAAAAATGCGGCTGACCGTCGGCTTGGTCTGTCCTGGTCTTTAGATGCCAGTTGTGGCTCCAAGCTGTTTCTTAAAATGACAAGGTATTCCCATGGAGATATTATTGCCTTCTCCTAAAACACTGTCTTTCTTTTAAAACAAACAAAAAAATCTCTAAATTGTATCACCATGTAGTTAGTATTCTGGGCTAGTCAATCCTCTTGGCTGTTTGTGGCCACCAGATGAGATTTGAGTGGCCCTGTCCTCCCTATTCACTGACCCAGAAACTCAAGTCTTAAAGTTCACCCAGTCCAAGCACATAGCTGCAGATTCTGTTATGCGTGCATATATAATGAGGGACAACAAGAAAGGCAGGGTGACCCTTGGCCTCATCGAACAGAAATGCTCATTGTTGTAGTCTGACTCTCGTTGGCTAATGATTCGGAGCTGTATACACTGAATAGTGAAGAGGCCTACATTTTCTGAATCTGCGATCTTCAGTGCAGTCCCACAGTGCTTTTAGCCAAGGGTTTATAAATGTATGGAACAGGCCATATATCTGTACTTTCTGAGATGTGCTGTAAGTGCATCCGGTATACACTCACCGGCCACTTTATTAGGTACCCCATGCTAGTAACGGGTTGGACCCCCTTTTGCCTTCAGAACTGCCTCAATTCTTCGTGGCATAGATTCAACAAGGTGCTGGAAGCATTCCTCAGGGAGTTTGGTCCATATTGACATGATGGCATCACACAGTTGCCGCAGATTTGTCGGCTGCACATCCATGATGCGAATCTCCCGTTCCACCACATCCCAAAGATGCTCTATTGGGTTGAGATCTGGTGACTGTGGAGGCCATTTTAGTACAGTGAACTCATTGTCATGTTCAAGAAACCAATTTGAAATGATTAGAGCTTTGTGACATGGTGGAAGTAGCCATCAGAGGATGGGTACATGGTGGCCATAAAGGGATGGACATGGTCAGAAACAATGCTCAGGTAGGCCGTGGCATTTAAACGATGCCCAATTGGCACTAAGGGGCCTAAAGTGTGCCAGGAAAACATCCCCCACACCATTACACCACCACCACCAGCCTGCACAGTGGTAACAAGGCATGATGGTTCCATGTTCTCATTCTGTTTACGCCAAATTCTGACTCTAACATCTGAATGTCTCAACAGAAATCGAGACTCATCAGACCAGGCAACATTTTTCCAGTCTTCAACTGTTCAATTTTGGTCAGCTCTTGCAAATTGTAGCCTCTTTTTCCTATTTGTAGTGGAGATGAGTGGTACCCGGTGGAGTCTTCTGCTGTTGTAGCCCATCCGCCTCAAGGTTGTGCGTGTTGTGGCTTCACAAATGCTTTGCTGCATACCTCGGTTGTAACGAGTGGTTATTTCAGTCACTGTTGCCCTTCTATCAGCTCGAACCAGTCTGGCCATTCTCCTCTGACCTCTGGCATCAACAAGGCATTTCCGCCCACAGAACTGCCGCTCACTGGATGTTTTTTCTTTTTCGGACCATTCTCTGTAAACCCTAGAGATGGTTGTGCGTGAAAATCCCAGTAGATTAGCAGTTTCTGAAATACTCAGACCAGCCCTTCTGGCACCAACAATCATGCCACGTTCAAAGTCACTCAAATCACCTTTCTTCCCCATACTGATGCTCGGTTTGAACTGCAGGAGATTGTCTTGACCATGTCTACATGCCTAAATGCACTGAGTTGCCGCCATGTGATTGGCTGCTTAGAAATTAAGTGTTAACGAGCAGTTGGACAGGTGTACCTAATAAAGTGGCCGGTGAGTGTAGATTAGCTCTGGCCTTCAAACAGTTTGGAAACGTCAGTCACTGGATGCTAACAGGAAACAGCAGATTTGTTTTTATTGTGCAGTTATTAGTGCTTTTCCCAGAAGGCCGAAATCCCCCTTTGCTCTTCTTCAGAACACATACTTTCATACTTGTCATCAAGGGAAAACCTTTTACTCATTGACCATCATTGGTCTGTGAAACAATTTAAACTACTAAAGAAAGAATTACATTATTCAGTGGTGTGTTCATTAGTCAACACATCTATTGTTTTTTCCCTCTTTGTTGGCATTAGTTCAAATGCTCTTGCACAGTTTACTGCTTGAGAGATTAACCTTTAACACTTCTTTTTTGAGTAACAGTTGAGTTTTTCTCACAAAATGTTGACGTTCTGAATTATAAAAAGTTTGTTTTGAATTAATTTCAGTTTTTCCCATTTACAAAATAAGTATTTATTAAATGTATATAGCATTTATTCAGTGTTTATCTTGAAGTGTGCAAAATGATTTAATTTCATTTAATTAAATAAAATGTTTGCTTATGAAATTATGCCTTGTACATGTTCTTTTCGTCACTGAAAAGGCAAGGCACTTATTAATCACTTAGTCGTCACAATCATTTTAAGATTTATAAAACCATAATTGCTCCTTGGGCTTGTCTACACTTGTAGGGAAGCAACTATTTACTGTATCTTCCCTATTATGTTTAATGTTCAGTGGCATCTAGGAGGACAACCATTTTTCCATATTTCAGTCAGTTTTGTTGTGCTTATTGTATACCTGAAGTTGTAACATGGATAGTACACTTGATTTATGGACCTGGTTAGGGCAGGATTTTGATATGTTGTAAAGTAAAAGCTTAAATTACTAAGACTTACGACACATCGGTCTACTGGTCCCTGTAACCATTCATTGAGTATGAAATCCTGCGGTATGTTTAGTAGTCGTGCCTCTTATGGCACTTCTTCCACTCTGTTTGCCGTCCTGTCCATCTTGAAGGTTGATTGGGCCCTTGTTTCTCCACAAAGATGTGATTGTTAGCAGCAGCAGTGTAGCTGCACAAGGGAAGAAAAGCGCTTTGTCAGTGTGCCCCCCACTTGGCAGATGTAGCCATGGCACTCGTGGAGACAAACAGTGCGACATAGTTATGTAATGCTTAGCAATTGGTTAATTCAGAAAGTAAATAGTTGTGTTGTTTATGAGAGGGAAAGGGGTTCCTGATGGGAAACAATGAATGGGCCATACCATTCAATAAAGGGAAGCTGTGTGTGAGACCCATGTTTGAGTACCAGAGGAAGAAACTACAAGAAGTTGTTGGATGAAAAGGTATGTGTAATTCTGAAAATAATAACATGTTGCACCTAATGCTATGAAGTGCTATAAAGTTCAACTGAAAGGATCTCTCTTCAGTTCAATTTTACTTGTTCCAGGCTTAAATGGATGTTGGTTGTCATTTTTAACTGTGAACCTGACCTTTGGCTGATCTATTCTGGATCATTGTGGCTGGAAAGTATGGTTTTGATCCATCTTGCGTAAGCAAATGCTTGCTGTCCGACCAAAATATCTGCACATTGATCTTGGTTGCAGATTAGTTACCCACACCAAGTCCTACATAGAAAGAAACTTGCATAATCAACATGTATCCACCCAATGATGGAATGCACAACATGACCTGAAGTTGTCCTCAAGCAATATATTTTTAGAACGACATTTGAAGTAACTTGAAAATTCAGATGGTTTGGTGGCAGTGCAATCTCTATTTAAGGGAACTGGTGTGGGTTTGTTGTTCAGGTTTGGAGTCTGTGCTCTAGTGCCCTGGATGGAGAGCTTCAGTCTTAGATGAATAATTTAGACCTTGACATTGCTCAACCATTATGTAAGAACAGTGAAGAATGTTTCCCTGTCTGCCCAAATATGAGGCAATTCTAAGAGAAAAGCAGTGGCAGTCTTGCAGAGGAAGTTAGCAAGGTCCACTCTGCCCTATGCGGCAAGATCTAGTAGTTTTAATTGTAGATTTGAACTGATCTTGCTCACTGTGTGTAGGCCCAACTAATCTAGATGAAGAATGCTTAAATAATATAGTCTTTTAGCTCTCAATGAGGAACTCCACCCAGTTCTCTACAAGGAAGGGTGGGTTTCCTTTTTGTGTGTATGTGTGTTTCACCACTGCATGTGTTTACCAAATTTAAACTAAACTCATGTATTCCTTCCTCATTCGATCACTGTCACATTTCGTCATCAAGACCTTGCATAAAATCCTGTCATGTCCGTTTTTCCACCAGTGCTAGGATCGACTTAGGAAATCCAATCAGAGTTCCTCCCTTGGGCTTTCATTGCCCTGTTATTTCTTCTTTCAGCTCTTGGTCCGCTAAGCTCTATCTGTCTTGCCAAGTTGCGGTGCATGCTGAAAGCTTTTAGACTTAATAAATCATATTTAAATCATGAAGTTACCCAGCCTACTGAGTCTCAAGGAACTTTGACCTGATATGATTACATAGGCCACTGCCGTGGCTGTAAATCTGTATTTGCTATAGCAATCATGTCCATGGTGATGATTACGTAACGGCACTAATGTGCTACTTCAGGTTTTGGCATCTGTAAGCTTGTCCTGCTTTGCTCCTCTACAGTGCTTGCCCAGGACGCACCCTGTGCTTAATAGCTCTGCTTATCCCAGCATTTTAAACCCAGCCTAAGACTGTAAAGATGCAGATTTATATGTAGCGGTGGTGGTGGCGCAGTGGATAAGACACATGCCTTTGGTGTGAGAGACCCGGGTTCGAATCCACTGTGAGACACCAATGTGTCCCTGAGCAAGACACTTAACCCCTAGTTGCTCCAGAGGCGTGCGACATATATAACAATTGTAAGTCGCTTTGGATAAAAAGTGCAGCTAAATTAATCAATGCAATGCAAATATGTCAATGCTGTGACCAACAGCCCTATCCGATACCTTCTTTGTTGGAGAAACTAATTACGGTTGATGCATTCCGTGAGATAGAATTGTCTGACTTGAATGAATGAGGCATTTTTATGAATGAGGCATTTATATAGCGCTTTCATATGTACTACTGTACACCCAAAGCGCTTTACAATCATATCAGGGGTTCTCTCCTCAACCAGCACCAGTGTATATATAGACTTGCCCCTTATAGGAACAGCTCTTGCGCCTGTATAATTGCTTGTTTAGCCAAAACTGTCCATCTAATTGTCTAGTCTATGGATTTAAGGTCTGGGCTGATAACCGAAAGTTCCAGACCCCACAAGGGGCAAAACCAATGTGCCCTTGTGCAAGGCACTTGACCTTTTGGCTACTCTGTGGTGGGACTTTCATTGTAATGTATTGTAAGTCACTTGCAATGTTTTGAAAGCATCTACTAAATGACTAATTACTAATTTAAAAGTGGACCAAGATGGGTTGTTTTTGAATGAGGTTTGTCTATTTCCTGGCCTCCAGTAACGGAGTTGAGACATTACATAATCCTCAGGATGTTAGTCTATAATTGGTGCCAGTGAGCTGCTGTTTCTACAGCCAAATCGATTGGCTCAACATTTCTCTGTACTGTGGAAAGGAAGATGAATGAGCCTCTGGCTGGTGGGAAAGTCTCCTGCTGTTTTTGGATCCTGTTGTCGGTATATGGTACATATGATTGTGTGAACAAAAGACATTTTTCTTCAAAGCTCTGTTGGAAACTTGCCTGGGTTTTCTTGTCCATTTTTTTAAATACATTTTTATAACATAACATGACATTGTTTTCTTAGTGTTTTTCTCTTCATGTTTGAGTTGGTGGTGGTATAGCCTAGTGGTGGTTAAACATCTGTGCTGGTATCCGGAAGCTGCCGGTTGAAAACCATCACTGTTTTTCCTTGAGCAAGGTACTTATCTCAATATCCCCCTTTAGAAGAAAACTAGGGTTAAGTTATAATGGAAATCAGGACAATCACAATTAACATAAAATCGTGTTTAAACCGATTTGGCTGATTGCAAATATGAAATCGCAAAGGTTGCGTTTTTTATTTTATTTAATTTTTTTATGCGCAGCTTTAATTTCGATTAATCGTGCAGACCTAATGGAAATGTTACTTTGAAAGCCATTCATGGCACCAACATTTAACCACAGTGCTTTGAAGAAATCATCCTACTAATGGCATACTTATCAAGTTCATTTTAATATATATATTTTTTGGTTACCATGAAGTAGTGGACCAATACACAAGATCTCATGCCCTCTTCTGGGAGTTATAAGTATGTGTGATATGTGGTGAAGTACGTGTTGTATGTGTGGGTGAATGGAGCATGATACTTTCCATTGAGGCACACTGGGAGACTAATGAAAGGATCCCAGCAGAACACTGACCCACTTTTTATACAACCCAGCCTGCATCATAAACAGCAAATTAAGTGCATGCATAATGCAAAACTCAATTTAAGTAGGCACAAAGAGCCTGTTCCTTGACGTGCGTTAGGCAATTGGGTATTTTATTACAACTCTCTCTTCCCTTGACCCAATGACATTATTTTAGGTACACAAACAAACCCAAATTGGAATTCCTCATATATGTGATCAAATCAGGCTGGTTCATGACATTGATTTCGCCTTGACCCTGGAGATGTAACTCATCGTGTTGTTGGAGACCCACATGTACACTTTCAACTGCAAGGTTTTCTTTCTTTATGAACAGACGACAAAAGCCAACACAGTCTCGCATGCCGCTTTACCTTCTCTCCCACATCCAAACACAAAGGCCCTGACCCAGTTACTTGTATTCATGGGCAGGTTATGGTTTACTCTGGATGAAAGCTGCAGAGCCGAGAGCTGCAGTTTAAAATCAGTGTCTGTGTTCCTGTTTCTTTGCACATAACATGACTTTATATTCCTGTTTATATTCTTGTGGGTGTTTCTTTTTGTTGTTAGATTGTATCTTGTGTGAATACACCCACGCAATTTTAACATGCTGCCTTTTTTTCTCTTCCAGGGATGCTTCATTTGGGAATTGCACATACAATCTGACGGTTCTTGACTCCTTGCAAGGCATTAGGAAGGTGAGATATACACTATAGTACTATGCAAATGTTTTAACCTCACCACTGAATATTTACCATACTATATGTAAAATTAAATAATCTATTATTATTTCATAAAATATTAAATATATTAATAATAATTTCAAAATTTGTGGATATTATTATTATTATTAAAAAAATTGATAAATTATAATTTGTTTTAATAACTAATGCAAATGTATCAGTCTGTATGATGATATTGCAGCTTACAATAGCAGGAAACATTTGGTTTTAAGTGTTTCAGCATTCAACAATCCTGGATTATACCCATAGATACTGATTGTTAACTTAATCCTCCTTGGACAGCCAGTGTAAGACTAGAAACCTGTACATTAGGCAAAGAACATTTGTGTCTGCATGTTTTGAAAAAGTGCTTCAGGGATGTTATCTTGCTGATGGCTTATATAACACGACAGGTGTCTTCACTTCGAGCCACAGTGGCAATGAATCTCTCCTCAGCCCCCTATTGTGCAGTCTTTTTCTCTGACTGTCTATCTGTTGGTATGAGAGTGGGTTAGCTAAACACATGAATGATTTTACTTTGTGTCTTTTTTCAAATAGGCAGCTTTTTTTTCTTTCTTTTTTGGTGTATCCCACTCATCCATTTTGTTTTGTATTCGCAACAGCAAAAAAACACATTAAATATTTACAAACCCAATTCAAACCACATCTACACTCACCGGCCACTTTATTAGGTACACCTGTCCAACTGCTCGTTAACACTTAATTTCTAAGCAGCCAATCACATGGCGGCAACTCAGTGCATTTAGGCATGTAGACATGGTCAAGACAATCTCCTGCAGTTCAAACCAAGCATCAGTATGGGTAAGAAAGTTGATTTGAGTGACTTTGAACGTGGCATGATTGTTGGTGCCAGAAGGGCTGGTCTGAGTATTTCAGAAACTGCTAATCTACTGGGATTTTCACGCACAACCATCTCTAGGGTTTACAGAGAATGGTCCGAAAAAGAAAAAACATCCAGTGAGCGGCAGTTCTGTGGGCGGAAATGCCTTGTTGATGCCAGAGGTCAGAGGAGAATGGCCAGACTGGTTCGAGCTGATAGAAGGGCAACAGTGACTGAAATAACCACTCGTTACAACCGAGGTATGCAGCAAAGCATTTGTGAAGCCACAACACGCACAACCTTGAGGCGGATGGGCTACAACAGCAGAAGACTCCACCGGGTACCACTCATCTCCACTACAAATAGGAAAAAGAGGCTAAAATTTGCAAGAGCTCACCAAAATTGAACAGTTGAAGACTGGAAAAATGTTGCCTGGTCTGATGAGTCTCGATTTCTGTTGAGACATTCAGATGTTAGAGTCAGAATTTGGCGTAAACAGAATGAGAACATGGAACCATCATGCCTTGTTACCACTGTGCAGGCTGGTGGTGGTGGTGTAATGGTGTGGGGGATGTTTTCCTGGCACAGTTTAGGCCCCTTAGTGCCAATTGGGCATCGTTTAAATGCCACGGCCTACCTGAGCATTGTTTCTGACCATGTCCATCCCTTTATGGCCACCATGTACCCATCCTCTGATGGCTACTTCCACCATGTCACAAAGCTCTAATCATTTCAAATTGGTTTCTTGAACATGACAATGAGTTCACTGTACTAAAATGGTCCCACAGTCACCAGATCTCAACCCAATAGAGCATCTTTGGGATGTGGTGGAACGGGAGATTCGCATCATGGATGTGCAGCCGACAAATCTGCGGCAACTGTGTGATGCCATCATGTCAATATGGACCAAACTCCCTGAGGAATGCTTCCAGCACCTTGTTGAATCTATGCCACGAAGAATTGAGGCAGTTCTGAAGGCAAAAGGGGGTCCAACCCGTTACTAGCATGGGGTACCTAATAAAGTGGCCGGTGAGTGTATATTTGTTTTGAAATCGTTACAATCTGACTTTAGTACACTATCAGTCAGAAGTTTGGGGTTAATCAGATTTTTTAAAGAAATCAATACTTTTTTTTTTTTACATAAAAATGCATTAAATTGATCAAAAGCGACCATAAATACTTTTGAAATCACTGTTTCCACAAATGTATTAAGCAGCACAACAGTTTTCAACATTTATAGTAATATGAAATGTTTCTTGAGAAATTAGTAGGGGTGCACAATGAATCGAATTTCTAATCACGATTACGAAATCTATGATGACATAATCGTCCAAAGATCGGGGTTACAAAAAAAAGTCCACTTACATTATTCTGCGTGCTTAAGAGGTATGTTTAGAGCATGTTACGTTGTGAGAGGAGAATCACGTCTACTAGAACCCAACCAGCACTACCAGAAACATAAGTGCACGCTGAATGGTCAAACATACGTGAAACGCCGGTACCCGCCATTTTTAAAAAGCCGTGTACACAGCCTATATATTTACTCTAAAACACTAACTCTACGAACATGAAAAACAGTGATGGACCTCTCAACCTTTACACCAGGAGTCGGCAACAATATCTGGCCCGTGCCCGCAGCATTATTCTGATAGCGGCTGGTTCTGAAATAGATCTGTCATGACAGCAACAGTTACTCACAATCACTTCATCTTTAGTGATTTTATCTTCAAAATAATAGTACAAGAACGTTTTTGCAGCAATGTTTTATTTTGAGATGAATTGAGAGCTTTTAATTTGAAAAGTTCTGAAAGAGATTCAAAAGAGTCTGTGGATCGCTAGACACACCTCTAAAATAGCCGTCATGAAATGTCTAATATTATATTCTTTGCAAACAGCGACAAATTCGTTGCAGATAAGACACACAGGCTTTGCATTCACAAAACTAGGTAGGATAAACGCATAATTGTCTTTCCATAATTCTTTGTATGCCCTATTTTCACTGTCAACTTTCCTCTTTAGACTCTTTGATAGTGCCATTTTCTCTCAGCTAGCTTAAATGTTAACATCACTGCACACAACGAAATAGCGTACCTCCAGCACGCAAACTATAAAAAAAGTGAAGTTTAGTAAGTGAGGATGCCAAGAAATAATTCTAAGTGTAAAAGTAGTGTACGTCAAATAATTATTACAATAAGTTAAGCTCCATTGTGTAACAAACAAATTAAAATGAGACTCATTTATTATTCCCAATGTGGAAAGAGGAAATAAAACATAGTTCATCAAGTCGTTAAGAGCATGACTCAAACATGCCATTAATGGGCTTATTCAAGTCCTCTTTATTTTTTTAGTTATTTTTATCCATTCCGCATCTCCCACATATGTGTTTTAGCAAGGGATGTGTTGCAAGATGCCGCAATATATCGGGAGACATGTGGGTCAGACATGATTTTGACCCCCTCATTAAGTTTTGTTTTGTAGAAAGCCTTTCTTTAAAGTGAATTTCGTTTTGTATTAATTGTAATCAATGTTTCATCAACCATTTGCCTGGATTTAATCAATAAGAAGCAAATAAAGCAGACAAAATAATCAGAGTCGCCGGTGCGATCAATCCATTGCACGTGAACTGGAGCTTGTCTCAGAGAGAGAGAGCTACTAGGCTAATCCGTAATGTGCATTTCTCTCTATAGGCGCGGTCACTATTGCAGCCGACACTGACAGAGAAAACACTAGTTTATTAATAAACAATTAAAATGTCTCCTTGCTATATTTGAAACATTCATAATCATTACTTTTGCCGGTTCTTTGTGACAGCTTTTAGGTGCGTTATTGACACGTCACCCTCTGGTTACATTAACGCGTCAGCACCGAAAACATGGGGATATTTTTAGACAATAATCGCACAACCTATTAGATATTCTATAATTAAATCAACTTATCGAATATTCGAAAATCGTGACATCCATAGTCACTAGGCTACTGCTTTATTCTAGCCTGGTTAAAACCAGACCATTCTCAGTTGTAACTGAGTTATGGTCTGGCAAAGCGTCATAGACAAATCATTTCCAGAGGGGCGTCACCAACGGATGTTGCGGATAGACCTGAAACTAATCAGAGCGATGAAGGAGAGATGACGTATGCAGAGGGGCGGAGAAACATCTCCGAGTGTTGCTCTTTGCTCGGTTTTTAACAAAAAGGAAACGTTCAAATCGCTTAAAACAGACGCGATAGCTGATTCGAACGAGTGATGTTCGACGGCGGCATCCATCTTTGTAATGTAGGCTACAAAATCTGCTTCAAAATCCCAGCGATGTCGTCATCGTGTAAAGCCCGCCCCGACGTTTCTGATTGGTGCCGCGATTTCGACAGATTGGAAATGGGCTTGAATGAGCTCTTTGCCAGACTAACTTTCAGAGCAAATCTAAATTTGCTGGAAGTTGTCTGGGTTTTCCCAGGCTAGCTTTATTCATTTATCCTGTGTACAACCCGGACACCGCCACACAAAATTTACACTTTGTTAATGACTGTCCTACTACAGGATTTAACACAGAGTAACAGCTCACTACCAGTTGCAAAAGACAATGTAACAGTCCGTCACAGGCAATTCTAGTTGCATTTTTCATCAATTAATTTCTTAATTTATCCTTTGATTATGTTCTGGTAATTTTTTTGGGCCCGATTCCAAACTTACTTGCCGACACCTGCTTTACACTAAGGAGAAAATCAGACGCAACTTTGAGGGGACCAAGCCAGACATGATTATGTATTTCTGCTCAGCTAGCGACATTGGGCATCAACCACACAGCAAACGCTAATACTTTTTCATATACTGTCTACTTTGTATAACAGTTCTATCTAATAACGTATTAGACAAGACTGTTAAACAGATCGTAAACTAATAAAGATGGAGAATGGGAGTGCTGTGTGCTTAGGCTCTGCCGTTCTCAGCGCCATCAAATTAAAAGTCACAACAACAAGCATGGCTTGCGTCACTTCAGAGTTCCTACTGGTGGTGCGAATGCAACCAGGAAAACGGCCCAGGGAATAATCGACAATTATCATTTTTGTCATAATCGTGCAGCCCTAGCAACTAGTAAGAATATTAGAATGATTTCTGAAGGATCATGTGACACTGAAGACTGGAGGAATGGCTGCTGATAATTCAGCTTTGCCATCACAGGAATAAATGATTGGAAAATTGCAAAATTGTCTGGGACTGTCTGAATATTCTCTTTTTCTTAATATAGTGAACTGAGACATTTAAAAAACACCCCATAACCCTTATAATGAATATTATTCATGATTGCAGTTCGGAAAGGAAGCAATTCTAGGCTCTGTCGGAGCAAACAGCATTGCATAAGAAGTTTCTATTACAATTCTTTACTCAAAGTTGTTAAACTGGCTTCTAGGTAAATGGTGCTCGCATGAGTTTTTCAGTCGCGTCTGTTTTGGGAGTATCTCAGCAACAGCCCAATACATCTGCAGGTATCGATGTGTCTCCAGCTCGACGTGCCGGAAAGACTCGTTGAGCACAGACAGTGAATTCCTACATGCTTGCTATTCAAAAACATCCTTCACGCCGCTTAAACTCTCTGGAATGTCTTTTTGTTTAGCCGGCGTCAGAAAAAATAGCAGCATCCTTCGAACGCAAACCCATCCCTCCATTGCTTATGTTGTTTATTTAAATCACACGCTCAAAGAAGAATTGTAAATGGTTCATTTAGATTTTATAAAATGTTATAAAAATGTTAGTAACATGAATTAAAATAAAAGAATATAAATGAATATACGAAAATAATCAAATATTTAAGTTCATCCCCTTTAAAATGTTACTTTAAGACTGCATAACAAGTTAAATTATAGAAACTGGACATGCAGACATTTGGGCCCTCATGGCATCCTATGCTCTGCTGTCTAGATTGTAGTTGTTGCTTTGAGACAGATGTATGTGACACTTTTATCATTGCCTCCCCTCTGGCTCTAATTAACAGCCATGTTTTAACAGCTCCTTAATTGCATGAGTCACACGGCATCTGTGAGTGTGATAAACACTGAAGCCTGATAATGATCAAATCACCACTGCTTCCTCTCTCCAAGCTGCCAAAGGGGAGTTAATGCCCTATTTGTCGACATGAGAGCAGTTAATTTGTTTTTGTTAGTTATTTGGGTTTATCTAATGGGTAAACATCTGGGCTGGTAACCAAAGAGTTTAGGTTAAAACTCTGCAGAGAGCAATTTTCTCAAGTTAACACGAATTCCAAATTTACCAAGTTTTTACTGGGTGGCAATTGTGACTTTATTTCTGTATTTCTTGTAATTGCTTCTTTATATTTCACAATGTGATTTCGTTACTCACAATTTCTGACTTTCTCTTGCAAATTTGCTTCTCGTAATTGCGAATTAATATTAAAAAAATTGCGACATTGTGAGGTATAAAGACGCAATTACGAAAAAAACAAATTTGCAAGAGAAAAACTTGAGTAATTGAAACCATGTTGTGAGAAAGTTGTGATTAATGGAAAATATAAAGTCATTATTTCTAGTAATTGCGACTTTATTTCTACAAATACTACATTGTTTCTCACAATTAACAAATTTTTCACTCATAATTGCAACTTAATATCTGAAAATGTATCTCACAATATCGCAATTTTTAAGTATTAAGTCGCAATTATGATTGGAAAAATGATCATAAATCAAAGTAGTAATTGTGAGAAATGGTTGCAATTACACAAAATAATTTCTTGTAATTTCGACTTTATCTCACAATGTGATTTTGTAATAGGGGTGGAACGGTACATGTATTCGTACCGAACCGAAACGGTACGGGCGTCACGGTTCGGTGCACGAATTTACACGGAGAATACACGGTATAAAAATAAATAAAAACTCGCGTGGAAATTAATTAATGTAATGCGGAACTACTGTTAGATACGCGGGTTCTTTAGGGACACATAATCTGTACCATCGGCTTAGCTCTGAACGCGCGTTCACTTCAAACGTTGGTTTATACGCGCGTCCTATTCGCTTTGGACTAGCCTCGAACTAGACGCGATAGACGCGAATTTAACGCTCTATTCGCGTTCGGTGTGACCACATAATGAACAGGCTGCGATGTCAAGATTGCAATGCTGGAGTGTGTGTGTGTGTGTGTGTGTGTGTGAGAGAGAGCTAGGCGCGGCTGCGATCGAACAGTGGAATCATAAAAAACATACTCCGTCATTTTGTTCATACAGATCATTAAACCTGCAAAGTGTTTACTTATATTTGTGTACACTCGCAATAAAACACAACATTGTGCTTTTGTCACACTGTAAACTCTTGTCAAACTGTAACCTACAACTGTCACCCAACCAAAATCTCTCTCTCTCTCTCTCTCTCTCTCTCTCTCTCTCTCTCTCTCTCTCTCTCTCTCTCTCTCTCTCTCTCTCTCTCTCTCTCTCTCTCTCTCTCTCTCTCTCTCTCTCTCTCTCTCTCTCTCTCTCTCTCTCTCTGATTGATTAAAAAAGAAAATCGAATGCGTTATTAATGGTAGTATTATTTTATACAGAAATCAATTATTTATAATTCAGATGAGAATAATGTTACATTGTTAATTAATAATGTTAATTAAAATTAAGGAAAACAAATATATTGATCTGAAATATTAATTTATATATAGCAAATTAATTTTAAATTAATTCAGGTACAATTACCAAACATATCGCAAGGTCTTTTTGTCTTTTTATTAATTTAATTAATAAACTAATTATATAAAACTATTGTCAGTGCACTACAAATAAACTGGTTCTATGCCTTTATTAATAAAACGTATTTAAAAAATACAATGCCTTCTGCATTTTTGTTTTGCTTTTCCCTCCATTGTACCGAAATCGTACCGAACCGTGATGTCTGAACCGAGGTATGAACCGAACCGTGACTTCTGTGTACCGTTCCACCCCTATTTTGTAACTACCTATATTTTTTCTCTTGTAAATTTGTTTCTCGTAATTGTGACTATATAATATCGCAATTTTTGGATATAGTCAAGTTGTGAGATGAAGTCGCAATTGAGAAAAATGTTGCTAATTGTCAGAAACGTAAGCAAAAAATCTAAATTGCAAGAAACATTTAACTTTTCTCGTAACTGTGACTCACAGTATCGTGATTTTTGTATTGTCACATTGTGAGATATGAAGTCACAATTATGAGGAAAGTTGCAAATTGTCAATGTATCAATTGTGAGATCACATTGTAAAAAAAGTCGCAATTACGAAAAACAATTACGACTTTCTTGCTTTAAATTCTATATATAATATGTAACTACTCCGTCTTAAACATTCGGCCAATGTCACCAAAACATGTTAACCATCAGCCATGTTGGGCATTGTTTTAGACTACTGTTTGTAAGCTAACCAGGTTTTATTCTCAAGCTTTTAACCAAAGTGCTTTCTAAGACGCTAGCATCACAGGGCCAAGTGTCTTGATCAAGTATGAAGTTCGCTTGTAGATTACCGGCCCACTACACTCCACCATTACTATTGCAAGGGTAAAATGAGGAAACTGGAGATTTTGGTAGTGTTGGCAGTAATTAAGAGCAGCTCATCCACACCATCCATTGACACTGCAGAAGAGGATTTCTACAGTAAGCTCTTTGTCCAGTCAGCTGCAGAGGGGAGGAGGGCGGCTGGGCTCATTCGATTAAACCTGACCAAGAACAGTTACATAACATCAGACTTAGAGAGTAAACGGACACGGCCGCCAGTTGTACGTCTGCACGTGTAGACTTCACTGACTTGTTTGTGTTAGAGAGATGCAACGTTTCATACCTGAACGCCCTCAGCTGATTGGTCCATTAGAGTGATGCGACTTTACCAGCTTGTGATAATCACTCACCCGCTGTGTGGTGCCCTCTCTCAGCACTGATTAGGTTTTGATTGACAGGTTCAACCCTGCAGCTCAGGACAGCATGTTCCACGGTTGGATGGTTCCGGTGACAGTCTTTCAGTGGTCTGTTTCCATTCAGATTCTGAAAGGTGCACTAAATATTACATTTATCCACAGACCACCCATGCCACTTTTTTTATGGTGAGTGGCATCTTGAGGTCATGTGACCACCCAAATCCGACTCTTCTATTGTAATCCACACAACATAATGGGGAGGGGACATATCAGAGTTCAAAAGAGGACAAATTGTTGGTGCGTATCTCTTTGGCACATCTGTGAGCAGGACAGCAAGTCTTTGCTTTTCGTATGATGCTGCATTTATATAGCAGTATAAAGTCCAGTACTACTGCTGTATTAGTTATTAATAAAGTGAATAAGAGAGAATAAAAGACTTTGTGCACCTTTTAACCAGTTCTCTGGTAGCCAACTGTGAGAAATGCTGTGGACTCCAACAGCAGCAGAAATCTGACACTCCATTAGACGCGGCCCTCATCGCTCACTGCCACGGCTTATCGACTCGTGCGCCTTTTTCCTTAATGTCTTCCCGTGCAGCTCTTCATTGAGTACCAGACAGGCCGCTTTAGCCCCATTACACTGACTAATTGGTTAAACATAGTCAGACGGTATGGATGTGAGCTTGTTTAGGGTGGGGGGGGGGGAATTATTTGAGACTTTCAAGGGAAATTCACCTTACAAATGCACATTTTTGTAATTCAATTTGATTAACATATGACTAAGTAATGTTTATAATTAACTTTGTTTTTCAGGCCCTTCAGCACGGATTCTTGAACTTCGAGACGTTCGACGTGAATGAGTATGAGCATTATGAGGTAATGATGCCCCTCTTCGCCCCCTCAATATGAAATGCGCTCATTAGGCGGACCAGCAGGCAATGTTTTTTACCCAGAATTACTTCCATTGCTCTTCAAGCCGGTTACATAATCATGTTTATTCCATTGGGGCCCAAAAGACATTTTAACGTAATGAAAGTCTCGGCTCGATCAATTTGATTTAAATCGCACACAACATGATTATATGTCGCCTACCTGTGTTTATAATCTGCTACAAGGTTGTTGTACATCTCAGTTTAAACAATCACTGGAACAATTCCCGTCAAATGAGCATTCGATTGATTTGTCCTTTAGTATTATGTAAATTTTCTGGCTTGTGTTAATCCGTTACCCGCTGTGCTCTCGGATTTGAAGGGGTTACGACAGTCTTGTTTATAATGCGTTTCAGGACAGCACAACTTGCCATTTATAAAAGATACTCTATTGGCTGTTTTACAAACTTCCCTGATTAATTTCTTTGTTTTGATCTGGTTCCCTTTGTCTTTATTCATTTTCCATCCCTCGACTCACTTTGTGTCCTTCCAGCGTGTCGAGAATGGAGATCTGAACTGGATCGTCCCGGGCAAACTTCTTGCTTTCAGCGGTCCACATCCGAAAAGTAAAATAGAGAACGGTAAGGCTGCTTGCCATGTATTAGCCATATATTGTATTAATTTAAGCACTTTCTCTGCCATGATGTTTGATGTAATTTACTTATGTGACAGTAGAGGGTGCCCTTGTTTTACAAGTCATCACAGAATCACACACGCATATAGGTAGAGATTTCAACATATTAGATAACATGATTGTTTTTAAAAGCAGATTGTTTAGTTAGGGCTTAGGTATTTGTTTAAATCCTTAATCCAAAGTATTAAACTGGCATGCAATTTATGCTTTTTTTTAATTTTATTAAATTAATTTATTATATACTATAATTGATTACATACCAAGTTATTTAATTTATATTATATGTGAATATATGTATTTGTGCTTCACTTTATATATGCATGCATGTATGTGTGTGTATGTATGTTTGTGTATATATATATATGAATTAATGTGTATGTGTGTATAGAATAAAGTATGTGTGCTTGGAGTTTTTTTATAGAAATAAAAATGTTTAAATAACAATATATAATAATGTAATGGTATTATATTAATTTTATTAATATATTCTATATTTCCCATATTTAGATTAAAGAATATATATATATAATACTAGAAATGATGAATGTATGGACTTCCTCTTCTCTTGTGGGGCAGGTTATCCTCTACATGCCCCCGAGGCTTATTTCCCATATTTCCGCAAGCACAACGTCACCACCATAGTGCGCCTCAACAAGAAGATCTATGAATCCAAGCGCTTCACAGATGCTGGTTTCGACCATTACGACCTGTTCTTTGTGGACGGAAGCACACCCGGTGACGTCATCACCCGCCGCTTCCTGCACATTTGTGAGAGCACAGATGGAGCAGTGGCCGTGCACTGCAAGGGTGAGACGCCACTTAAATCAAAGACATGGAAATATGGCCGCACAGCATCACCTCATTGCCCTACTAGCAAGACAATTGTTGTCAATATGTTAATGATCTTTTTATGTTGCACGAAACATTTAAATGCTGTGTTATTGATCCGACTCAATGAAGAAGTTTTTTGGGGGGTTTATGGTCTCACAGGAACTAAAAGGGAAATTAAATGTTAACAAGCATTAGCCTAATAATCAATATTATGGTAAAGTGGCCATGGAAGTGCGTCAATAAGACCATTAAAAACACCTGTGACCTTTTTTCCTACCAATCACAGCGGGTTTAGGCCGGACGGGGACTCTGATTGGCTGCTACCTAATGAAGCACTACCGTTTCACAGCTTCTGAAGCCATCGCTTGGATCCGCGTCTGCAGACCCGGCTCTATTATTGGACCCCAGCAGCATTACCTAGAAGAGTAAGTCCCAAAACTACCCACAATACACCACTTTTGGCCTCTTAACAACTTTTTTCCCCTCCTTTTTATTGTGCACTACGTTTACATAATGTTGATGAGTGCTCTAACTTTGTCTCAAAGGCGTGTATTTTCAACAGCGTAAGAGTGTATTTCGAGAGCGCACTCCTTTGCTAAGCAGATAAGGAAGGTCAGCAGATGTTCCAGATCTGGCTGAATCATCCAACTCTGGTTTGGGAAAAGGAGTGCTCGTGGAGTTTGATTCAGCTTTCGTCTATCAATGAGGCCTTTCGTGCGTTGTAAAACCAGACCATGGTTCGGTTGTCATGTCTGAGTTAAAACAGAGCACTGGCCATGTGCAGGACAGTTAAACGTAATCTCTCAAATGTTTTGTTGGACTTAGACAATGCTGTGGGCCGCAGCGTGAGAATGCCCTCCGCAGGATAGATGAACGTTATCTTCAGGCATATTTTCCACCTTAGAACACTGTGAGACGTTTGAGATTCCCCTTCCTGTGTGCTGGACACAAAGTATCTGTTATCGGGGCTTTGGAATTAAGGAAACGGTTCAATCTGAGACCAGATTTCTTTTCATATGGCTGAATTATTTGTGCAAAACAAGACATTGAATGGGAACTGTTGTCTTTGTACCTGTACAGGAAGCAGGCGAGTCTCTGGGCTCATGGAGACATTCACCGCTCCAAGCAGCGGCAGTATGAGGACAGATCCGTGCCTCACCTTATCTCTAGTATAGACAACCTCTCCATCAGCACCTCCATCTTTAAATCCCACAGCTTGGACCGTATGGAGGAGGTGAGGCCTAATGGGACTTAAAAAAAAACAAAAAATCTATTTAAATTAGGGATGCACAATATATCAGTACCATATATATTGTATATTAGGGATTTTTAATTTACCACATCGGTCGATATAGAACTTTTAATTCTTCATGCTCATTTCTTCTTCTTTTTGCATTTAGATGATAAATTTACAAAATAAAAGCAGTAAAGATAATGTTCTAATTCCTAAATTCACTTGTAGAATTTCAAATTATTTTAGTTTTTAGTGTTTTAAATTTTATATTTGTGCTTACATTTGTTCAAGTAAATTTGAATGATTTTTAAATCGAATTACTTAAAAAATAAACAAATATATAATTGTTATAATTCAGTATAAAAAAAGAGTATATTCCTGCAGAAGATGCTATGTTTTGCAAGGGGGACCTTTATAGTGTAATTAATTTAGACAAAAACAATACAGAATATGAATATCAGCTATTTACTATCAGCCGTAACATGAAAATATTTATTTATAATATATTACTATTGGTAGAGTATAATGTTAGAGAGGGTCGTAACCACTATATACATCGAGGAACAAATTTACAAATATAATGTAAAAAAAGAAAATATTTATTACCTTAGTGTAATAAATATTTATTACCTTATTTATTGGCCCGAAGTTTTAATATCTGTATTTTACTACTTAAAATGGTTATTCAAATATTTTTAAAACTTATTTAAATAAAATCACTGAAATACTGCATATGTGTAGTATAAATCAGATTTTAGACCTTTAACTCAACTCAAGCAGCACCTCTTTGGAATTATGTCAGCTGTTTAGATGTTCTCTAACTCTCGACAGAATGATTACACTGAGAACGATCTCGGTATGACACAAGGAGACAAACTGCGTGCCTTAAAGGGTCGACGGCAGCCGAGGTCTGCAACTGCTGGAGCCATAAGGTAAGATGCCATTCCTTTGGTTTTTGAAGGAAAAAAACTATTCTTTAGTTGGTTGAGCTATAGCACAACCTACAATAGGGCCACATGTGACAACACTGAGAATGTAACTCATTTTGACTCAAATTGCGTTTCGTGATGCAGTAGTCTATTTTGGGCCTGGATCTCAACCTAGACATAAAAAGCAAAGCTGGTCTAAGACTAATATCACATCTTCTATTCAGATGTCCATATAATGAGCCACATTACATAAATGACACTCATTCCTTCCTGTTCATGAATGAAGTCTTTTATCACGACTCTTTCAACTTCCATTAGCTTTTAGCTCAGTGAAGAGATAAATGACGCCAGGCCACAGTTAGTGTTCCAGTCCACTCTAAAATGCAAGACCGAGCTAAAATTAATACAAAAGAACACAGATTGGTAAGAGCACTGATGCATCGGGCACAGAGCTAGTTGGCATAGTAACATGGCATTCCTGTTGTCTTGGAGAGATGTTTTCCCTGTACCTCTGGATTGGCTGACCATTGAGAAACATTCTGCTTTTACATCCCTTAGTCCTAAGTTTGAAATGGATTTCTAGCATGCTTATTTCATACTATATATATATATATATATATATATATATATATATATATATATATATATATATATATATATATATATATATATATATATATATATAATTTATATATATAATTTATAAACCAATGCCAACACAGGAGAATACATCAATATATTTCTACATATGTGAACTGTTCATCGCGATTTCAAAATAAAAGTTTATACCCTGAGTTTAGCATGTTTTGATGTCCACAAATTCTTCAAGAAATTACAGTGGCTGTAGAAGTGGCCAAATATTAAAGATTAAGTAAACATTTGAAATAAATGCCATTTGGTATGGACGCTTGTTTCCGCCACTGAATAAAAAAAAGAGGTAATTGCGACTTTTATCTCACAATTCTTTTTTTTCCCTCAGAATTGCGTGATTATAAACTCTCAATTGCTAGTTATAAAATTTACAACTTGCAATTATGAGAAAAAAAGGTCAGAATTCTGAGGGAATAAATGCAGAATTGCAATATATATTGCAATTTTGAGAGAGAGAAAAAACACGCAATTGCAATCAGATTTGTGTGATAAAAAGTCGCAATTGCGTGTTATTTTTCTCAGAATTATCTCTTGCAATTCTGACTTTTTATCGCAATTTTGACTTTTTTCTTGCAATAATTTTTTTTCTTCGAGTTTATATCTCGCAATTCTGAGAAAAAAAGTCACATTATCTTTTTAGAAATTGTTTTATTCCGTGGCGGAAAAAAAGCTTCCATGTATTTGGCCAATATTAAACAAGGATTTGCTCTGCTGTAAAGTGTAACAACACCAGGCCGTTGGCGCCCTCTCTGCAGGCATTTGTATTAATACATAATGTACATAAGATTTCTCGATTACCAAAATAATCGTTATTGACAGCCTGCAGAGGGCGCCAACGTCATGTGTATTGTATTTGTAAAACTAGTACGCAAAACATTTATAACATGTCCTTACTACTTTGCATGCTTAATTCAGTGACTAGCCTCCAGTTATCGCCCCAGAAATACGTTTTATTTTTCAAGAATTTTTAATTAGCTTTGTGCAGAAATGTCGTAACATTGATTTGGTAGTCTGATCAAGTAAATTATTAAAATCATCTCTAGGCTATTTTTTATATTTATCGGATTAGTTTGTCACACTGAATACTGGAAGAACAAGTCGAGTGCATTGCATTGTGTGATGCGGTATTCCGCACACTGCTCTGGTTGTTATGCTGCACAGTAAAGCAAATGTAATGTATAATCTGAATATTTAATGCATATTGCATGCTACTAGTTTTTCCAAAAATAGTTTAAAATGTTTAGTTTTAATGCCTAATTTGAAATGGAATACTAGCATGCTGCTTATTGCATACTATGCAGTGTATAATGTATACCGTGTTCCGGTTTTGTGAAAATAGTATGCACAACGTTTTCAACTTACATCTAAATATTACCTCAGAAACATTTCTGTATATAAATAATTTTTAAAAGGCAGTTGCGGTTTATTGATTGATTGGATTTGTAATACTAGAAATTGACGATTGTTGAGTGCATTGCATTGTGGGATATAGTATTTCACACAGTGTGCTCTGCTTGTGTACTGCACAGTAGATAATTTGGGCATTGAATATCATTTTGTTTCACTTGGAACTCAATTATTACATACAGCTCTATTTTCTGGGTTTTCAAAAGCAGTTTGTTACATAACCAAGCAGTGTGTACTTGAACCCAGTGTCATCTCAATGTTCTTCCAACAGACTCGAGGACATGAAGATGCACACCAAGTCTCCATCTCAGCCTCTCAGGTAACTTTTCATTCCAAACTTTCATTTCGTTTTCTTTAAAGGTCATAAGGGAGGTAATTTACATATAAAAGTCTTAAAGGTACAGTAGCACAACCACCTGTTTAAAGGTTTAAAATGGTTTTGTGGCCTGTTTTTGGTCTATAAAACAGTTTATATGAACTTTGCATAAATAAATAAAAATTCTGAAACTATAAAATATGGCCATCTCTGAAATGCTTTGTGTAAGCTGTTGGCTCAGTACACTAGCTATTTTACCTCGGACCTCTCCAAGTTTACAAAAATAGCCCAAGGAATAAACACAGCCTACTTACGGTTGGCGTTCTACGTACTTCACCCTCTAAAAGACAAATTATACCCTGGTGAATCTTAATTTCCAACCCCTCCTTGCGCACAACGCTAACAAAGCAAGATCTTGAAGTACCGCTCGATAAGGATAGGACTCTTCATCCTCGTGTGCTTGATGTCGTCAATAATTTGAACAGGCCCCGTTTTAGCACGTTTAACCCAGATGTAAATTAATCACCCCTTCGTGAGCAAATGCGCAGTCCTTAATTAATTTCCCATGAAGAGCGGCGAGTTGAAGAGGCCTCTTGGACATAACTGGCCCTCCTACACTTCCTGTCGCAGCTCCTTCTCACAAGGATGAAGGATGAGCTTTTGGCAAATTTGTTTGTTTTGTATTTAGCCGATAGAGACCTAGATGGAGAGAGGGAAAGAGCTGAGAGCCATTTTCACTGAGAGCTGAGAGTTTCATTTTGACTTTTGGTACAGATTCTGTTATAGCTGAGTAGTAATATATTAGGTATTACATTTTTTGTGTATAAAATTAGTTTTTATTAAGTAGTATTACATATTTAGATTTGTATTAGTTTGAAATATTTTAATATATATATATATATATACCCAAAATTTTGAACAAAAAATGTCACACTCACCCTTATTTAACCAAATGTATTCATAAGTTATGTAAATTAATTAATAACATAAGCATAATTAATTATGTAAAATTCAAAAAGTATATCAATGGAGATTTTAAAAAAAGTTTCTCCTGGGAAAATATTAGAATTTTTTTTCAAACATCAAACTGAAAGATTATATTAAGACAACTGTTATTGGTATTATTATTATTATTGCTGTTATTTTTATTTGTTTATAATTTTGTTTGCAGAGATAATATTGTTCAATTATTGTAAACAATAAGAATATTTGAAATAGTATTATTATCAGTATTTGCTATGAATAAAGCCTTTTATGCTGACATGGCCCTAACCCTAACAAATTCATTTAAATGGGGATCACATTATTAGATACTATATTAAGATGAATATGATATGTGAAAAATGTTAGCACATAAAATATTGAAGTGTTTGATACATTAAAAAAAGAACAATTCATTCTTAATGAAGCAGTTCGTTAGCATCACTTATTTCATTTTTCTTCTAAAAACATGTTATTTTTGACACAAATTCTTCATCAATTGACTTTCACTGATGATATTAAACTGTGAGATTAAACTGAGTCAAACAGGAGTTTTTGGAGTGGGTGAAAAAGGAGGAGAAGCTGTGTGGGAGATTGTGATTAGTGGTAGAGATAAAGAACACTTCAGAATGAAGACCAGAAGAAAAAGTAAAACGGCTATTTTTTTACACTGAAAGTAAAGAGAAAACAAAAGTAAATTTTACTAGGCCGATTTTGGACCCTCGCCTGTAACTTTCCCTGCTTCTTTTTCCTGATATCTTTTTCCTCAAAGAAAGCCTCTTTAAAACAACACTCTCGTCCCTTGTTGTACAGAATCTAGCGGAAGTGATGCCTCTGTTAAAAGTTTCTTCTAAACAGTTAATTTCCTAGTAGAAGTTTTTGGCAAGAACATAACGTCTCTTAGAAATGTACTTCTAAATAGTCAGTATGGCATTTTTCATGACACCGGGGTGGATTTTGGAGATTAAATGATAGTAGTCAGATTCCCAGTAGCAGCCCAGACTACTGTATCTTGTTTATTTTTGCAGACCTGCTTTTGCTTTCTTTTTACTTCAAATCCACCCTGAAAACTGTGTGTGTGTTGTATGTATGTATGTATGTATGTGTGTGTGTTGTAATAAATATCAATTAATTTATTTATACACAAAATATTTATTTACTCCTGTAGAGTTTGCAATACGGTGTTAACACCTAAGTGTTAAGATTTTTACGTGATTTCAGCTGATTTCATGCCTGTATTTGTGTTTGTGTGTGTTTTATAGCCGAATGAAACCCACAGCCACTGTCCAGGGTTCCATCTCCCCCCTAAAATCCTCCAAAGTCCCACCATCCTCCTCCGTCTCCGTCTCTGCCTCTGCCAAGCGCATTGGCCGCTCTTCATCTTCATCAACCAACCTCAAGAGGTGAGCCTGACCTCCCTTCTAATCAGCTTTCCTCAATCTTCTCTACACTCTCCATATCTTTCTTCTGTCTGCTTATTCTCTCACTTGTCCACCAACTCTTTTGTGTAACTTCTTCCTCCTCTCTTCTTTCTCTCCTGCCTTCTCTCCTCCCAGCTCCCTGGTGGCCTTCTTTCCGCTCTGTGACTACCCTATGCTCTGAAACGGAGAGCCGTAAACGCAAGGAATCAAGTTGGTTGCTCCGTGCTGTTGGTGCACTGGTTTCAAGCGACTCGTTCCCTGCCGTTTATGTAATCAAATATCCAGAGCCATATCACCTACCTACTACAGTTTCACTCTCTCCAAACTTGCACTTGTCGAGTCATATTGATGTATTTTTGGACCAAGTGCATACCCACTACTTTCCAGTACTGTTCAGACCATCTTGAAAAGCACTTTCTAACACTCTCCAGGCTAGGGCTGGGCGATATTTTATAGATGTATAATAAAAAATATTGGAACATTCACTGAAATTTGATTATTCTGCAGTAATGTTAATAAAACGTTTGTTTAAAGTTATCTGGTCTTTAATAATGTTCTCAAAATGTAAGCGAAAAAAGTTATTTATGCCTCATTTATAATCCCCCCCCCCCCCCCCCCCCCCCCAAAACGTTTTGGTTGGACACATATATATGAAGTTTTTTAAACGTTACTAACTACTTGTTTCCCATTTTGTTTTTTGTTTTTCTAATGTTCGTTTAACCAAGAGAAAACCTTTTTAAGTCACTGAAAACATTTTTGTTAGCTGTCAATTTATAAAGAGAATTTTAAATAAAATTTAAGTTGCATTCTTCATAATTGACTTAAAGGATGCAGTTTAATCATTTTTCTTTTAAATGCCTAAATATAATAAACTCGTGCCCACATTCATTTTCACTTAAAATTTAAATTTCGCTTATAATTCTGCGAACATTGAGGGATGACACAAACGTATGATTGAATCAAAATTTTGATATACATAAGTAGCAGAAACGGCATTACATTTGGCAAGTTAAATTCATTTAAGTTTAAAGAGACTTTTCCGTAGTCAATTTTGAATACGTTGCCCGGCCCTATTCCAAGTCTCAGCCAATCTACATGCAATTCCTCATCCTTTTGTCAGAAGATTTTCCATGATCTCCGTGTCCTGCAGTGTAGATATGGGTACGAGTGTGTCCTCCCTGTCCTGCACCCTTCATGTCTGTTTCCCCTCCATCCCATCCTCCAGCACCAGGTTAGCCAGCTCTTTGGGTAACCTGTACGAACCAAATGGCGAAGCAAACGGCTCTGGAAAACCACCTTCCCCTTCCTCGTTCACTTCCCATCCCGTCCGCACGGGCTACAGCAGTCCGATCGCCCCACACAATTACCACTATGAGGTCAACAACAACAACAATCATTATAACACCACCAGCACCCCGAACACCAACGGGGTGAGCCCGAGCAGCGGGGCAAAAAGTGTGACCTACAACCTCAACCACACCGGCCTGAGCGGACCTTCCACCAATGGAAGGCTGGGGGCCAGTGAACAGGGGCACCACAGAAGCCCCGCGACAGGGCTGAGCGGGCTCTCCGCACGCTACCTCAGCCGGTCCATTCCTGTAAGTGATCTCTCCTCCCAAGATACACACCCAGCAGCAGCATTTCATACAATTTACCATGGTTACTGTTGGTTTCTGCTAAGATGCCATAGTTCACAAATATGGCTTTTCTTTCTTAAACTACAGTGGAGGGTGCTTAATATATTTATGCTTATACTGTTGATAAATTATATTTGGAATTTAATGTGGTCACTGAAATCTTTCATTTAAGTTTGCCTGTGTAATACATTAATAAAACAATTTTTTAAGTTAATATTTGATTTATATACTTTTTAATTATATACATTTCCTTTATTATATATATATATATATATATATATATGTGTATGTGTGTGTGTGTGTGTGTGTATATGTATATATATATATATATATATATATATATATATATATATATACACACACACAGTAGTCAACAAGTGTATAACTTTGATGAAAGGTTTTGATCCACTTCAAATTATATATTATGTAATGTAATGATGGAAAATGAGTTGTCAATAAAATGACTCAAAATAAACACTTATTCACAAAAAATTTACAGAAAAATCTGAAAATTAACTAACTTGTTTAAATTAAAATTCTAAACATTTTCAATTAATATTTTTTTATATTTAGAAGTGTATTATAATTTTTTTTTTAGTTATGGAAATTATGTTTGACGAGTGCAACTAGACACAGTAATGACTTCGTATTAGACATATTCTAATTCTTGGAAGCTTCTTGAACCACTTAAACTTGAACAAAAAAGAATCTGTATATATTTATTATGTTTCACAACTGTAACAAAGGTATTTTAGTGGAAACTATGGTTGCCATGGTACAAAATCCTTCCTACTTTACTCTGATCTAACACAACACATCTCAGTTTAAATATTGACAGGTTTTCTCTAACAGATGCTTTTAAACGCTTCCCTGAGCATGTTGCATGTCATCTGTTTTACTGAATACATTCTCATGTGCATGTCACTCATGTTACATCTCACTCTGTGTACGTCTGTCTCTAGTGTGTTCTCAGAAAGCTCTTACTTGGATGATCTAATATTTACTTAATTACTATTGTCAAGTGAGCTTTAATCGAGTGGTCGGGATGAGACTAATGTTTTTATTTTGAGCTAATCCGTCGCCCTTCAATTTCTGTGAGTGCATCCCACGCTGATGAAAATTAATACTAAATAAACAAATATTAAAAATGCAGAGCAGGGATTCATTGGGGATATAATGAAGGCTTTAAAACGTAGCTAATATGGGTACTTTTTACATGTATGGTGGAAGGCTGACAGCTCTGGTCTGGTTTAGCACTAACATGGCTGCTAACAAGTACTAATGGCACCTCAATGCTGCTGTTTGATGCAATGGGAGTGGTGTACGTTGCAAATATATTCAGTAATTGTTTGAAATGATCAAACAAATGTTCCCCCCGCTTCAAGTAGTTAAACTTTCACGGTTGTTATTCAACAACTGATTCGTATTTTGAACTGGTTTCAGAAACTAGATGATTTTCTTGAAGTTTGGATCAACGTTCGTCTTGTGTTGGTTTATGTTCATGCTCTTCCGACTCAGAATTGGCTTCATACATTTGAATGCTGACTAATTGGCGAACAAAAAATTGTTATATTAATCAAAGATGTTTTTTTTGGTTGGTTCTTAATTAACAACTTATTTGTTGAACTGGTTCCAGAAACCATATGATTTTCTTGAAGTTTGGTTCAATGGTTGCGTTTGTTCATTTATGTTCTTCCGATGACGTATGTAGACCTTTGTGGCAACAACAAAGTTTTATGATGGTTCTGTTTCGTATATATCAGTGTTCTGATTCGCGAATCAGTCACCTTTTAAACGTATTATACATTTTTTCCCATGATTAAATGGTCTCTAAATGCACCTTTTATGTTACATTCTCAGTTCCATCTTACTCATAATTACTAAACGAATCATTCATGGAACGGTTAAGGAATCAGAGTGGTTAAATTGAATCTGATTCAGAACCAAACGCACTGAAGTTAGTGTGTGCAGTTTCGTAAAAGCTAGCTTTGAAAGCATAACAGGACGTAAACATCTCAGAGTAGAACTTCACAGGTTGTTAGAGTTTTAACCAGTGTAACTAAAAGCGTTTATGAAAAACATTGCCTAGCCTACCTTTAAATTTCTCCATATATTTTTGGTGAATCATTGAAATCAGAGTCATTGATCCCAACTTGTAAAGCCTTCATCTTGTTTTTATCTGTAATATAATATAAATGTACGTTTTATTGGAGCAATGAATGCCGAACAGGTCTAGGTTTATAAGAAACACTTGACCACTGCAAAGAAAATAGATTTGTCTGTGGTATTGCGTGACCTGAGGGCACTGACTGGACTGAAAGGTCATGAGCTTGATTTTATTGGTCTGTTGTTCTTGGACCTTCTCTAGAACTCTTGGAAGCGGTCCTGCTTCAGGGAGTTTGGTAGTTCCCCTACAATTTCCTGTTTAGTGCCTTTGTTTCCCATTGTGAATCAGTGTTTTTATGCTTAAGCCACTGTACATGTTTATCATGTGATTTCACAACTTTCCAGGCAGAATTTCTCCCTGATTACCCCGTTTATGTGATTTGACGATTGGCTCATATCACCGTTCTAGATCGTAGTGCGCTGTCTTTGTTCAGAAACCCACAACGCCTACATATGTAGCAGGAGTGACTCAAAGTTTCACTGCAGTGATGATGAATATCATATTCTGCCTTCCACTGACAGCAGCCCTGCGCTCCGTTAAACATTCTTCCTCAAAGGGCGATCAACTGACAAAGTTTTTTGACGCTAGGTGTTTACAGCGAATATAATTACCGTCAAGATGTCATCCGTTTTCTTGCTGCTTAAAATGCCTGCTTCAGGTTGCAGTGAATTAGTATAAAGTTGTCTCATAGGGTTGCACGATATTGACAAAAAGGTGATATTGCGATATCGATAATGAATATTGCAATATCGATATTAATTTCGATATTTTTTAAACGTATGTAAAACTACAAAAGTTATGGGAAAACGCATCAAAAAAGATTAATAAATAAAACAAGTTTTCTTACAACATAAGGTTTATTTCAACTGACAGTCATATTGGACTGGTACAACATGAATAAATAAATAAATAACCATGTCTACAGTACAGGACATGTTTTACTGGTTGTATGTACACTACAGTGTAAAAAACAATAAATAAAGAGCAAGTCTACAGAACCCACCTAGCCACTTAATGCTTTTTCTGTGATCGGATAGTTATCTGATCGTGAAAAGACCAGGTGTAAATGCCTTCCGAAACTAGCCTGGGATTTTACTGTATTAATTTAAGTGCGAGTCCTCATCCTTTTGAAGTGCATTGCTTTTGCAGTTCAGAAAACAGCTTTCCTCCACATGCCAAAAAATCCCACAAAAAATTTAAAGCTGAAGTCGGCAAGTCTGGCAGATCGAGTGGACTTAGGCAAAATGTTTAATGTTTACAACTCTCATACCCCTCCCCCACTATCAACGAATACCCTCACGTGCACTCCATTAAATCTGAATTGAAGATCGGATTTATATCCGTTTTGCAAAAACACATTTATGTGACCAGGTGTAAAAGGAATATCGTTTTAATAAATCAGATAGCTATGCGATCAGTGAAAACGCATGAAGTTGCCAGGTGGCCTGATGTTTACTTGTGCGCTGGTGTGTGCGTCGAGCCGGCAAGTGTGTGTGTGTGGGGACTGTGTGGTAGTAGAGCAAGGGAGAAGTGAGAGAGTGACGGCGATTAGCTTTGGAGCGAGTAGCGACTCTACAGTCATATTGAGAAAAACAAAGTGTCTTCCCTGTTTTTTTCTGACCACTGTGGGAAATCTGTAGCATGAAAAGTTAACCCTCTTCTTGATTTCATGTTGTTTATGGAGAAGGAGAATCAGGAAATGAGTCGGGGGAAATGCAACGGTGCATGTCGGACCAGACGCATCATAAACAAAATATCGCATAAATATTGCAAGACTTTCGATATGATATCGAGCAACGTGATATCGCGATAACGATATTGATTCGATATATCGCGCACCCCTAATTTCTCATTATGTTATCAGATGCAACTCTCATTAAAAATTAACGACTTTGCTTGGTTTTTCAGCAACAGGGCCAAACAAAGTCTTTTTCTGGATTTTCTGCACTTCGTAATTCTATTGAATGATTTTGAACATGGTACAATTGTGCAGATTGATCTATATTCTTATAGGTAGCTGAAAACAATCAAAGTAGTTCAATAATTTAAATGACATTCAATAAGTGGACATTCGTTGGACGTGTAGAATATTCGTAGAACTGAACGACCGACATTCTAATTCGTTGGAAACCTGTGGGGCTTCCTGCGGAATTCTGTGGGCACAAATTTGCCAAGATATTCTTATCAGAAGTTCAAAAGCGTTGAGTAGCCATATATCCAACTTTTACGATTTTGAATGAATGCGAATCTGGTGTTATTAGAACGTTGATGAAACGGTAGAAAACGGACGACACTAAATGGGACACAATGCTTTCTGTTGCTTCATAATTGTCTGCTGAACCAACCCCCCCCCCCCCCCCCCCCCTTTTCGTTTATCCCTCCCCCATCCCCCTTGCAGCAATTAAGAACAATTACCATGCAGTTGTGCATGTTGTACAATTGTGTCTTCTAACCTAAGTGGCTTTTTTGCAGTCAGTTTCCCCCTCACACATTTAATGCAAATTTATTTCCTCTCTAAGCTTTGACTTTTTATTCTCATCTCACCCTCATTTACATCAGCGAGGGCTGTGATAGTAATGTCTCAGGTTAGCTTTTTAGACTATTATTTAACTACCCTCTGTCATGTAATTTTCTGTAATTGTTTAGCTTTGTAATCATTTCATCTTCTGTTTTTCCCCCTCTTTTACAGTCCCTTCAGTCTGAGTATGTTCAGTACTAAAGCCGCCACTTTCCGCTAACCCCCGTCCCGCGCTGCTGGCCTGGTTCCGACCCATGACGCCTTCACTGTGACCACCAATTCGCTGGCTTCTTGTCGCAAAGGGGAACGAGGCCAAAAGGAGATGCTTTTGAAACCGAACGGCTCATGGTTAGCCTCATGGTAATGATACGTCCTGCTATGACAGAGCTGATCTGGAATCTGCTGCATGCTGTTAAAAACAACACGAACTTGCCTTGGCCATCCTTTCAAACCATCTCTTCTTATTTTTTTTTATTTTTTTTTTTTAGATACTCTCCATGTATGAATATACATAGTTGTACTGAAAAATATTTTTAGATGAAGAATTTTGTACTTTTTTTGTCCTATTTTATCTATGATTCTTATGCTCAGCGACGAGGTTTGTTGGATATATTTGTGTCTTTGGATTAGGGAATTTGTTCTGACGTAAATATCACGTTTTTGTCTCCTGAGTGTACTTACTGAGTAACATATCAAGTGCGAGGGCTATATTTGAAAGGTGCAAAATGGTTCGCCAGCCACGTGTCGTCTTCAAAGGGATTTTTGGCCAGCGAAAGGGATAAAGAGTGTGTGTTTTCTTTATTTGGGGTCTAAGGTGGGCTTGTCTCCACGCAACGGCGGACGGCTAATGAGACCACGACCAATTTGCAAGCAAACTTATTTTTCTTTGGAAAATGAAGGGCTTTGTTTGTTCAGTATGAGAAACAGGATGGACTCCTTGTCTTTTTTTCCATTGTGACATCATAATGTGTGTTATTATCAAACTAATTGAGATCTGAGCTCTCACGGTTTTCAAGGGCTGTTGAAAACACAAGCACCGACACTTCATCTTTCACCAGCAACTCTGAAATATAATAATATTTTAGAATATAGGAGTGAGTTACGAGTTTCTGGCTGCTGGTTTTAACATGCACCATTTTTGCATGAAGTAGCACAAACTGCTTAAGTTAAAATATATATTATTAACGATAACGAATACTCACTCGCAAGTTGCAACTTTCTATTATAGTAGAGGAGCTTATGTGTAGGCGATGATATGTATAACAAAACCCTTTATGTTATTGCACATAATGAATGTACAAACTAATCCAGAAAAATGTATCCGTTGAGGGTTCAGTTATTTTAGGATGTTTACAATCAAGTGCAAGTTATTTATCGTACAGTGTTCTTATAGGTTTACCAGCAGGGTTTAAGCTAAAACCTTTGGATTATTTACACAAAAATGGTAATACGGTCATTTAGTAACTCTCATGACGTTCCGAATTTGACTTTATTTCTTCCGTGAAACACAAAATATGATTTTTTGCACAATGTACAGAGCTCTTTTTAAGGACTGGGACAAAATTATGACAAAACACCATAAAAGTGGTAAATAAGCTTATGAAGTAATACGATCGCTTTGTGTAATTATAATAAATTATAAGCCTCCCCTTCTGCCGAAACTGTCAAATCTCATTCAGTTCAAGAATTCCTTGTGAAAACGTTGCTCCAGATTTCATGTAAATTAGAAATAAAAACGTTTACAATCATGATGTCAAATCTGATGTGACACATCTTGACAATAACAATTGGTGAATGAAACTTAAGAGCTTCAGCAAAGAGGCAGCTTTTCTGCAAATTATGATTATTTTGGTTTGTAAACAGGCCTTCTGTAAACTTTTGGTATCGTTTTTCTTCGGACTACTTTTCATAGTGTACTTTTAGACCTCAAAATGCCCAATTTATTTTTATTTAACGGAAAAGAGCAGCTTGAACATTCTGCCGAACATCATCTTTTTCGTTGCAGAGAGGAAAGTAAATAGTACAAGTTGATGATAAATGATAACAATTTTATTTTTTGGGTTAAACTAACCCATATGTTTCTATTTGAACAAATACTCCAGTACAAGCTTATGCAATTATAACTTGATTGACTGTTGTGTATATGTATCTTTTAGCCCTGTACATTCCAGATGGTGTTATGTGTATATACTTTTGGGAGAATCTTTTTTGATTGAAGTATTCTACCTCTTTGACATATACATGATATAAACTACTCTTGCTTATGAAAAAAGTATATATATATATTTTTGGAGTAGTGTGTAAAGAAAATTTAACAATGTTAGAGCAGTGTTTGCTATTCACGAACATACTAAATGGACATTAAAATACAATTTAGTGGGTTGTACATTATTCTTTTACAATGTAAACACGACTTCAAAGACCAAAATAAAAGATTAATTTTGCTTTAGTTTGTTCGTTTTCTTTGTGCATGAAAAAACATGACTTCCCTCAAGTGCAGATCCCTAATTAGTCTTATTGGTAAGTAAATAGGCCTACTGTACAGATTGTGTTATTCTATGACAAAAATACAGCTTCTTTTTAACAGCTCCACAAAAATAAATTAAGTGCCAACGATGCTCTCTCCCTGACAACAAAGTGTGAACTGCAAATCACCACACATTTGTGAACTAAAGTCTTTCATTTCGAGTCTATCTGGCAGCAGGCGTCGGGTCGTGGGCGACCGGAGACAGCTGTGAAAATGACTGCTAGTCGAGCGACTGTTCACAGCCATGATTTCAGTAAGTATTCCAAAATGTCAGTTTAATTTCTGCACGATTTGATGCAGTGTCGTGAATTCTTTATTTAGAAAACCGTCTTGCGGGTCTAAAATGTTCTACTAAAAAGTTAATTTAGGATACTAGGCTTAGGCTACGCTACTTGAGTGCTATAGCTGTCATAGGTGTAACGTTAGGCCTACTATATTGAATTGAAACCATGGCCTTGTGTATTTCCGAGCCCTTTCTTTCAGATTATGAAGGTCCAATGTCTTTCTTTGAATACACATTAAATTCAATAATCATTTAAAGCAAATAGCAGGTTTCAAGGCTGCTGCTGCTGCTGCTCCATTCGCTATAATAATAGTCTTTTAAGTATCTTTGAAATGGTTCCGGAAATGCAGCTTGACATGTCAAAACTGTCACGGTTTTTCTTACTAACCTATACTTCATATGAGCACTTGAAGATCGGATGAAGAAATATTCACGCTGCTCTTTTAATGATGTACCATTGTTGAAGGCTTTAAAGTGCGCTCTCGGCCGCTGATGCGTAACATAATAATGTGATGGAAAACGGAAGATTCTCAGAACTTTAGCTAGCATTTTGCCTAGCACGAGGTTCTCTCACACTTCTGAACATGTGCTTCTAGTAACGGTAATAGAATTTTGTTCAAAGTTATATGGTCTTAATATTCTCAAAACATTGAAATATATATATATATATATATATATATATATATATATATATATATATATATATATATATATATATATATATATATATATATATATATAAAATATCTATCACTTACATTTATGCATTTGGCAGATGCTTTTATCCAAAGCGACATACATTGCATTTCAAGGTACACATTCTTATCAGTTCTTGCTTTCCCTGGGAATTGAACCCATGACCTTGCCAACGCTCTACTGTTTGAGCTACAGGAAAGCTATATATATATATATATATATATATAAACATTTAGTTGGACCTTCATCTAATGTATTTAAACGTTACTATACTGTGTAAAAAAACAACAACAACTGCTGCCTTAAATTTGAGTACAATCAACATGGATGTTTAAAGGGATAGTTCACCCCAAAATGAAAATTCTGTCAGTAATTACTCACCCTCATGTTGTTCCAATCCCGTAAGACTTTCGTTCATCTTCGGAACACAAATTAAGATATTTTTGATTAAATCTGAGAGCTGGATCACTCCTCCATAGGCTTCTAAGGGATCGAAACTTGCCGGCCCAGAAATGTTATTAAACACATCGTTAAAATAGTCCAAGTGACTACAGTGGCTCAATCTTAAGTTTATCAAGCGACGAGAATACTTTTTGTACGCAAAAAACAAACAAAAATAACGACTTAATTCAACTATTCATTTCCTTCTCTGTGGGCCTCGAGGTAGTTCACGTAGTGTAACTGCGCAATGCTTCTGTGTTGTACGTCACACGTAGGCTCACTATTGGCCAACGCTGGTCGTGTGTGATCCGTGTGACGTACAACCAAAAGCGCTGTGCTTCTGGCCGGCAAGTTTCGATCCCTTAGAAGCCTATGGAGGAGTGATCCAGCTCTCAGATTTAATCAAAAATATCTTAATTTGTGTTCCGAAGATGAACGAAGGTCTTACGGGGTTGGAACAACATGAAGGTGAGTAATTACTGACAGAATTTTCATTTTGGGGTGAGCTAACCCTTTAAGTTATTTCAACTTAAATTACATTGAAACTGACCTGAAAATAAAATAGTTGAATCTTGTATAACTTGAAAAATATGAAAATTGCTTAACTTATTTTGATGAGTTAAAGCAATGTTAAAGCAATGAGTTAAAGCAACCTGGACATTTTGACCTTCCAGAGAACATTTAGAAATAAAATTTTCATAGGTGAATGGGAACGTTTTTAGCTGGTATTTACGGAATCTATTTAATATACAGCCTGACTAGTGTAGTCCAATTCCCCAAACCAATGACTTTTAAGGTTTTTTAATGAATCATAAACGAAAAAAAATACGATTTCCGAACGAACGAATGACTTTTACAAGCCAGTTCTTTTAATAAATGAAACATGTACAACACGATCATGGTAGTCCGATTCGAGCCAGTTCTTTTTAGTGAATCATAAACAACAGGATCGTTTGATTTCCGACAAATTAATCGCATGACTCTGTTATTTTTAATGAATCAAAAACGCATAGCATGACCAGTGGAAGTGTGATTCTCGAACAATTGACTCTAAGCCTATTTTTTTTTTTTTTTTTTTTTGATACATTCAACATTGTATCAGTAATCAGTGTAGTCTGATTTGTATTTTTAGTGAATCAATAACATATAGCGCCACCAATGGAAGTCTGATTCCCCAACAAATTATGAACGGATTCTTTGTAGTGAATTAAAACCATACTGTATCTTTTTTGTTCTAGTTCTTTTTCAGTCTATCAAAAACAATTATGAACCAAACAAAATGGATACTAGGTTATTAGTTTTGTCATGTATTTTTATTTTCTTCTCATTTTTGGAGATTTTTTTTCACCCTAGTCCTCATTCACTTTCATTGTATAAAACAGAGCAGCATGAACATTCTGCTAAACTTCTCATTTTCTGTTCCACAGACAAAAGAAAGCCCTACAGGTTTAAAGTGACATGAAGGTGAGTAAATGATGCCAGAATTTCCATATATAAATAACAAACTAATATTATTTATGTTCTCTGCTTATTCAAAATGCATCCTACTGCCGCCTCCTTCTTCCTAAAGATTCTCAATGGGGAGCCCATTATATTACGCCCTATTGATTATTACAGGCTAAGTCCATTATGAATAATGAATTGCCTTCGTGGTGATTATGCTCCCTGGGAATCATGAAAGACAAGCCAGATTGTAGCGTGGGCTCTTGTTGATCTCACGCTTCTCAGTCCTCACACACACACACACACACACACACGAACGCACATATAAAGCTGGTTTCTCCACCGCAGCATCGCCAAAGGGAGCTGCGCTCTCTCACGCGCACGCTTCTCCACACAATATGAGATGAGATGACATTATTTTCCAGCCTGCTCCCATCATGCCAAATGACACAGACGTGCCACTGTCGATGTGCGCGCTGGGACGCGGCTCGCGCATCTCTCTCGCCACCTTCTACTCCTTCATGTGCGTTCTGGGAACCGTCCTCAACCTCGTGGTGATCTATTTGGTGGTGACGTTCAAGAAGCTCCGCACAGCCAGCAATGCGTTTATCGTGAACGGCTGCGTGGCGGATCTGCTGGTTTGCGCTTTCTGGATGCCCCACGAAGCGGTGGCCACCTCCACTGGGACGTTTCTGGTGGTGGGTTACCAGGCGTTCAAAGAAGCGCTGCTGTTTCTTGGAATCACCGTGTCACTGCTCTCCCATTCGCTTATCGCAGTGAACAGGTATGTTTTGATCACCAAAACGCCTGCTGTGTATCAAAGTCTGTATCAGAAGAGAAACACAGAGTGGATGATCGCAGGATCGTGGCTGATCTCGGTGGGCTCTTTGTTCCCGTGGCTCACGTCCTTTCGATACCCTCCCGAGAGATGCCGGGACGCAGAAGACGGATCCTTCACCACGGTGTCCGTTTTGTCCAGTCGGTTTGCCGCCTGCACTTTGGCGTTCACTATCATCGGACAAACCGTCGTCGTCATGTACTGCTACTTTAAGATTTTCCGCCGGGTGCAAATAAGCGTGAAGAGGGTCAGCATTTTGAATTTCCAAATCGTGAACAACCTCCCTTATTCTTTCCCGAGAAAGGACAAGCGACTCGGCTTCTACGTTCTAGCAGTGTGCTTAATTTTTTTTCTTACAACCGAACCCATTTTTTGGGTTCTCATCGCCGGGCTGTTCATCCCGGTGTCAGTGGCGCTTTGGACGTCAACTTGGATTGTGTTCTGCACTATATTCGTGTCCAATCCCTTTCTGTACACCTGGAAAAACGAGGAGTTTCGGAAGTCGTTCAGGTCTGTGATGAGGGGGGACTTCTTGCGGGGATCCACGGTCGGGGTCGAGCCCATCACCATCAATACTATTTCTCACATCTTCCCGAGACAAAACAGCCGCAGGGCATTTCTGGGTGAGATGAACTGAGACGAACCTGCGAAACCTTACTAGTACTGTGGCTGAATTTGGCTTGTGCCTGTTGAAGATGCTTCAATATAAGCTGCATGTGTTTTACAGTGTTTTGTAAAGCAAAGTTTTTGTAACATTTTTGTGCAAGTTGAAGTGTGAATTGTTTTTGCACAACTGTGAAGACTACACTGGCACTTTTATAAATATGAAATGTTTATGAATGTTCAAATAAAAATTTAAATATCTCGACTGGTTTCATATCTTAATTTTTTATATAAAATGAATATTAATATGATTTAATATTTCTATTATATAAAATGGTGTTTTTTTAATAGTGTGTGATTTTTTTTTTAAATATTTAAAATGTATTTTTTATTTTAAATTAATAGTCATAATGATGTTATATTAAATTAGAACTGTCAAATCGATTAATCACAATGAACATAAAAGTTTGTAAATGTGTGTGTACACATATATACACACATACAGTATATGTATATATATATATAATTTATGTTAGATGCATTTTATTTTAAAATGTAAATTATATAAATATAATTCATTTTGAATTATTCATAAAGTGTATCAATATTATATTAAATGCTAAATTGCTTTAAGATTTATTTAAAATGTCAATTATTTTATTTTGAATAAGTAAGTGCATAAACTGCTTTTTATTTTAACAGCTTCTTTAAAATGTCTATTATAATAATGTTTTATATTATAAACTTTTAATATTAATATAATTTAATAATGCCATTAATATTAAGTAACATTATTAATAACATTTGATTATTAATTGCATATTCTGTTTGTGTTTATTCATCTAAATAGCTTAAATCTCTCATGTTTTGTTTATTTCTTTTCATTTAATAATCACATTTTCACATTATGATTAATGCGATATAGTGTAGCTCTGTGGAGAAGAATGCCTGCAGGTGATTTAACCTCCGAAGGAAACTTCCATCCAGTCATATCCGGTCTTAAACACTCGCTTACATAATCGTCAGGCTCTATTGTTAAAAACCTGAGCAAGCATCTGTGCGAGTGACCTGAACGATGACACCAATTTGTTGACTTCAGTTTGATATAGGTAAAATGGCACAGAACACAGTGAGAGGAAAATTTTATTTTTTAAATGAGAACTTAAAATATTAGAAGCTAAATTTCATATAGGGCAGTTGTGGCATAATGGTTAAAGAGTCAGACTGGTAACCAGAAGGTTGTGGGTTCGCAACGCTCAGGGTGTGTGTGTCCACGGTTTGCAGTGTGTGTGTGTGCACTAACTTGGATGGGTTAAATGCAGAGGACAAATTCCGAGGATGGGGTTACATGTCACTTCAAAAATCCTTATAAAAACAATTTATGATTTTACTAGCAAACAAATCTTTTATTTACAAATTTTAATTGTATCGAATATGCAAATGAATAAATTATATGGAAATAATTTAAACCCTCAAAATAAAAAATGACCACAGCTTCCACCTCCACGAATCGAGCTGCTTCTTGTAGATTCAGGATTTCTGGGAAAATGTTTTTATCTGCCCGAGCTTATAAAAACATTGCCAGTTATTTTCATAATGGAAATTTTATCTTAGAGGCGTAAACAGATTAATTTCCTGCATTTGAGAAGAACCCTATCAGAACAGCAGAGGGAGCTTGCGGTGGGACTTCTGATCCTGTCCCCTGTGAATCTAAACAAAAAGCATTTAGGGCTGGGAAATTCCTTGGCGGCGTATTCAGATTCGTGGGGCGGTGGGTTACAATCCCACCCCCTTCTCCTATAAATGAGATCCAGGGCTGAATGAAAGCAACAGCACTAACTCATTTCAACTCTCTCTGAACACTTAGAAAGTTCTTTATTAAGCATGGATTCAGCTTTTCTGTTGACTTTGCTTCTACCAGTTGCAGGTAAGTTTAGAACTTTTATTACATTTAATTAAATATGCTAATAGGTAACCTGCATATTTTAAAGTCTTACTAAACTGCTTTTATTTTACGCATTGCAAAATTCATAGAATTTATTCTCTGTTATGTGTATAACTGCTTTTTTGCAATTAAGTTTTTTTTATTTAATTATTTTTTTATTATAAAAGTATTTTCTATTTTAAAAGTATAAATTTTATTAATACCCCTTGGTCTGAAAATAGTTTTGATCCACATATGCAGATTTGAGCATTATAATGCATCTTTACTATCTGTAAAAAACTTAAGTTTTCAATTACTTTTTTAACTTAAATTAAGTTCAATCAACTTGGATGTTTGTCATTTCAACTTAAATGACATCAAAATGTACTTAAAAATTAGTTAAAAAATCGTCCACTTTTTTATGTTTAACAAGATTTAACTTATTTTGATGAGTTAAAGCATCATGTAAAAATATGTTGCCATAACATTGATCATATAATCTTTTACAGTGTATTGATGTTTTATAAAATGCTTAATATTTTATTTAATTTTGCATTTTATGTATTATATATATTAATTTGGAATTCAATATGAAACTTTCATGATTTAATTACATATCCATATATTTTATTTATGCATTTTAACTGCATAATTTCTTAAAATTTTCAAATGAGTTAATGATGCTTGTTAAATGTTAACTTTTGATGTTGGAACTAAAAGAAAATGTTGTCTTGAATAGTTGTTTCCCATGTACTGGACCTGCCATCGAAACCTCTGTTCAAAGCGGGAGACAGGAGGGAGTTGACATGCAAAATGTCATCTTGCCCAGAGAAGGTGAAGTTTACTTGGACCTCGGTAGAAGACAAACCAATATTCGCCACAGTTAATACGAAGGACAAAGAATCTGTGCTGGTCTTTGAAAATGTGAGGAAGTATCACGAAAACACCATAGTGTGCAAAGCAATCTGTGAGAAGGAAACAAAACAGGCGAAAACAAAGATTACCGTTTATTGTGAGTTCATTGTATGTTTTCAATTTCATTATAAATTGAATAGGCTTTACAATGCAAGATGAGATGGGGTCAAGTTGTCACACTTTATATAACATCTTTCAATTTTGCCTACAAAAAAAAAGCTGATGAACATTTCCAGCATAAAAATGTTTTCTTTGACCTCTTCACACTATGTGGGTTAAATTGTCAACAATAATAGGCATTGACACTGTTTAAAAGAATATGAGTGTTTGAATTATAAAGTAGGCCTACTATTTAAAGTTTTTGAAAAAAGTACCACCTTCCACTAGATGTTTTTAAAATGTATATTATGTTACGTCTAAATTATAGTATATATAAATACAAAACAATTACGACAGAAAATTAATTCATGAAGGCAAAAATGTGAAAAGTAACCATTTTGGCCACTGTCACATTTGTGCAATGTGACTTGGTTCAAAACCTTATATACTGTAAAAAAAAATTACTTAAAAAAAATAAGTGGCCAGGTTGCCTTAATTTTAAGTTCGTTGAAATTAAGTTGGAAAGTTGATTTGGGTAAAGAAAAAATGTTAAGATAAATTATTTAAAAAAAAAATTTTTACTGTGAATTTGCATACTTTGTGACAACTAGCCCGTCTTTTTTGTTCATAATGCTACATAAAACTTTTAAACATCTTTTCTAGATTATTTCAGCTTATTTACTCATATCTGAAACTTTACATCTTTTCAGCTTTTCCAAGAAACCCAGTTATATCCAGGTATGATCGCTTGATACTGGGAAAGGAAAGCGTTTTGGACTGTGAGGTATCTTCTGTATACCCTTCGGAGTACTTTGAAGTGCAGTGGCTAAATGGAGACAAGGTTCTCGAAACTGATGAGGGAAAACATGGCACAGATGTATTGAGGATTCCATACATATTCACACCTTCAAGTGAGGATGATGGGAAGGCAATAACGTGCAGAGCAACACTCCGTCTGGAGGGTGTTCCCTCCGATGAGATGACCAAGGAGACGTCTGGACGCATGAAAGTTCTTTGTAAGTTGTACTTACATATATTAACGCAAACCATTTTTAAATGAAACTCAAAACGGATGTGGGAATAGTAGTTCCCCTCTGAAGAATATGACCCCCATGGTCATTCGTTTTCCCATTGCTTTCACAGCTGCACCGCATAACGTTAAAGTATCTGGAGCGACTGCCGTCTCACTGGGATCCAATTTAACTTTGACCTGCGAGGCTGAGGGCAACCCAAAGCCTGAATTTACATGGACGGCTCTTAAACCAGATGGCCAGTCTGTGGAAATGGGAAAAAGTCACGATCTCTTCATGCATAATGTGTCCTTATCGGATGCTGGTACTTATCAGTGTGACGTTAGCAATGACTTGGGAAGACAAAACACCACAGTTTCAGTAATCATTCAAGGTTAGTGGTTCATATAATTCCTTAAGTTTCGAATTTCTAAATATTGAAATCGGTGTAACGGTACACAGCTGTCATGGTTCGGTACGTACCTCGGTTTTGGGGTCACGGTTCCATAGGAGTACGGTACATTTCATTAACATGCGGTGTCAATGGCAGATGCACAAAGTTCAATATTAAGCTTTTTCGATAAATCTCAGAAAGTTTAGCGAGAAGGAGATACAGAGCCATCTACATCTGCCTACTTCACCTTTCCATGGGGATACGGTGAGTGGAGCGGCTGAGGCTTCCCATTTCCAGGCATATTTTATCACTTGACTTCCACGACACAAATCGGCACAATGCCAAATGATTTTTTGAACAGCGGAAAAAACGTAAAATACTCTGTTATTTATGGTCATACAGATAAGAGTAAAGGTCCTTGCACACTGAGTCTGAAATTCTCATCCGAAATTTCCGCACGTTAAAAAATGAGTCAATCACGTTTGCACACTGCCTCCGAATCTTTCGTCCGTCATACATTTGTTTGGATCGGGTTCGATTTTTTTGGCGTTTTTCGCATCCACAAGCATTTTGAGAGGTGTTTTGATAATTCAGAGCCACCGAATGACGAATACGAAAAAAAAACTCATACAAAGATTTTTGTGTACACCCACAATGAAAACAAATCATCGTGGTTTTATAAAAGAAAGAAAATATACAGGATGCCGTTTTCTGCAGTCCCGGTTTCCTTTACGTGAAGCTTGTAGAGCGCGTCACAAAAATGAACCGAAACTCAGCGTATAGGCTACTACCAAGCTCCTGCGTGCCATGATCTGCCATCTATACTCTTGTTTTGGGTTGATGGCGCATAGATCGACTCTTCTTCTGCTTTTTTTCCGGTTGTGGCGGTTAGCAAACAGCGTTGCATTACAGTGCACTCCCCCTTCTGGACTGGAGTGTGGATGACTGTATTCGTCGTCTAACAGTATGCACCAAACCATGACGTCCGTACAGTGAAGGCTCGGGACAAATACGTGTACTGTTACCCTCCTACTAAATATGAATGGTCACTTTTTAATCTTATTTATTTTTCTTGGCAGCACCTCCCATGGATACCCTCATTGTAGCAAGTCCACAATCAAGTCTGAAGGAAGGAGACACTGTGAGCATTTCCTGCAAGTCCAGCAGTGTTCCAGTAACACAAGTGGTTCTTAGCAGGAGGGAGAATGGTAAAGACAGAGAGCTCATGACCAGTGAAGGGGATGAAACATCAGTTATCCTCCACTCCGTCAAGCTGTCCGACTCTGGCATGTTTGTTTGTGAGGCTTTCAATGAGCACGGCAGTCAGAGGACCACTCTCAATCTGACCGTTGAGGGTAAGACCATGAATGTATGTCTTGTGTTATTGGATATTGTTGGTACAAAGTTTGGTCTGTTGAGCAGTTATAGCGTAACCAATTGTAGAGGAACCAATTGTAGGCCTAAATCAAATCCCTAGTCTCTTAAAGACACTCTGAGGGTACGTTTACACAACAACGGTGTGCTAAAAACGTAAAAGTTTTTCTTTGTACAGATTAGAACGTTATCAAAACGATCCCCGTTCACACGGATCTGTGAAAACGACTAATAACGCTGTATTATGCATGCCAAACAAGTCTTTGGCGATGTCCTTTGTAAAGAAAGCTTGCGCACATACGCGTTCTTTTAGTTACAGTGCACTCGAGACGAACACACATGCCCACACAAGTTACATAATCTATCATTTTGATTTTAAGGATGTTAATCTTGATAATACTGTATTATTACTTTGTCTTCTGTGCAAATTCCATCTTAAAGCCAGAACCATTCACGATGTATGAGGGTTTCGTTTTCAAAAACGTGCACTTTGAAACCCGTTTTCAAAAGTTTACATTTTCATGTCACCAACGCATAAAAAGTTTTCCGTTTTTAGTTGAAAACGGTGTCGAGTAAACAGCCCCTGAGAGAGATTAGTAGTAACATTGAGATTACGGTTCCTCATCCTAAATTTGAGCTTGAAGTTTAACATATTTGAAGTACAATTCACAGTTCTGCACACATGGCTTGAGGTACCAAGTCAAAACTTTGGCAAGTCAAACAAGTCAAAAACTCTTTTTTTTCTTCTTCACAGCCCATTCTCTAGAAGTGGAGCTGCAATCGGATAGCGTCATTGTGTCAGACAGAGGCTCCAGTGTGGTGCTCTCCTGTCAGGCTTCAGGTTGCCCTCGACCTGAGTTCTCCTGGAAGAATCTTTCAAATATGCCGATCCTCAGGCGAATTAAGCCTGATGGCTTCCAGTCCCAGCTTTTTCTTGATCCAGTGGAGCTGGAAGATGAGGGAACTTACCTCTGTGAGGTCACATGTGGCTCAATAAAGAAGTCCAAACAGACGGAAGTGAAGGTGTTTTGTAAGTATCTCAAAAGGTTTACTATTTAGTCTCGAGTTTGTCAAAACATTAATGTCACATAGTTCACTGGTTTTCGACATCTAAAGGTGAAATGTGTCAATTCTGTCACTAGCATCACCAAATGGAATCGCAAGAATAATTCGCTATGCTTCCTGAACATTCCCCACATCTACCATTGGTTGATAAAACAAATAATCCCGTCCAAAACTCGTCTGGCTAGGTGGGATGCTCAAACAAATAGATATTATGATACTAAAAGATTTTAATTAAAAAAAAGAGTTAGTCTTACTATCAAGGGAAAAGTTCCGTTCATTTTAACTCCTCAAAGTTTGAGAGTTTGAGCTTGATTTGCAATTAACCAGCCATTAAAGGGATACTTCAGGATTTAGCATTAAGCTTTGTATTAGTAGAAAACCTGTAGTATTTTCAAATTACCGTGCTTTCCACCCTCATATCCCCCTAAGACGAGAGATTTATGTATTTTTTTGTCTGGAAAAATCCTCCGATGACGCAAAAATCGTCATTTTGCGTCATCTGAGGATTTTTTGGCCAGAGGCTAAAGACTACAGTCAGTAGTAGGGGCTGTCCCGCATGTTCTCAACCCGCCCATAGAGGGTGGGATCTCACTCACAGAATTTACACATACATAGTGTCAGACATCTTTTTTGGAAGCTAAGTTAGCAGGCTCTTGTTCTGTGGAGAAAGCTGAGTAAGTAGGGGTTACCATTCATCCTCTTTTTCACGGACATGTCCGGCCGTCGAGATCGTAAAAAAAGTGAGAGATACAAGACCGGTGCATCTCACAGGTGTTGCTCATCGGTAATCACGCCACCGGCCTCGCGCCGTTCTCCCGCGGCCCTCACTCGTCCTGCTCGCCACAGTAAACATAATGAACGCAAAAGCCCGGACATTTTGGGCGATCTCGGGGAGACTCATCCCGGGGAGACTCATCACGGAGACTCACTAGTAGCCTAGACTTGTTGTTTAACTACTGCGCTCTGTTACCGGTAGGCGTGGCCTCCTAGGGCAGCGAAGCAAGTGCATTCTGGGAGTTGTTGTCTTTCATCCACATAAGCCAAAAATACATTTTCTGGCTTTTCTCAGTCTAGAAAGCTCCAAATTCAAAAATAATTTCACATTTCTTCTACATAAATGACCCATTTAAAATACACATTCATCTTTCCAGAGGTGAAGTATCCCTTTAACAATGAGTCATCAGTGAACAGTAATCCAGTCAAGTCTCTTTGTAGAAAGTTTTAAAAACTTTAAAGTTCACTATGACATTGATTTGATGCAGGAATAAAAGCATTTATTATAAATGTTCCAGAACGAGAATGAACAAAGAATTCAGAGGTCATCAAAGTGGTTAATGTTGTCAAGATTTAAAACTCCCCTGATAGAAAACAAACTTCCCTAAAATGGTTTGTTGCTCTCAGCGGATATTAACTTTTTAGAATGTGCGAGGGAGTGTTGCTTTGTTTACATTACATGTTGTACTACATATTGAATCTGTCCTCATTCAAAGTTCTCCTGAATCTCGTTGTATTTATTAGGATCTCTGTGTATTTATAACTGACATTCCATTTTATTCTTTTATCAGCATTTCCTACAAGTCCTATCATAAAAGGTTCTGGACCTTTTCTGGTAAAAGAGATGATGAAATTGACCTGCACTGTTCAGGAAGTTTTCCCGGCCAACCTTTTCCAAATCCTGTGGATGGATGGAGAGAGAGAAATGCATTCGGAATTTGGGTCATTTTCAAATGGAACAACAAATCTGACTTCAGTGTACTCATACCGCATAGACAGGAAAGACCAGGGCAAACTCATCACCTGCAAAGTCTTGCTGGACATGCATGGTGTGCCAGCCGCTCAAGTAGTAAGGACGGCGTCTACTACATTATCCATTCACTGTAAGTCAAGGTTGTTTCTTTGTTCCTTTAAAGTATGACTTCGTCTTGGTTTTTTGACATTGCGCTCCTTTTACAGATCCCCCCAGAGCAACCAAGATTACTGTCAGCCCTCTGACAGAGTTGAAGGAAGGAGAAACTGTGAGCATTTCTTGCGTTTCTGACAGCTTTCCAGTGGGGCGTACGGTGCTGAGCAGGGTGTCGGACAGCATTCAAACAGAGCTAATGGCCAGTGATGGAGTTGAAACATTGCTTACCCTCCCTTCGGTTGCGCTCGATGACTCTGGCTTCTATGTTTGTCAAGCTTCTAATATGTATGGAAATCACAGTGATAGTGTGGAGATTACTGTGAACGGTAAGTTAATTATTTTTCGAATTAGAAGGTATCACATCTGGTCAAAATCAATCAATTTACCCTGGGCATAGTATTAATGTGTTTTAGTGTTTGAAATATCAACAGTTATTTGAAATATATTATAATTTCAGGAGTACCTTGCTCTCCATTTTGCCTCGTTCTCCTTTTCATCAAAATGGATTAATTTTGCGTCTACTGTTTTAATTGCTCTTATTAAACGGTTTCTGTCTAAGCAATTGACAATTATTATGCCTCTTGTAACCCAGCACCACCTAGGAACACAACGGTGGAGATCTTTCCATCCACAGATGTTCAGGAGGGGCAGAATATCACCATCTGTTGTCGCTCCGTGAGCTTCCCTCCACCTGCGGTGTTCCTCAGCAAGCTGGATAGCGAGACAAACATCTACTCCCTTGATGGCATCTTCCTACTGATCAACCTCACTCCCAATGACACAGGCCTATATCAGGTCAACGTCACCAACGACCTAGGCTATGAGACGGAGATTTTCAATATCAACGTGATGGGTGAGTGAAACTGGTCAGATATTATATCAAGTTATTGAATGTCTGAGTAACTCTCACATAGCAACATAAACCCAGGTGATCAGAACATATCTGATGCTTAATGTGAAGTGAGGAAGGATTTTGGACCAATAAAATTTCACTGTGGGAAGGGGTACCCAGCTTAATGTCATCGAAATAAAAACACAAGAAATCACATATTGTTTTTAGTAGGTACTCTGTGTACATCTGGGTACTTTTCATCTGCTGTTTTATGAATACTATGAATTTGGACATATTAGTCTTTTCACTTCACCTATCATAGGGCAATTGTAGCTGGTTAGGACAATTTACAACATATTTCAAATTTTCTGATCTCTTTTGATATTTCTTTACAGAGAAAAAATATGACTCTCCATTGGTTTGGAATGACTTTATAATCCCTGCGATTTGCCTGGGAGCCGCTGCTGCGCTGCTTGGTGCTGTGGTGAACGTGTGGAGAGCCAGAAAGAAGGGATCGTACGACCTTACGAAGTGCAATCCGGGCACTGTGTAGACTGTGTATAGACTCCATGAACTGTTTTGGAAGCAGCTAAGCTCGGCTGAACTGTCTTGCCAGGGCCCAGAGCCCTACCGAAAGCAAGAACTGCAGGTGACTGGATTCATCATCTGGATCTTCAGGTGACAAACCCCCAGCCGGATGGGAACCTGCATTCTCCACAGCCAGAGACAATCAATGTTCCCGAGATTTTTCACGCATCCCTAGAGGAGGGAAATCGAACCGGTGTGATTTCTCCATGGTCTTAATGTTGGGAAGTGGTTTTTGAGACCGCCTGGTCTGGACTTAAAGCGGTTTCAAATATGTGATTTTTATTTATTTTTTGAAAGTCAAAGCTGTTTTGAAATGCAAATTATAAAAATGTGAAGAACAGATGTAAACATTTTAACATTAATAGAATGTAACCTAGCCACCAAGGTTTAACTGGTTCATTTTAGATGATAATATATTTGATGTACTGAAGTAGATATTGTGTCCTAAAAATGCTGTGCTTAATGTGGTTTGAAATCTTGTCAAATTGCTTTCATTTTCATATTTATTAAAAAGCAGCTATCTGTCATTTGATCTCGAAGAGTTTTATGGGAAAATCCAGGGAAAATCCAGGGAAATTTGAGTGTTACAGGAATCCACTGCGTCTGTTATAGCTTCACTTTTCCTTTGAGATTTCAGTTTTGCTTTTCGGTTTTCCTGTTGGCTTAAAACAATGTTATACTATCCGTTCTGCACAATAAATGTGGGATAATCTGGAGGCGTGCAATCACTGCATATTTAGCTATCAGTACAAACAATTTCCTAAATTCCAACAAGACAGGAACAAGTTGATCAAAATAAGAACTAGCACACCTTCCAAAAATAAACCTCTCCACCACATTGGTGCCTCCATCCTTTCAAGACCAATCAGAACAGACCCTCTGAAAAACATTCCAATTCATTTTAGCCAGCACATTAAGACTAAATGACTCAAACTCGAGATCCTCACTCCTTTTTTAGTGTCTTATATTGATTTTTTGTCAGTGTTACTATAAAAGGCTGTTGCCATGGTGACCATCCAGATGCAATGGGAAAGGGGGGTGGGTCGTGCTTTCATGTTCCACAGGGAAAAGGAGAAGCAAAGGTGTGAATGGAACAATGTTCTCTTAGAAAGACGGAAGGCCACTAAGGATGAACCAGCGATGAGTAATGTGTTTTTGCTTAACAAAAATGGCAGTATTTGATCATTTTTGTGCTAACATTTGTCTTTATTTGGACATTATACAGTAATATTTCCAAAGAGGCTGGTGTTTGCCTAAGTATGAGTAATAATAGTGATGAATGCTGATTTACAAGTGTTTTCCAGTTAAACACTTAACCACGTCCTTATGAGTATTGCACTTGAAGTTTTTCTGAACATGGTGGTTATGTGAGAATTGTGTGTTAGTGGTAAGTGCCGTTGTGAATCTACTATCAGCATAACGATGTCGGTCAAGAACATCTCATTCTTGTTTGAAATGACTCATGTTTGAAGGATTGCTTCAACAGTGACTCAAGTTTCAATCTTGTACCGTATACGCAGGGCTCCCAGACAAGACAAATGGAATTGGCTAAAACATGATAAAACATGTCGGAGCCACATGAGTATTTTTAGTTGATAAATTATAAAATTGGGCAATAAAATGGTTCAGACTAGCCCGTAAATTGACCAGTGTACAAAAAGTAACTATTCCCAGTTTATAATGAAACATGAATTGCGGAATTCATCAACAGTATTGTGTGGTGTATTCTTTATCTGAGCCATTAAAAAGAACCATTTCAGTCATTTGTTCGCCAATCATTAGCCACATTTCCACTGTCAGGCCAAATTCATACAGGAAACACTAACAGACACTAATAACAAAGCAATATACACTCACCGGCCACTTTATTAGGTACACATTGCTTGTAACTGGTTGGACTCCCTGTTGCCTTCAGAACTGCCTTAATTCTTTGTGACATAAGTTGCTGGAAACAATCCTCAGAGATTTTCTTCCATTTTGACATGTTAGCATCACGCAGTTGCTGCAGATTTGTCGGCTGTGCATCCATGATGTGAATCTCCCGTTCCAGCACATCCCAAAGGTGCTCTATTGGATTGAGATCTGATGACTGTGGAAGCCATTTGAGTTTAGTGAACTCCCTATCATGTTAAAGAAACCTGTTTGAGAATATTTTAGCTTTGTGACATGCTGCGTTATCCTGCTGGGAGTAGCCATCAGAAGATTATACACTGTGGTCAAAAAGGGACAGACATGGTCAGCAACAATACTCAGGCTGTGGTGTTTAAACGATGCTCATTTGGTACTAAGAAGAGGCCCAAAGTTTGCCAAGATAATATCCTCCACACCATTAAACCAGCAGCAGCAGCCTGAACCGTTGATGCAAGGCAGGATGGATCCATGCCTTCATGTTTTTTACACCAAATTCTGAAAAACTATACGAGCTTGTCTAGCACCAGCACCAACAACCATGCCACATTCAAAGTCACTTAAATCACCTTTTCTTCTCCATTCTGAAGCTCAGTTTGAACTTCTTCAGCGGATCATCTCAATGCCTAAATCTATTGAGTTGCTGCCATGTGATTGGCTGATTAGATATTATGTACCTAATAAAGTGGCCGGTGAGTTTATCTAATGAATCCACATGCGCACTGACTAGAATTTGAACTATTATTGCGGGTTTTTTTCCTAATTAGTCGTAACTATATCTAATGCTTTTGTTAGAATTAGTGATATTAACAAACCCCTAACTTTGGCGCACACCTTGAAATGTGTGGTTTGTTGAAAATTGATGTTAATTGACCCCCCACCCCCACATCCAACAGAATTATGACAAAGCGGGCACTTTCATTTTTAGACCAGAATCCACCGAGAACATATTGGCAACTGCATAGTAGCATGCTAAAACCATTTTAAACACCTTAGCAACTGCTTAGCCTAGCAACAAATCTAGTCAATTTTTCAATCTACTCTTCCTTAGAACTCTGAATCGCCATTAAATCAATCAAGAGATCTTGTTTTTCGGTTGCCATTGTGATCATCCCTGACAGTTACAGTATGTTTTCTATTTACTTAGTTGAGGGGAATGAACCATGGCACTGGCATTTAGCACAAAACCCCTCCAAGGATGAGAAAGATCAATAGTTTATAGTTCAGCTTGCAAAACCGACATTATTTTTAAAAGCTTTCTTATGAACTGCTTGTGCAATACTGTGACACATTCTAACCCCTGGGCCCCTAAAAGCACTTGCTTATGCAACTCTCCGGTGAAAAAGAACAGCAACAATGATTTGTGCCGAGTCCTGTCTTTTTTAATCACTTAAAGACACTGGTATTTCCTGGTTCTCAGCTGTTGTGTGGACATAGAACATCTCTGGAGTGTATAGCCCAGCCGCTTTAAACGCCTCCACTCGAGCTTGTTTGTTTGATTGCTGTTTAAAGAAAATCTGAATATTTATGGAGATGAACCCCTGGTTCAGCAGATGGCGTTTGACCCAGGGTCTCGGCGTTCTTGCGGCGCATCCTTTGCCGATATGGCGGATCAGCAGCTTTTTTACAACATCCCCACTTCTTTGTCTTTTCCATGAGATCTGTTGTGATTTGTTTTCTTTACGTGCACATGTCTTTGGGTGCTGATGGTACAAATGCACACACACAGTTGCAGATACGCGCTAAAATGCCCACAGGCCTGTTTGCATGTTAAATGGAAAATGATCTTTTCCAAGAAAAGCAGCCAACAGCATGAGGAATGTTTCATTTGGCTGGCATGTTTATCAGTGCAGGTCAGATGAGTATCCTTTTCATCATTAACAGGCAGTTTCATGCTGACTCCCCCAAATGCTGCTTTTGAACTTCAAATATCAGTGAGTGATCCATGCAACAAAACTTCCCATGTACTGTATCTTTGTAAGGCACCATCTGTTTTGATGAAACAATAATCATTGGACTATTGCCTATCATTGGACTGTATTCAAATAATTCTGCGAGTTTATATCTCCCAATTCTGAGGGAAAGAGTCAGAATTGCGAGATAAAAAGTCACAATTACCTTTTAAAACTATTTCGTGGCGGAAACAAGCTTCCATAAAAATGGGAAGTTTCACTCCGAATTACATTTTTAAATTTAGGCTTTTCTTCTTTTTTTAAATCCACAACCTGTAATAACATGATTCTTGCCTTGCTTCAATCATACAAACCCCAATATAGTGCATGCAATGTATAGCCTACTCATGCACACATCAGCCTAACCTATATAGATAAGCATGCATGCCTACATATTTACAAGAGTGGTCTATTTTTAATTCAAAATGACCTTGAATTTCCACTGCCCCCTCTGGGTTCTGGACCCATATTGAAACTTGTGCACGGTTTCCTCCTTAACACAATGAAAACTTAAAATGTAAATCTTTGCGTTGGCATTGGTTGTATCCCCCCAAATTCATGGGGATATGATGCATGATGCATTTGTGACATAGGCCTAACCTATATTAAGGTATGAGCCTCATGTTATTCCAGGAAGCAGAGATTTGCATGTACTCCGGAATACAGTTTGACCCACAATATGGCTGCGTGACCTTCCTCTGGATACGGCGTACATCTTGAAGATAGTGATTTTTAAGACGTATTTGGCATGAAGCCCGAGTTGCTAACCTCAGCACAATCTCTGTCAACCAGAGTACAAACTGTGCTTGAGTTATTCAGCTACTGTGATGCTATGACCTCAAGAGCTGCTAGTCAGGAAAAGGGTTTTAAAAACTCTTTAAAGATTAAGATTAATCATTATTTGTGATGTTTGTGATTATTTTTAAAACTTTAGGTTATTGACATGAATACCTCAAATCACATGTTTGTTGAGGACATGCTATTCCTTTTCAAAGCAATTGGACTTAAAGTCTCCCTGTAGTCAATAATTATACCCCTAAACCTCATCTTTGATTACCAAAATGACACATTTAAACGTTTTAAACTTGGAAAAAAAATCTTCATGCCTTAATTTACCTTGAACGTAACTCTACACCCTTGCCTCATTTAGTATACGCGGTTCTATGAAAATGAAAATTAGCCCCGCCTCCACTCACTCACCAGCTCAGAGATCCACTCGTTGATGATGACACGTTGACGTGATTGGTTACAACGTAGTTTGTGATGTTAGAAACACCAGCGATATCAAGCCGCGTTTTTGAGACTCTCTCACTGCAGTTTTATGGAGAAAATACTCAGCAATGGTGTTGACTTTTGCATTTGTACATGGTTTGTCTTAAAGCATATTAAAAGCAACACATACACATATAATCAACATTAAAAATCAAAGCTTGATTTTCACCACAGGGTGAAAAAATCCCATAGACTTAGGGACCAGAATATCTGACATGAAAATACTAAACTGATTGTGGATTTTTTGGTTAAAAATAAATAAATAATAATACTCCGGTTTAAATACATAACACTTAAGAATGGTTAAATGTTGCTACATGCAAAAGAGCCTGTTTAGTTGAACTGTCCCCTTAAGATGGGACCATAAGTGTTAGCAGCCAACTGACTCTCTCTTTCGCTCTTTTTATCAGATACAAACCGGCCAGAACAAACATTTGTACCTTCCTCTTGTTTAATTTACAGGTAATGTAGCCAAACTGAGGCCTCTAATGTTTAAAATCACACGCTGTCTCTTACAGAGACTCTTCAGCCCAAACTATGAGCGTCTCTTTTCACAACATAACCATTTAGCCTGACACACATCTGGCCTACTATATTTTTGTTTATGTTCTTAGCTTGCATTCATTCTCTTATGGAAATAAGCAGTCGTAAGATGAGATCATGGTCCCTGGACTCACTAGATTTTGGTGAAACTTGGTCTGACTACAAAGTACTCATGTTATGGCTTTATAGAAGCATCCAAAAGGCCAGCACCAAGAATTTAATAATCAGAGCCCCTAAAGGTACATGGGGATAAAAAAAATATGAGGTTGCAATCATTTTTAAATTGCAACAACAACACTCATTTAATGCAACGGACCGGTCTACGGGACAAAAATTGAGCCTTTAAATAAAAGGGTTATTGGGCTGTTTACGCTGTCATATAAAAGAGCCTGCACATTTACAGGACAAATGAACACAAAAAACCTGCCTAGTGCCCAGTGGTGTATAGTCTAGTTTTGTGTAGTGAGTATTTTACTCTGCGATTTCTTTCATAATTTCTTTGAGTTAGACCGAACTTTTATTTTGGTGGGTTGTAGACATTTGAGTTTCTGTGTCTTTTAATTATCTATTATTATTATTATTATTATTATTAGGCCTAATTGAAGTATACTCTACTGTGCAATAGTAATATATTTCTGTTATAATTTCTTCAAGTTATACCGAACTTTTATTTTGACAGGTTGTCGTAAAGACATTAGGTCGTTTTTTAGCGACCTGGATCTATATCTATCACGGATGGATCTCTAACTGCCGCAATAGTATAAAACTTTCTTAATATTTAAATAACTATAAAAGAATGAAACAAAGCAAATTTCGTTATAGGAGAAGGGTTCAATTTGAGCAGATGCTTTTTAACATCATCAATATCCTCATTTCCCAGCACATTCAGCATCTGGCTCGCGATCTTAAACATATTCTCAAAACTATCATTTTCAACGTCTTCAAAATAAATATTTTGATCTCTGACTGCTTCTTCGGCGGATCCACCATTAACTGGTAGTGACACTAATTAATATCCGACTGCGTTCAGCACTTGCTCTGCAGTAAATCGATGAGCCATTTCAAGTTTTGCTGATGATACTTCCTATTCTTTTGTTTTCTGCCTGCGGTAACTATGAGTGAAACGTCACTTCATCATTGCATGTCAAAGATTGCCATCTTGAGGAATAAAGGTGAATTGCACTTATTGATTAATCAGAGATTCAATTATTGTTGCGCAGGAAAAAAATGACTTACACTGTTACCACGGTCACTATCGACCCTATACAATTTTTGCAACAAAAAAAAAGTGATAAACAGAAATTCTTTATATTTTTTTTCATGTTCTATTTTTTTAATGAATAGATTGAGGAATACTAAGAAGGTTGATGACTAACTTTAAAAAATGTTTAAGGAGGAGACAAGTGAATGACGTCCCGGGTCGATAAAGACCCAAGGTATGCGTTTAAGGGTTACCTTACTTACCGCCAGTAGTGGGCACTCGTGCACCGTAAGCAGTGACATACCTCCGAGTGAACGAGAGAGAGGGAAGTTAGCTAGGGAAGGGCATAAAAATGATATGATAACGACACAGAGGAACGATATGGTTGGAATCACTTTCAGAACTAGGTGATGAATGCTAAAAAACCATTGACAGCCAATCAGAATCCACCTGACTTTAAGCTTGAGCATTTAAAGTGGCAGATGACATAATCGCAGCGCATGCTTATGAGGGCCGTCCTTAGGGCGGTGCAACTGGTGCAACCGCACCGCCACCGGGCCCCATGCTTTAGGGGGCCCCGCGACGAACATCAACCTGCTGAGGGGGGCCTCGCTTCCTCTAACTCACACTGGTCCCCGCCCCATGCTTAGGACGGCCCTGCTTATAATAAACAGGAAAAGCATTTTGAGCCCAAATTGATCATGAAGACCATTGTTCTCCACGATCAAATTAGCTCACGATGCTTTTGGGAAACGCAGCCCAGAACGTTATCGTACGTCGGTGTGGACGCTAATAGGCTATTTATCCTTCTTGATGTGAACGGGCCTTTCATATTCCACAAGAAATTCCCTTGCTATCGACAATTTGTTTAATTGAAAACCGGAAAACTCCCACCATGTCTCGCAGGAGTTGTTTTGTTGTTTTTGGACACTGATGTCCATTTTAGAAAATGTTGCACAAGTGTTCCTCATATTAACCATTGGTTAAACAGCGATCTGTGGTGTTCTGTCTATTATTAGAACACACCACAAGTTTGATGATATTTCTGGACCAACAAAAGCCTCGGTCTTCTCATGCATATTAATGAGATGTGTGGGAATACAATCGCTTAAGCCTCTCCCATGCCCTTTAAGATGCTCATGCATGTCGTAGGATTCAACACAAGGATCCGAGTGTGTGAATCAATCAAAACTGCTTTGCACTCTAAAAATGATCTTTAATTTCAGTTGCACTGGAATCAATGGATCCGTATGGAATTACTGAGCGGCTACCCCAACAAGTAAATGATTGAGATTTGCTTATGATCAGCATTATGTAATACAAGTGTCAGTTCACATTTGTGTAAATCAGGGAAAGCACATTGTGCACGTCTGGCTCACAGGCAACAGGCTGTGCTTGAGTTCCCATTCCTGTCTGCTGAAGCAGTTACCATGGGAACACCCTTTTTTCCTCTAGTATTGAGGGAGCATTGAAGTGTTGTTTTGGAGTATTTGAAATGCAGGTCTTGCACAGTTTAGCATTTAGTTTCTGTTCATCTTTAGGTGTTAAACTTAGGCTTTAGCTATTTATCGCCTTTGAGTTCTTTATTGTAGCCTACTTGAATACTTAATTATTGGATGGATACTTGTTTTATTTGACTATTTGCTACATGCATATATAATATTTATAATATTTTAATAATCTGAGTTTAAAGTTTAGAGACTATCAAAACAGATTTTAATTTTATATTGAGATTATAAAACTCACTTTTTTACGATACTGTAGCTATATCGTGTTTCCTGTAACAATAATCATAGAGCTTTACTTTTCTTTATCAGTTTTTATTTTAGATAGGCTTATCATACAGTAAGATTATTTGGAAAAGAAAATATTTACACGTGTTGGTATAATCTAGTCGAAGACATTTGTTATAAATTAAGTTTGAGAGAACAGATCTTTGAGCAAAGATCATTTCCTAAATTTGAAGATTTACCTGTATTAACAAAGGAAAATGTATAATATTTGGTATGTTTATGGAAGATGAAACACATGACTTGGCAGTTAACACATTTATTATTCTTGGGAAAATCTTTTCACACAAGAATAGATTCCTAAAAACACTTCCAAACTTTGACCTTTTTCACAAGGAACTGTGTCATTCTTATCGTTAAAATTAATGAAGAAAAATAGTGCCTTAATCTTATGTACTTTGATGGAGGATCTTAAACTTGCTGAGAACCCCTAGATTTTTTTTCTTTATTTACTATTTACTTGAATGTATGTATTTATTTATTTACCTATTTATATTTTCTTTATCCTATGCTATGATGTTTGTTTTCTGTCTGATTAAGATTAATGTCTGTTGTCTGTTTATATTGTTCAATAAAGTTCTGAAAAAAAAAAAATATATCTTTGACCAAAGTTTCTACTAAAATCGTGTGCCTAACTCTATGATAAAAGAGTGACACCTGCTGGTTCTGTGCTGTAAAAATGTATCATCAATACTCTGCCATGTTGCATGAACAGAAACACTCCAGCTGAGCTATGTACTAACATACGTAGCCTAATCAAAGCAGTTTCATAAATTAATATTCCGTTCTGTCTTTTTGAATATTATCTCTGATCAATACATTCACACAAAGAAGAAGCCTTTTAATTGGAAAGCGTTTTATGTATAATATATATATATATATATATATATATATATATATATATATATATATTTTTTTTTTTTATTAAACCTAGACACAACCTTCAGCAGTTGATGTTGACAGTTTTCAAACTGACAGAAGTCTTTCACTGTTTCACAATATTAAGAAAAAAATTACATCTCAATTAACATACATTTACAGTATGCAACCTTAACTATATAATAATTCTTTTAAAATATTAATTTATTTTCTATTCATAATATTAATACAAAAAATTATTATGGGTATATATGAAAGTTTTAAAAATTGATGAAAGAATTAAATAGGGCATTAAATAAATTATTATTTAATAATAACATCTTCGCATCTGCAGATGTGTAATGAAATAATAACTTATTATTGTTAGAAGGGCAATATTCATTAGCCTATAGGATATTTCTAACATAAATAAATAAACCTCAACCTCACTTCTGAGTAATAAAATGAAAATGTATGAATATTTCTATATGTATGGATTGATTATTTAAATATATAATCAAAGATGAATGAATGAATGAATGAAACACATTACACGAGATAAACATTACAATGAGTATACATCTATTAAAGAAAATCTGTGGGGTTTGTTCAATACAAGTTACACCGGGTCAGTGACATGACGCACGCGACGTCGGCGCGATGACTTTCCGCTGTCTTGCGTCCAGACGCTCGTGAAGCCGCAGTGCTGCTCAACGGCTAACCGGAGACGCTTCGCTGAAACATGCTCCCGTTATCCATCAAAGATGACGAGTACAAGCCTGCCAAATTCAACTTGTTCGTCAAGTTATCGGGCTGGTTCAGGTAACGACGCTTAAATGTATAATAATTCATTGAGTTTCACTCACAGCTGTCGGTTTTGTGTGGCTAATGCAGTTAGCATGCTAGTTAGCTCGGGAAACCGTATTAAAATGTGTCTATAAAACAGCATTTAGACTAATTCCTTTACAAAATATATAGAGTGAATAAATACATCCTGAAAAGTTAATTTAACTGTTATGACAAGGAAGCAGACAGCTTCAGGTTATCGTTCAGCCAGACAGATGTTAGCAAAGCGAAGTTAACATTTAACAAAATGTATAATTTCACTCAATTTACGTTATTAAATTTGTTACGATATATTCCACAACAAAACACGTCTATTAAGAGTGTATTTGGACCCCATGTCATTTTCCCAGAGCATTTAATTTTTATAAACTTCAGTCGTGTATTTGTTAGCTGTAGGTTTACAGCCAGTCTGTCTGGTAAGTCCACTTTTTAAAATGAATCAGTCTGAAACCTCCCTCTCTATTTTTGTCTTTGTGTTCTTCCTCAGATCAATTATTGCCGATAAAACCTCTCGGAATCTGTTTTTCTTCCTATGTTTGAACCTGTCCTTCGCGTTCGTGGAGCTGAGCTACGGCATATGGAGTAACAGGTAACGTTAACAGTAGGGGGGCAAACAAGGATATGCCACGTAGGTCTAATGTGGGATGAGCTAGTGTGCTTTTGTTTTGGGCCCTTACGTCTGTTAGGAATGTTTTGAATGGAGTTTCTCCCATGATCTGTTGTCATAGTCATCTTTGAAGTGAGATTGCTGGCTTATCGAAGTTTATAAATACAGGATGTGGCTCAAAACCTATTGAGGTGTTTCATCTAGACAGCATATGTGAGCATATAGGTATGTTTGAATGTTTAACAATGCCTTAAATGCCCAAAAATGCTTTTTAGTGAAGCAGATCTGGCTTGGTTTAGAACAGCTGTAATATATCAAATATGGGGAAAGTGGCATTAACCATTTGTATGCCATTGTATATTAATCACAGTATATATTCCCATTTGTATACCATACATACTTTTATTGAGGTTGCAATATTGTTGGTTTAGACTTATATTTATATATATATGATATATGATGTTTATTAGTAAATTGTGCACACTAACAGCAATTTGCAATGTCAAAGTTAACAGAAGTTTTTTATTTTCAGTTTTTATGCGAAATTAGTGTTTTATGTTTGTTTTATTATTGTTGTTGTTTAATATAATAATTTATTTAATACACTGATAATATTATGCAAATTACATAATCCCACGAATGGGAGTGCAGACAGTGAAGCTTTTTTTATTATTATTATTACTTGATGAATAATATCAATAATTATAATATGTAATTATTGTAATAATAACTTATTATCATTACTATATTCATCATAATAATAACAACAATACTATTTATTATTTATAATTATAATATAAAATAATAAATTATCATTTTATTATTATTGTTAATTATAATCATTTATTTATACACTGATAATATTATGCAAATGATAATAATAATAATTATTCCTACTATTTTCTTTAATCAATTGTTATAACAATTATTATTGTTCTTTATTATTTGACTGAACACTGTCAGCAATTTGCAATGACAAAGTTAGCAGAAGTTTTTTTTTCCAGTTGACGTGAATAATTTCTTTGTTTACATTTTATTATTGTTGTTTAATATAATCATTTATTTAATACACTGATAGTATTATGCAAATTAATGACACAACTCCTACAAATGGAAGTGCAGATAGTGAAGACTTATTATTATTTTATTTTTTTTACATAAAATTAATAGGTATGTATTTTATGTTAAAATTATTACTTATTATAATTGATTTAATACACTATCTGTCATTTGAAAATATTATGCGAATGGGAGTGCTTGCAGCAAAGCTTGAATTATTTTAATAATTATATTTATAATATTTTTATTTTATTTTTTTTATAATAATTTAATAGACTATCTGTCATTTGAGAATGAGAAACTGAATTATTATTATTATTATGAACTATTTCATTGTATTTGTACATTTAAAAACAAATATCAACATTAATAAGAGTATAAATATGTTATAATATTCTTTTTTTATTTACATTTTTATTCACTAAAATTATTTATCTATTTCATTGCACAGTTTGACCCACTTGCAACCAACAATATTTGAAACCCAAATCTCTGTCAGTATGAACATATCTTTGTCTTTAAATGAAAGAGTGAATAATATCTAACAAAAGGCCTTACGCGACTCTGACCTCAGTATGGGGTGGGACGCAGTTCTCAGGTTTCATGATTATTAAACACTTCCCTTTTTGTGTTGCTTTGATTCTCAGTTTAGGTTTGATATCCGATTCCTTTCACATGTTCTTCGACTGCACGGCTCTTCTGGCAGGCCTTGCAGCATCAGTCATCTCACGGTGGAGGTCCAACGACTCCTTCTCATACGGGTGAGAGACCACTTCACAACTTAAAACAACTTTTGTGCTAGAGTACCAATGACACAAGTTTCCTATTAAGGATATATTCACTTCTGCTTGCGTGGTGTTGACAGGAAACGCCTGTCTTTTTTGCATCATGGCATTCTTTTGCAAGCCCATTTGATTATTTTTGTAGGTATGTCAGAGCAGAAGTTCTCGCGGGCTTCGTGAACGGCCTTTTCCTCATCTTTACCGCCTTCTTTATCTTCTCAGAAGGAGTAGAGGTACGTACGATTATAAGATTACTGTTGATTCACTTGCCAAGTGACACTGATCCACTAAAATCTGTTTATGAATGATGGCATCTCGTCTTCTCACCAGAGGGCGCTGGAACCCCCTGATGTGCACCATGACCGCTTGCTCCCGGTGTCTATAGCAGGGCTGTTGGTGAATCTTGTAGGAATATTCGTTTTTCAGCATGGAGGACATGGACATTCACACGATGGTGAAGGTAAGCATCTTGTAACTATTAGGTGAAAGCGGTCCGAGTCGTTCACACACGTGCTTCTTCATAGATGTGTCATGTTGTTTAAAATTTTAAGGTCATGGCCACAGTCATTCTCTGTTCAATGGGAGTGTGGGACATGGACACAGTCATGGAGACCACGGCCACAGTCATGAGTCCAAACATGGACATGATCATGGGCATTCCCACGGAGGACATGGCCATTCGCATGACGATCCCCACGGCCACGGTATGACCTCAAGTTATCTCACTGATTTGTGTGTAGTGTATTTCTATTTCGAGCCAGTACTGTTATAATGCATCAGATGTGTTATTTGGTGTCCTCATGCTGTGTCAAAATTTTAGAAGCTGTTTTGATACATCGTGATGGTGTCTGGTATAGCATGATTCATTTCTAATCTGTCTGTGTCCTCAGATGACCAATCACACACACCGGGGAAAGGCGCCAGCAAGCAGATATTACAAGGTATGTTTTGTATTTATGTTTAGCCACCTCCAGATGGCGCTAGAGATCTCTTGTTTAACGATAATCAGCATGCTTTTAGCAAGGTACCAGATATGAAAATATTTACAACCACATATATCTGGTCTAGACAGCTTTTTCCTCTTTTATAGGCGGTCAATATTTTGAATTCTTAGTAGATGAGGTTCTGTAGTCGTAACAATTCTGAAAATTATCCATCTTCATTTAAACAAGGAAAACTCTTGAAATGAGTGGTCTACATCAGATGTGACTGGATGATGGACTTTTATGTGTGACGAAGTGACACCTCTGACCATCCCAACCTCTAACCTTTGACTTGGACTCTAACCTGGTTTACACTGATACCAGAGCAAGTGCTGTACACTGTCGCTTTAAATCCTTTTGTCCGAGCTTGTGTGGGAAAGAGCAGAGCAGAGAAAGTAGTTTGTCCCCTTCACCCTGGCACACACAGAGAGAGAATGGATCCTTTGGGAGGCCTGCTCGAGGGAGAAAGAACGGGGCACAGAAGGGAGGACCATGTAGAGAAGGGGGAGGGGAGGGGAGGGGAGGAGGTGACAGTGCAAGAGGTTACGCTGCCTCCATCCCAGCCGAGGATCCTCTTCTCACTCACTGTGATGAATTGCAAGTAGATTGTACCAACCTTCCATCCTGAAGCTCGTCATGTCTATTTTGGCTATGTTTGGAATAGCATTCTAGTGTACTACTCTTACTTTTTACACAGAGCTTAGTATGCTAATTTTCTCTATGCGTAGTATACTTAGATGTACTGTATTTGCACAAATGTGCAGTATGCTATATAATGCCCTGCACAGAATATAATGCCCTGCACAGAATATAATGCCCTGCCCTGTTCCCCAAAATGCAATGCCAATGGTTGACATTTTCACACAGTTATCATCATTATTATATTGTATTTCAATATTGTAACTATTTTAAATATATATATATAAATACAATTATTAATATTATTAATTTCCCAAAATAATGTTATTTGGGGAAAATATAATGGAATATATAAATATTTTTATTATAATTATTATTATTAGTATTAGTATCATTATGAGATGAAAATATTAGTTATTGATGTTATTTTACAAAAGACAAATGTTTTCATTAATAATAATAATTTAAACAATGTTTTAATAATAAAAAAAGTAATTTGACAAAAAACATTGTTTTAATTCCATCATTAATATTATTATTATTAAATTAAAACAGTATTATTATTATTATTTTACAAAAATAGATATGATTATTATTAAGGAAATTAATATATTTATAATAATAAAAATAGTGATATGTTTTATCAAGTGTTTTAGAAGTGTTTTTATTTTTAACATTTGTTTTAATTAATAATAGTATAGTATTGAATATTATTACCAAAACAAATACTTTCAGGTCATTTTCTTTTTCAGTTGTATACTGTTCCCATTAGTATTTTATTGTCTTAATTGTTGGCAGTATATACTGCATAGAATTTGGTAAATAGTAAGCTAGTATTCTATTCCAAACACAGCCTGTTTATAAGGACGCGGCGAGCTCCAGCATTCTTGTTATTTTTCTAGTATTTGCTTTGACCACATTTGGACGGGGGTCTTCACTTATTAGGGAGTTTGCTCCAATACTGCGGTCATGCTTTCTGCAAAACTGAGAGTAACCGCGAGTATGTCATCTGATTCTGGGGAAAGAAAAGGACTTAGTGGACTGTCTCATGGCGTGCCATCACACCACAGTCCACAACTATTCTCCAGTGTCAAGACAGGACAGCCAGTACAGACCTTTGAGTTTAGGAAATGTTGACTAACTCACTTCAAGGTTTTAGCGTAGTATTGTATGTTTTGATATATTCTGGAGATTTTGTCGGGGAGGACAGTCTTACAGGTTAGCTATTCATTCTAGGATGTTCTCGAATTAGCTGTTTGTGAAATGACATCATCAGTTTGAGGGTTACCACTAGACTTGGTATCCCAGACAGCAAGTTCTGTCCACAGTTGTTATGTTTTGAATATGGGTGCTAGCAAATGTTGTATCCTCATCTCAGACTCCATATTTACTCACTATTAGTGATTTTTAAGTGAAAACCAGGACCTTTCATGTAGACAAAAGCCCTAGAGCAGAGGTTTTCAACGCACTGCACTTATTTGTATATTATTTTTAATATAATTTGTTATACATATTAAAGATTTAGTTATAATATTAATATTACATACTAATTTGAGATATCGTAAAATATATTTAGAATATTTGTGTATATCTTTTAAATATTTATAAACATGTAGATTACCATTCAAAAGTTTGAGGTCAATATTAGGGATGCACAATATATTGGCCACCATATAGGTATCGGCCCATATTTTAATTTGTAATGTTAGCGTTATCGGCCCGATAAGAAAATTTGGATTTAGATTTTGATTTATCGGCCGATATATATCTGTTATCGGCTTTGAAATATAAAGAATTATTAGTTATTGGTGTTGGCTAAAATTTTCATATCTGTGCATCCGTAGTCAATATAAATCTATAGAGCAATTCACATTTATTCAGCAAGGATGCATTAAATTAATCAAGTGTCAGTGAAGACATTTATAATGCTACTAAAGATTTATTAAAAAAAAAAAATGCTGTTCTGTTGAACTTTTTCTTTTCATTGAAGAATCCTGAATTTTTTTTTCACAAGAATAAAGCAGATGATCAACATTGATGATAATTATAAGAAATGTTTCCTGTGCTCAAAATCACCATATTAGAATGATTTCTAAAGGATCATGTGACTGAAGACTGGAGTAATGATGATACAAATTCAGCTCTGCATCACAGGAATAAATTACATTTCAAAATGTACTGAATTAGAAAACGGTTATTGTAAATTGTAACAATATTTTACATTATTACTGTATTTTTAATCAAATGAATGCAGCCTTGGTGAGCATAAGAGACTTCTTTCAAAAACATTTAAAACATCTTAACAACCCCAAATTTTGAATGGTAATGTGTATTTTTTTTTTTAGGTTTTGGAACAACTAACATTTACATTTATTTGTTTAGCAGACGCTTTTATCCGAAGTTTTCTTCATTGCAGGAGTTTTTCTTCACATTGTTGCGGACACATTGGGCAGTGTCGGAGTCATCATATCAGCCATCCTAATGCAGAAATACGACCTGATGATCGCAGACCCTATCTGCTCCATGCTCATCGCACTTCTCATAGGAGTGAGGTGAGTACGCACACCTCGGCCCACGCTATTATGAGCATTGACCTCTCTCGACTCTGCTCAAGACATCCTCCACCCTCAACCCCACCCAGAAACCCTCAACAGCACCCAACACAGATCATACAAAAGCCACTTCACAGTGCCCTTCACTAAGAGCCCTGTGGAGCCGTTGGCACTCCAGCCGGGTGAATTACAGGATACACGCTCGGAGGGTGGAGCCCTGGGCACTTTCTCAACATGTGGCAAAGCCAGAAAACCAGGACTGAGGTCTCTCATGTGGCATTTTTCAAACAACTCCAGTCGAGCAGGAAAAAATGCATGCTTGTCTAGCATTCTTGTGCCTTTGTTCGCTTTTTAAACCTACCAAATCTACCATTCCTCCTGCAAAATCCCGGAAAAAGCATCAGATAGTTTTATGGTGATGAATAGGCTTCGTTTTTTCTGTGTGATGTAGGTAAATGTGCGTAAAGGCTGTGTAAATTTGAGCAGGAGCTGCTGTGTGTGTGCCCCATGTTTAAATTGCAGATGGCCTGTGGTTACTGTGCTTCAGTGAAATACCACCGTTCCAATGGAGAACGTGGCCCCTTTTTGCAAAATGTCCCGTATATTAATCTCGTCTCTCCAACCCCCCTCTTCCTCGCTCTTGTCCGTGTTTGAGGCTTTTCTTCTCCCTCTCTGGAATGTGGTGGCGATCTGTGAATGTTACTGCAACAAAGGCATCTTTTAAGATGGATTTTTTCCTTCTCTTTGTTTCTCAAAGAGGGGAGGTTTATGTCGGAGACCCCAGCTTAGACATTTTTTCCCCTCTGTTCTTCAGTTTTCCATGCAGTTCTAAAGTGGCAAATACTGAGAATTGAGAGTAAGGCTAAGAGCATGGACGATTTCCCACATTGCACCTGCGTGACGACGTCTCGGTCTCATTCAGGTGCAATCTGGAGGTGGATCTGGTATGGCACACGCACAAAGGTATCACATGAAAATGGAAAGCCCTTCATTTCCAGAGCACATAATTAAAATAGCTGCAAACTAGAACAGAGCTTAGCCTCCATCTCATGAAGCTCTAGACGTCTCGTTCCTGTGTTCCATATGTAGACATTGTCTTTTGACGCTAACAGATTTTGAAAACACAGTTTGACTAAACCTGTATTGGTTTTCTCAGACCTCAGATTAAGAAAAAATTCCTGGCTGTGTTCTCAATTGAATACTAGCATACTGGGCAGTATAACTACTGTTCAAACATTTGGGGTTGGTAAGAAGTCTCTCCTGCTCTTCTGACACTTTTGATTAAAAAAAAAGAATGCTGCATAGAGTCTGCTACTCTTTAAAAATATTATGTGGAACAGTATGTCAAATTGCTTCATTATGGAATGATAAGCATTCCAAACAACATTCTAAATCACATGACCCAAATTAAAACTTATTTTGTATTTTTAATTAAATTTGATGTAAAAATTTAAGAATGAGTTAAAAGAAGTTAAATTGAGGAAGTAATAACTTCTGATTGGAAAGCCATGTCAAACACATTGCATTGTGGGATACTGTAGTATGCCTGTTTTCGTCCATATAATGAATGTCAGTGGGGACCAAAACAATTTTTTTTTAAATTGTAAAATACAACATAAAATACAAAACAAAAAGTATTTTATGTTGTGTTCCACTTAAAGTTGTGGGATAAAACACCCATTTTGCATATATATTGCAGAAATAGTAGTATTCTAGGATGCTTTTCTGAAAACAGCCCAAGAAAAGTGATGCATTATCCAGAACTAGGCTTAATGTGTTTGGGGAAACCTGCCTGTTACGTATATGGATTTATTAAACACATGATACCAGTATGAAAGATGTGGACCAAAGCATGAGTTCATCTGGAACTCTAGACTCTCTTTTGCGTTTGAACTTCATGACTGTGTACGTCTGGCGCAGCAGAATCATTTATTGTTTGAGTCTTGAGAGAGATAAACCATAATTGGCCACGTGGAATGTCTGTGGTTCTTCGTTTGATCGTTAAGATGGACTCTGCTTTGCTTGGACAGCGTTTTTCCCATGCACCCCACATTGTGAGATTGATATTCTCAGTAGAGTGCCTTATTTTGATCCAGCCGTCTTGCTCACATTCAGATGTTTGACCTTTCACTAGGGTGATGGACTTCTCCTTCATCAGCCGCACCTGAGGCATGACCCATGTGCGCGGGAAGACCCCCCGCTGTACGTGAACAGGGGTGTGTTTAGCTAAGGCCGCTCTGGGTGTGGTAGCCTTGCTTTAGGGGGATATCTGGGGAGCTGTCTTGGTACCCTGTGGTTAGTAAGAGGGAGTGGAGGAGTCCTGCTGCTGTGACCTACAGCAGTCCCCCACCACCAAAGTCTTCCAAAAACCACTAATCGCTTTGGGTCGCAGCCTAAAGCCCAAGGAATGGGCGCACAAGGAACGTTAACAGTAATTAACATTTGTTCTGGGTGTACTAAGCTGGGCCTTTTGAGGATGGATTCGTTTGTCTCTCCAAAGCTGCTTTTGTTTCATGTTACGGTGTTATTCTTTGATTTACTGTATTTCTTCACATACTATGCTTTAGCACTGTGCTGGCTGCAAAACTAGCTACTTTACACTGTACTTTTTTTCAGAATTCTAATTCATGGTGTTTAATTGGTGGGGAACAAGCCACATATACATGCAACGTCATTCACTTTATTTTAGCTCAGCTCTGCATATTAAAATAATGAATGTTCACTGTTAACTTGATTTCATTATAATTTCATATTAACTTGTAAGTTCTAGCTCTTATGGAGCATATTTAAAAACAATTACTTGATTATTTTTTGCATAACATTTCAGTAGAATACATACAAAAATAAAATGCATGATTTATATATAATTAATTTAATAAATAAATGTTATGCAATAATAATTTAAATATATTAAATAATATGCATACACTATATATTTATTAGGCTAGATAATATTATTAATATATACAAATTAATTAATCTAATATATTTAATATATAATCTCTTCTTTAGCTATAAAATATATAGTAGACTCTAAATATGATTTTTTTTTTTTTTGTATTTTAAAAATAAAATATTTAATTTAATTAACATTTTTACAGTCTTAATTTTTTAGGTGAAATGAGACCGACGATTCATCCAGGTTTACTTAAATTGTCTTGTATATTCAGATTGGACCCCTTTTTACAAATACGCTTTGTGGCAAGAGAAAAAGTTTTAGTATTAGTAATAATTTACAGTAAAGTATTGGCGGAGCTGGTCAGATGTTCAAATGTCTGTAGACACTCATACTACAAAAATATGCCCTTGAATCCAGACATACATTTTTATGTTCAAGGCTTAATAGCTATTTGACCATAACTTGAGTGCAGTAGGTTCCTTGCAGTAAAGCACCTTAAGCTTTTTGTGGTAGAATCCCAAGAACTTCTTGCCCTAGAAATGGAAAAGTTAGTTTCCTTTTCCATATAAATCTCAAGTTAAAAGTACCTGCTCTAATTCCCACTGTGCTGATTCAGACGCAGACTTCACTAAGGTCACATCATTCCTGCGGTGGTTCTGGTGTCATAAATGCTTCTGCGCTCCAATTAGGGACTCAGGTTATCTGGGCGTGATAACCAATAATTTCTGTGCGGTTTAGAAGTGCTTGTGTTTTACTGTGACTCCAAGCTGGTTTCAAAAAAGTTCATAGGTTTGTTCGACATTCGTCCGTGCAGAAATAATGTATCCTGATCGTCACCCTGACCTAGGTGGTGACATTTTGTCTATGTCACTGGCCAGCTTACCCTTGACACTCGCACGTAATTGCATTTTGGATGGCTGAGTCACTAATGTAACTGCATCACGGGGTTTTTTGGACAGGTTAGCGATCAAGCACCAGTGAACGGTGAGTGCCTCTGTTTCAATGAACAGGAAGGTGTGGAACAATAGTATGATGTCAGAGGTCTGAGGTACCCTCATCCAGTACTTTCCTGTTTTCATTTTATTTTCTAAAAGAGGGACAAACAGACCAGTTACTGAGAGGAATCCACAGTGGCCAGTTTTATGACCTGTCACAGTACATGTCGATGGAAACGTATGGTCATATGTTGCAGTGGAATAGGTAACAGACAATAGAAAATCCTTCAGGAAGTTGTTCTGTGATGTGACATGCTATACTCCATATAACACTATTTTAAACAGCATTTTATTCTTTATTCTTCTTTGTTTATAAATGCAGTTTTTATAATCTAATTTTAATTAAGAGTCTACATGGAATAGTAGTATATAAAATTGCATATATAATATATTAAAATAATTATATATATATATATATGCGGTCATTCTGCTAGTAGACTTGATTCATTTTACTTTCCCGGTGTACTCAAGCTGATAGATCCAAAGAAGGACGAAACAGACCAATCAGGCTCTGGTGTCATGTTCCTATATGGCTTTTATATAGATTACAAGTTTGTTCGGTTGCTTGGTAAACCACAGTCATTTTAAGTGAAGTATTAACAAAAATGTTTGCATGCGTTGCAATTTAACAAGTGCATTTAACGCATTACCTAATGTTACTTGACCACAAAGACTGCTGAGTAGCCAGTAAAGCTATAGATTGGTCTGGAGTGCAGTGCTAATATTACTCATCTGTGCTCTTAAAGTAGTGCAGTGAAAGTCTGGAGCACCTGACAGGAACATTTCAGCTGAGTCAAAACATGACTATTGTGAAATCGAAGCCTTGTTGTGAGTAATATGATTGCAGTTTGTAATAATTTATCAAAACAATGTTGGGGCAAAATATTTTGAAGGCTGACATTGTTGCTGTTTTGACTTTTTTTTTTAAAAGGTCAAATGTTGTGAAATGCTTCTTTGTTGATTGCCACATTTGCGTTTCAGTTTTGTGAAGGTCTAAAAGAGACAACGATCAGCTTCTCCACTTTGGCGTGTCCCAAACTGAGGCTGGGGTTTCAGGGAGGAGTTCAGGAGAATGTGGGGGTGATAGAGTAGATTAGGGACCGGTAAAGGAGTCCAAACCAAGGAACCCTCTAATGGTTCCCAGATGGAGCAGTGGTCAGGCCTTGAAGGTTTGAAAGAGGACTGATGACTTTATAAGATGCTGGCCTAGCCAAGACCTAGCTTTGATGGGGCAGAAACGGCTGACTGGTTAGGAGAGAAATAGTCTTAGTCCTATCCTAACCAGTCAACCGTTTCTGCCAAGTGATTCTTCTGCAGAATGAATGGGTTTGGATGTCTATCCTAGTGTGCTCAGGGTTGCTTGCCGGCTCACGCGCACTACAGCTGTTGGAATGACATCAGCACAGCTCTCTGCTACTCCACCCCAACTATAAGATGGGCAAGTTTATGTTGGACCATGTTTAGCATGCTCTGAAAAAATCCTGACAAACAAGAACTCTTTTCATTAGGATTATGACAGAATTTCCTCTCCCCAGTTTTATAACAAGATGTGTCAAGCTGTAAAATCACAAACCAAATCATACCCAATGACGTCTTTATGTGTGGCGTCCCATCCTGTTGCCCGAGTTTGCCTTGTACTTGGCGCCCCATTGAGTTAATTTCTGATAGAACGGCAACTCATTTCTCACTTTCCTCTTTCCCACAGTGTGGTTCCTCTGCTCAGGGAGTCTATAGGGATCTTGATGCAACGGACGCCTCCTTCTCTGGACCATGCCCTTCCTGAATGCTACCAAAGGGTGAGTCGTTTCCATCTCCTGGATCCTGTTCTTCATATTTGGCTACTTGGTTAGAGAGAGTTTTCAGGATAATCTGGGATATCAACTGGGATAGTAGCCAAGTTGTCCCAAAAATTAACTAGCTAACCAAGTAGCCACATTTGAAGATTCAGGAACTTGACACCTTATTGAGGGTCTGATCTTTAAACTTTATCCTGCTGCAAAATGGCGATGCCAGGTTGTCCTTAAACATTTCCAGATAACCAACAACAAAAAAAAAACCTTAATGACCTCCAGAACCTCCTCAATTTGTCCCGTTGCAAGATTTAAAAAAAAAAAAACGGAGGTTGCATTTGCTAACCAGTAATGTTCTTTGCAGGTCCAGCAGCTTCAGGGGGTCTATAACCTTCAAGAACCTCACTTCTGGACCCTTTGCACAGACGTCTACATCGGTACACTCAAACTCCTTGTGGCGCCCGATGCAGATTCTAGATGGCTTCTCAGCCAAACGCACAACATTTTCACACAGGTGGGGACTGTTGAGAAATACGGCTTTAACAAAGTCATCTCGTTCATTAAAGGTCATTTCAAAGTTTCCATTACATGATCTTTTCCGCCCTGTGCCCAGGTTGGCGTCAGACAACTGTATGTTCAGATTGAGGTGGCTGCCATGTAGGAGTCTGCCAAATTTCTCCTGATCTTTGGGAGTCCTGGGACCAAAGACCTTCTGTGCTGCTGTGGGGAAGTTCTCCACCTCAACCCATCTCTTTGGGTTTCTGTCGCTCCACCTCCATCTTGGATCAAGATGGAGCTGGTGCAGTCCAGCAGTCTGACTCCACTCTTGCCAGAAAACAACAACTGACCAGCTACAACAATCTGATGTTTTGGAGGGAAGAAAGAACTTGCAACATTTTTGCACCCTCTTGGTCATTTGAAGTTCCCCGTTGCTTTTTACTTTTATGATCCCACCAAACTGTTTCTTTTCCTCATAATTGTCACCATTTTCCATGATCAGAATGGGGTTTTAATTATTGGTGGTATGAATGTGGAGTTCAGTGGACATTTGTAAAAAAGCAAAACAAAAAAAATAGCAGTATGTGATTCATTGACTCTTTTTGTACATCGCTTTCTTTGTGTTTCAGTTGCACAGTTGTAAAGAGATGCAGAATTTGTTTGCTAATGCCATTATGTAAACATAAACAGATTTGCCTGCATTTCTTAAGTGCCTTTTTAAAAACGATCATGGACAATCGCTTGGACCGTATTTGATGGTCAACATGAATGCGATGAAAACTGGATCTTTATGAATTTGAGTTGTCTACAATTAAAACATTCCTTTGCATTTGGCTTTGCTGTTTAAAGTTTGTATGAACAAGTTTCTAAAACCTCATATCAACAGAACGACAAGGAAGCAGCTGTTTCAAATATAAATCTGATGCCTGACTTGAATGGAAATCGTTAAACTCCTATTTCACTTTTATTTTTAATGCACAAAGAAGGTACAAGCATCAGAAGCCAACTTCAACATATTTGCAGTAAAATGTCAGAGGCTATTACTGTTTATTTCCTTTTAAGTAATAGGTGGAAACAGTTAATCAAGATCGGTTAGTCCTGTCTAGACACAGACCTTTTCCAGTTTAAAATGGCTTGATTTCCTTCAGTGATTTTCTCAATATAAACCTTTTACTTTGTTTTCAGCTGTAATTATAAATCTAAGCAAAACAAAAAATTATTCTGTTCTGCAATAGGTTGAAGAAAGGACAAATGAAAATGTTTGGTTGCTTTTGAATGGTCCAATTATGTATTTTGAGTTATGAGTTTCAGGACAATATCACATTAAACAAGCGTCAAACCAATTGTTAAACCTTATGTTTACCAACCTATTCAAATTGCACCAACATGTTAGATTTTATCTTTATATATATATATATATATATAATTGCTTTAATGTTAGGTAAAATATTCATGATCCACAATATTGTTTACAGATGGGTTTAATGCAGTGTTTTCAACCCTACCACTGAAAGGGTATAAAGACAATTTTAACTGAAATTTCACTTCTCCTTTGTAAGAATAAACCAAGTTTCTTTGAGAGAAACACAGGATTTTGAGTGTGTTATCACAGAACCAGTTTCAACCTTAAAATAATGTTAACTGGAAATACAAAACCGTTCTGAAAAAACGATGACAAATCAGGCCTACACCATGACAACGCAAGTTCTTAAAAACGATCAAATATATCTGAAGAATATTTGGTGGTTAGAAAACTTTTCTTCAAACAATTAAGCCCATCACATAAAAACAACACCACCACTTTCCCCCCTAGTTTTTTTTTCCTTAAAGGTGTGCCGAAAGGTACACAACCTTCATTTGAAACAGTAAATGTTTTATGAATTTGACTTTATATAAACAAACCAGAAAGTTTGTTTGACAATTGCTTGGCTCACTTTCTATGCAAGTCATGCTGACAGAAATGAAATGAGAGATCACAAACAAAACCACAGATGTAGATGAAAACAGTCAAACCACATTTTGGGCGTTGATGTAATCAGTGGCAGCGAAATGAGTCTTTATTGTATGAAAATCGATCTTCATCCATTATGACATGGGTGGGTACATTCTCAAAAGAATCTCAGAATTCCCTTTTATCTTATTTACATTCTTATTAAGAAAGTTCCATTAAGAAAGGCTCTTGGTATGGAAACATGATGCCGATTTTGAAGAAAGCTCAATTTCATAGGCACTAATGCAACCCAGATGCAGTTGGTCCACAATAACCTTTTCCATTTCCTCTATAATAATTCCATAATTTATTTTTTTACAGCATGAACATGACTGCCACACATCAAACTAACCATCCCACTCCCAATCTAAATCTTCTGCAACTCTAGCCCGACCGGTGCTTAAAGGTTAAAGTGGTCAAATTTGATCTGGAATTCTTCTGACCCTCCAGCAGCTCTGGCCTCTCATGTGGACCAACTTCTGTCCACTTGTCCTGGGAAGGGAACCTTTCTCTTCAGGACCACAAGCTTCTTGGATATCAGGAAATGTACGTGGAACTATCAGTCATCTTCAAGGTCTTCAATCCCTCGGGATCGCTGAAGAGTTTCAGCATGTCCACCTCCAGAGGGTGAAGGTGTCCACTGATGATCATTGAGTGAAGTGGTCCTCCCAGGTCACAGGAGGCCAACTCACGCAGCGTCCCGGAACGAATGGCCTGGTCCTCGGCTCCGACCCGAGCCAGACCAACACACACTGTGTCTTCAGTCATTGCTGCATTGAAAGAAAGAACATGGGATAAACCTATGAAAACAGCCTTTTAATCAAATCTAATTCAATTTTCCGTCAATGCTTGCCAGTATCTCAAGCTGGCCAGACGTCCAGATGGTTCAACCACAGAGTTCATTTAGGTTTTCAAGCAATTCAGAAAGGTTTGGAAGAGTTTCTTACCCAGTTCCTCGCCACCATCCCGTCTGTTCTGTAGAATCTCCAGGAGTTGCTCAGCTGCCTGAGCGACAGTCATGTACCTGGGAGGCTCGTAAATCTTTCGACCCCTGGAAACAAAGTGGACTTGAACTCTTTAAAGTGAGCAGAAGTGTCTGGTATCTTCTATTAATTTTTCTTGAAATTAGATCTGAGCTGTTAATGCGCAGGTAACTTGAAGTTGCAGTTGGCCCCAGAACACTGAGCAAGAAGGTGCCCATTGATGCAATTTACATCTGAGCTAAAATACTTTGCATGCTTTAAGGTGCATTAGCCATCCATCCTTGATGAAATCAGTCAACTTGAAGAAGTTGGAAACATGCTTTGAATTTCTTTTCGGGGCCGTTTCCCCCTCCCTGCAGTGAAGGGCATCAACCTCACTGGACAAGCATCTGACTGTGACCAGAATCATGCAGCATATGGTTATTCCATTTCCGAGTAATGGTACAACAGTGCCAATAAATCTGGGAGACATTAGCACACTTTCCAGCCTTGAACAGTGAACACGCACCAGCGCTTATGCTCGTCTCCTTATAGCGTACATAGTGGAACACTAAAACCCATTTGGGGTTTATGTGGATTGGATATAAAATTACACAAAGTGCGCAACCATGGGGGGAGATAATTGTAGGACACCAAGGAGAGAGCAAGGAGTTAACAGCCATCTTCTATGAGGAGAAATAACTCAAGTTCAACACCAGTGAAGGTTTTTCGGAAAGACTTCGAGTTCAAGTTTGAAAGCAGAGGATGAAGTTCCCTATTGCCGATAAAACATATTTCTGAAGGCTTCAGATGGGAAAATTATAATGTGGCAGTTCTGGAGGCGGCCCAGGGAAGGTCCATGATAACATATCATGCGTCCAAGTCAAACAAGCTGCCACAGTTTTTACTGTTGTTATTTTTTTCCAGCTCAACCAGTCGGCCCCCCTGCAACTCGCATGAATGATGTTAACTCAATGTCTGCTGCAAACCACAAGTCGACCCTCCCGGAAAAGCACCACAGACTTGATATAAATCAGCAGAACCCCCTCATCCCGACAGAAAACCAGAAAGTGAGAGTCTTACCTCATTAAATTCTCCATGGACTGCTCTTTGACTTTGATATCTGTGAAATAGGGGAGTTGTAAGTGTAAGATACAATAAGCTTGAGTTTTATAAACTAGGCCTCTCTGGATGTTACGGTCACATCATAAATAGTAGGTCGCCCCTCCATCTGGGGCTGTTAACCCCACGCAGTCTGGAGTTAAGTACATTTTCAGACTGCACCTGAGAGAGGCCCATATTGAGAACAAAGCAAAGACAAATGTACAAATCATGACCAGTCATGTTCTCACACCGTGTCTACACCGAAAGCATCGATGTTAACCTCAAAATGTTCATGAATAACAGCAATCGGCTGAAAGTTCAAGGCTAGACTTCGGCTACAGTAAAACAGGACAATTTCTTTTTTTCTTTCAGGACAATAGCAAAGCGTTTTCACAAGTTTTGTACCTTCCAACTTTGAAAAAGATGATTTAAATTAGTAGGCTTACTAGGCTAGACACCAGAAAATGTACATAAAAATCATTAAGAAAATATTTGGGGGGGGGGGAAAACAGAAATCAGAATATTGACATAAAATTCATAATTAATAAAAAATAAAATAATGAAGTGGCTGTAGTTGCTGTGTAGCGTGCCAAAATTTGAAACAGAATGATCTGACTATGTTGGGAGTAGACACTGTGTTTGCCTAGATTTTTTTATTTTGAAATTAATATAGAAACATCAGCAAATAAATCGACCAATATTTGCCAGCTTGATTAATAGCCCATGTCTTGTTAGCAACATTATGATGAATGGATGCAGCGTATAGTCCTTGTGTTTTGTCTGTGTGTGCTTTTGTTGTGTCTGCGGGTTATTGTGTTAGATAAGCGGACTTGCGGCCAAGGGTGGAAGGGGGGGGGGGTGTCCGATCCCCGCCTCCCTCTGTTTGCTTTTGAATAATGAGGTTAATAACACTGATCCCTCTCTTGCTCATTTTGGTCTTCGCTCTTGCTCTCCGACTCCTCAGCTGGGAAGCACCTGGGGACTCCCACCCCTCCTCCTCTGGCCCCACCAGCCAATGAGACACGACCACCAATCCGTAGACTTCGATTTTACCAACATTCATTACCAAAGACGCCTTCCACTGGGAAATCCCACTGGTACTTTTGGGGGTTTATAGAGAGTTGGCTGGAAATCTCTACGGCAAACAGATTTAAACGTAAATTATTTGCTACCATCTGCCTTGGGGGTACCAAAGCATTTGCAACGGGTCCAAGTTTAATGTGCCCCCTGAAGGGAAAAGCCTATTTGACGGGACGTCAAAATACGGGGGTTGTCGCATCTGGTTTTGACACATTCATTGCTACAGTGACTATTAAAGATGCAACAAACATGCATGCTTGGATAAATTGCTTGGGGACATGTGAGCTACGGGACAGACCGGAGAGCATGCCAATTGTACGACATCATATAACTTTCTATCTAAATATAACATCACGTTCACAAAGACTTGAAGGAAGTGCTTACCCAGCAGGCACAGCGTGTGCAGGCCCATATCCCTGTTCTTCTTGATCTTATCATAGAAGCTCTCAGGTCTCCACGTCTCCGTCCAAAACACAATGGACACTGTCTCGCCAAAGTTGTAGAGCTAAGGAGGAAAACGCAATCACATTCATATTTAATTTACTCGCACAGCATCTATGTTTCAGTGTGTTAATGTAGACCATTTTCAGCGACAAGGTGCTTCCTGTTATTCAGTGGGCATGACATCATTGTAAACACTAGAGTGCCGCACAGCTGACACAACAAAGTGTCATTAAAGTTACTTTACGTTCTACAGACCTTGTAAAGCATATATTAGTCCAATATGACCCAACCAGGGTTATTATAGATAACTGAAACTAAAACTATTAAACAATTGTTACCTGAAATAAAAAAAAAATGTTAACTGAAATAAAACGTAATTTTATCAAGTAAAAAACAAGTTATCGTAACCAAAAATCAGGAATTTGTTCCTGACTTATAAATTCATTCCCTCGTTTTAGTTCAATTGTGGAAATGGTGTAATTAAATTAAAACGTGTGAAAAATGTAGTACAATGTGGACTCCATTCAACTAAACAAGAGAATTAATTAATATGTTTGTCGAACAATATATACCTAAAACGAGGGAATTATTTAAGAAAACATGGCCACAAAATAATGTGTGAACAAATTCTTAATTCATGCCCACTACATCTTTTTTTGTCACGTTATGTGTGGGGCTCAGTAGGTTTTAGCATGCTGATAGTCTAAGTAAAGAAGATATTTAGAAAAATGTCTGTTTTTTTTGCATGTTTCATTGTTAAAATTTAGTTTTGACCTCGTAATTTGTAATCAAAATGTCACAATGATCCGTTGAAACGTCAGACTTCCCTCTAGTGATGTATGCTGGACTCCTCCAATCATTTTGTCTGGTTAAACTCCGCCCCTTTCTTACAATCGACTGCAAGCTCGCATTCAGATCCTCCTTACAGAGGAAAAGATCTGTCGTTACTTCCACTTCGTTATGACTTAAGACCGTCATTCAGAATCCACTACATAGTGGGAAGTAGGACAAAACTAATTCTTCTAATACAACAATTTGAGTTTTGGGTAACAGAGAGTTGCAAAAAAACAATACACACATGGGTTGGGGAATGTCATGCTTTTTTCTGGCATCCCTATTTCTTGATTGAGTCCAATTAGCGCATCTTAATCTGCACCCAAAACAGTAATTGCAAAGTGTGAGTTAACCTACCAAATCCCTCTGTAGCTGAGAGCGGCAGCTGCGGTAGATGATTTAGGACCTGCTTTCCCTACCTAAATAATATCCTTTAGAAATGGCGCCACTGATCTCAGATCAACTGAAAATGCCCATCGTGAGCTTAGGGCGGCATCTGGGGCCTCTTGGTACACAAAGCTGCCCTGACAGGTCAATACAAGGGGCTGTTATTGATGGCCACTAGGCTTCGTTGATAGACTCCGCTGGGACGCCTACAGCACAAAGGCCGTAATGCCGTTTGATCATTTTCACGAGAGACTGGGCACGAATGATGCGCAATAGCAAATTACGTTCTCTGGAAAGTGCATGTTGACAATGACACCATGGGGAAGCTTTGCATTAAGGTGCGGTCACATTAGCGACATTTCGGCAAACTTTTGTGTAGCGATGTATGAAGCACAACTGACAAAGGCGTCGATTTCAAAACCAAGCAGCTTTTTGTTGGTCGGCGCAGCTAATTTGCATGACCAATTTGAACCAGTTCGTGGGGAAATATCTTGCCCTGACACGAAATTCACAATTCGTAGATTCCAATTCGCCTTTGGCTAAGCCCCGCCCCCCTTAGTTACTGTTGCTACGTCTGACAAACAAACTTCATCTGGGCTCAGGTATCAACATGGCTTATGCTCTTCCTGCTGATATTTTATCAAACTTTTATAAAGCAGCAAATAAAGTGTCCGATAGAAGTAGGCAAAAGGGGCTGCGATATACGTTCGAAGGCTATATTCACGACATACAGGTGAAACGCAAGGAACAACAAGGCATCCAAATAGAGGCAAAAGCATACCGGTCACAGTCAAAAATGAACCACCGCATATCCTACTAATCGAGACGGAGGCTGGGACTAACAATATCAAGGAGCAACACTGTTCATGCAAAGCTGGGTAGGTCTCTATTCACTTCTATAATCGTTATTACAAAGCAAACGGACTACGCGAGTATAACGTTGTATTTATTAGCAGCGTGTGCTAGACGACACTTGTCAGGATTTGACTTCGGTTTGGGAAGGGAAAAAAACGGACACCCCCCTCCAACCTCTCTGGGAAACGCATTTCTGTGTTACAAATGCCCCAGGCACAACGTTTAACCATATTTTTGATAAAACTACGACGGTAATAGCCTGCCGAGACCAAAAATATGAGACGCCTGTGTTAAAGTCAATGGAGCGCTGTGAAAAAGTGTCGGACCACTGTGGGAGCTCGTTCTTGGCTGCGCTGTGATTGGTCAATCTACATTCTAGGGTGTGGCTTAGCCAAAGGCGAATTGAAATGACTGGATTTCGCCTGAGAAAATTCGCCAAACAGCGGTAAATGTACCTGCAATCCACAGCAGCCCACCGCGTTCATGATGGAGGCGTTGTGGATAACGCGATACTGTATCCCAGCATTCAGCGCTCGCAGAACCAGGTCGCTGTGAGTTGTGGCCCTGGAGAGAAGCAAAAATCTGTTTTGTTTTTTGCGTACATTACTCCAAAATATGCGCCAACCACAGATTGGCTACTTGTCAACATCTTTTCTTACTACTGTGTTGCGCTGTTTACAATTTGGAAGTAATCCAAATTGCACCACAAACGCTTATCCTTTTCGATCTTGAATATATCATTAAATTTTATTAAACCCACAAGTTCCTAAGTGCAGGAAAATGAGGAGTCAGACCCCCATCCCTCCCCCCACCATGTGGGTTTTGGTGGTTTGGATGGAAAAACGCCTGAGCCAAACACTTCGCAACCGTGACTAGAAACGATAGAGACGGGAAAGTGCGGCGTAATTAGCTCATCTCTTCTGGAGAGTTCCCAAAGTACCCAGACCTCAGGCGTCCACATCCCACTTATTGTAAGACCGATATCATTGCAGCCCAGAGCATTGGTGCTCAACCACTCTGTGGTTCAAATATTCGGAATAACAGGAAACATTTACATTATCTACAATTAGGCTGTAGAAAGTGTATTCTGATGGATTTTTTGTTTTTTTTTTATACTTTTGGTTGAAAGGGAAATTTATTTTAAGGCGTGCATGCTTTTAAGTGCACTTGATTGTACGTAAGGGCATTATCAGAATCAAAATGAACCAAACAAGTCTGAACATTTCATCCAATTTCTCATGTAATATCTTTTTTTCATTTTATGATGAAATATTAATTGGATAGACTTGTGATAAAGCAGTGTTTCCCCTAGGATTTTTTTTCAAGGGGGGAGGGGGGGGGAGACGACTGCTAGTGTTGCGGAGCGGGCGTGTTACGGATACGTGGTGTAATTTTTTTTTTTTTTAATCAAAAAGCATGTCTAATTAATTGAAATCATGTATTATGAATCATTAAACTTATAATTTAAAAAATATATATATATATATGAAAAAAAAAAATCACACTAATTCTGTGTTGTGTTTTTTCTGGTAATAAAATGAAGACATAAAACACAAATTTTATCATTTATCATCAATTTCAATCATATGAAATTAAATAAACGTTTTGTCAAATAACTTCCTGCACAATGAGCTTTACTGTTAAAATTAAAACATGGATTATTCCATAAAAATGTCAGTTTTGATGATAATTTATTTGGATTAGTGTTAGTATTATTACATTGGGACATATCTAAATTCTAATGTACAACAGTAATATATTTCTGTCAGTTTAAACCGAACTTTTATTTTGACGGGTTGCCGTGAAGACCTTTTGAGTTTCTGTGTGTTTACACAGTCTATGGTTTATGTCATGATGATAGTTTTTCTCAAATGAAGCGTGAAATGATCACGAAGTGACTTTCAGAGTGGATCTAGAGCCTGGAGAGGAAGTTCATGCATTTGTGTCTTCATATAGGCCAAAAAACAGCGCAAGCGTCACACTTGCTTCAGTGTGTGTGTGTGTGTGGTAAATGAAACTGCGCGTCGGCGGCACCATTCATTCACACAGAACATGCAGGGTTCGTATTTAAATAGTCTTTGTGTTTTAATATTCACACACACTAGTCTACATCGCGATTTGATTTCAAGTGTACTGAACTGCTTTCTATTTTTTCCCCAAATTTACAAGTTCCGTGAAATTCCGCGTTATACACTAAATTCCTTTTTTATGACTGGATTTCGTATGGCGCCCCCCCAAAACAATGGTAGGGGAAACACTGTAAAGCTTTCCAATAAAAGCCTGTGCAACATCTGAATTTAAATTTCCTGTTAAGTCATTGCATTTGTGGGATAGTGGTATAAGTGATGGCAACGTAAGAGTGACTCAAAACATTACATGACAAATATGCACAGAAACCTCAAATGAAAGTTGCCAACTATGTTGTTGAGGGTAAGTCCTCCTCAACAGTCTGACCGGATGTTTTAGTTCAGGTCAAGTTTGCAGTTGGATCAAATATGTCTTTAACAGAAGAGACTGGCTACTGTAGATTTCGAAGTGGTTAGTTAGTCTTACCCAAAAGGATCACCGACCACCAGGAACGCCACATCACTGACATCTGCTCCCTTCAGGATCTCATCCGCCTGTTGTTCCACCATGTCTCTGTCTGCCAGCAGCAACTCGCGCCCATAATACTGCTCCTGAGACAGAAAACAACGGCAGCAGAAATATATCAATATTTCAGAATGATCACGTATTTAAGTTTCATATGTGGGTTTTCATATCAGTGTTGCACTTTATGCTTAAATGTTTGATATTATTATTGCAGACAAATATAATAATTTAATAACATTATATTTGTAAGTATAATTAATATAATTAAAAATAAAAATAATAAATATAATTGAATTTCTTATTGGATAGTTGAAACAAACCATGAAAGCAAAGGAGAAACAACCTGACTGGTAGAGTAGATTTTATTTAGTTTTGATTCTCAAAATATTAAAAATGGAATTCATATTACTTCTGATATTTTTTGTCGGGCCAACAGTCCGAAATAGTCCAGAATGTCAAAGTGGTTTACAATTTTTTTTATATATATAAAAAATTAATTATAATAAAAATAAAATTGGGTTAGGTACGGTTGCATAACCTTATATTATCACTGCTGACAAAATACTTAATATCAGAAAAACTTTTGTCCGCCATATCAGTTAGTATGGGGTAACCAACATGCAGGGAGTCATTTTTTTGTCAAGTGACAAGAAAACTATTAACAGGAAATGGCATCACAGAGAGTCAGTAAAGTCCTTAAAAATATCACATATTTTGACCTTTTATGAAAATCCACGGCTAGTTCAGGTCAAACTATATATTCTTAATGTTCATGATTCATACATTTTTAGCCTTGAAAAATATGTTTAAAAACTTTTATGAAATTAGTACGTTTTACTTAATTCTTATTTTAGAATCAATAAATCATTTTTTGTAGAATATGGAATAAACCTTTTCAGAAATATTTGAAAAAGTAATGAACACAAATATCACATTTCATGGCATGCGTGTTTTAATCTAGTAAAAAAAAAAAAAAAAAAAAATCTTTAGATCATTCCAAGCATCATCTGTCATCAACCTGCATATTGCTGGCACGTGAGTACTATCTCTCCATCTTAGGTCTCAAATTACAGCAATATTTCAAAATGCAATCATAGTCTTTATCGAGATATATATCGAGCTGTCAACCGTCAAGATTCAGACCTAATAATATGTTGAATGATACACATACCAAAGCTTCCTTCCCGACGGTCAGTATGGACGTGTAAGCCTCCAAATAAACGCGACTACACTGTCGGATGATCTCTAAACCTTTGACAGTGATGTCTTTAGCATCGCCCAGCCCGAGACCGATGAAATAGAACATCTCTAGATCAGAGAACACAGCAGGTTTCACCGTTACCCGTCGCTAAAAGGCTAAATCGCAAAATAATACATTTAGAAGCGCTTTAAAGAATGCAAAGGAGTTGTCTGTCAATATACTTTTTGCGATCTTTTATCAGACACTGAAAAGCTTGCAGAATACTTTGAGTTTCACTGTTATTAAGCACTCACATGGTGCCACATGGAGCAACTGACAACCCCTGCCGTAAAGCATAGACTACTTCACGACAATGTCGCGTGCTGTAACCATCTGGTAACCATAGAAACAAAATAAGCTGGAGTGAACTAGATGTTCATTTAAATTCACATTTATTGTGTCTAGGATGTGGTGAACAGTTAATTATTGCCATTAGGATATTTTAAAGTTAAAATAATGAATATAAACTTTTATATTTGTTCATATACACCTTTTTAGTATTGTATTATAATATATTTTAATATATACTTTATTAAAAACCTATATATACCTATGTGTATAGGCTATATTAAAATATATTTTATAATAGAAAGGTATAAACAAATATCAGTATTAATATTAGTGTAGTTTATACTGAACAGGTATAACCTATAATTAAATTGAAATGCCTGTTTTACTTGCATTTTTGTTATTTTAGCACATATGTTTCTTTGTGTGACCTATAATTGCCACACAGCTCACAACACATTGATTTAGAATAAAATCTAGGTGTTTAATGGGTGAACTCTCACTAACCTTAAAACCACACATTCAGACATTGTGCAATTACAACCATATTATGTAGTTTAGTGCAAAAGGATGAATAATGGCTAAGTTCGGGGCTATTTACTGTGCTGTTTGCTGTTTGTTTACTCTGTAAAGCCATCAGTTTCTCCCTCAAATTGCAGAGAAACATTATGAAGAAAAATGTGCACACAGTCTTTCCCAAATACCATAGAACTTTTTTATTACTTAATGTGTTGTTGATTTATGTTTTGTGCAGCACTTTTAGTATTTGGAGCAGCACTTTTACTATGTTGCAGATTCCAGGGTGTTTTTCATGACCGTTTATGGATTTATGATTGTTTGGATATTGGATTGACTGAAAAATGAATAAATCTTAATAATAATAATGTGAAAATAATTTCCTTGTTGTCTATGGGTTGTATGCATGACTGTGTGAAGCTGTACTATGACTCATAATGTGATTTGGGATAAATCCATGGTACTTAATAACCATGGTTTAGCGGACCGTGAGCTTGACCTGTTTTATTTGTAGGTTAATAGGCTGTGAATTAGGGTGAGGACCTTTTGTTACAGACAGCTGATACCTGTAATGAATGAACACAGAGTGCAGTCAAAGGTCTTAATCTAAATATAAGGCTTACAAGCCCTAAAGGCTCATGGACCATCTGGTTTCCACCCCCATTGAACTTGAAACATGAAGTCAAACAAAGTCATGTCAGATTTTTCAGGCTGTGCTGATTGACATAATTATTTAGGTCTATCTGTTTTATTTCGGAAAGTGGGCTAGGCTACAGTTCTTTGGACAAAGTCCCTTAAAGGGTTAGTTCACCCAAAAATGAAAATTAGGCTATGTCATCATTTACTCATCATCATGTCATTCCAAACCTGTAAGGCATTCGTTAATCTTCGAAACACAAATTAAGGTATTTAATGAAATCAAAGAGATTTCTGTCCCTAAATTGACAGTTATGCAACTAACACTTTGACGCTTCAAAAAGTTAATAAAGAGATCTAAAACTAATCCATATGAATTGAGCAAGTCGCTTGGTGGCCATCTTGGCCACGCCTCCAGAAGGCTATTTCAAGTCAAGCACAGCTCCTTCTGGAAATCTCAAAGAAAGTTTCTTGGAGGAACGCAAAAGTTTTGCAAGGGAAAGCAAACATTTTGCAAGCAAACGCAAGTTACTTCTGCGAGCAAATGCATTTTCGTGGGGGAACGCAAATGTTTTGCGAGCATAGCCCATGCAAAGTTTATTGGGGAAACGCAAATGTTTTTGAGTGAAAGCAAAGGTTTATTGAGCGAACGCAAAATGTCTTGGGGGAACGCAAAACTTTTGTGTTCAAAATTATTGAAATATATTTTTTCCATCACCATGTACCTTTAGGGGCTCTGTACGATTTTCTTTTAATCTTAAGTGCTGTCAATTTGATTAACCACGATTAATCACATCTACCGTATAAGTTTTGTTTTCATAATATATACATATATATATATATATATGTGTGTATATATATATATTACATATACTGTATGTCTGAGTGTGTGCATGTCTGTTTATATATGTGTATATATATACATGTATATATGTATATATATATAAATATATATGTGTGTGTATATATATAGTATACACACACAGACACACATACTATATATATAATATAAATATAATAATATATATATACACATACATATTATGTACATTAAACAAATCTTTTATGTTATGCGATTAATCGCAGTTATTCGATTTGACAGCACTTTTATTTTTAATTTTAGAGTAGTACAAGTAAAATAAAACAGTAAATACTTTAAAATGCCGATAATGTATAGTAAATATATTTCTAAAGTATAGTAGAGTAAAATAAAGTAGTGTAGAGTAAAAGAAAGGACTTTTTTTAGTAGAGTAAGGTAGTGCTTTAATGTCATAATGTACAAGTACATTGTCGTTGTTATGCATATTGATCTCTCATTGTGTTTACTAAGAGGCGTCATTGTTTGCCTCACTCAAACTGACGTGTTAAGCACATCTCAGACTGAGGTATGTGTGAAAACATATGACTCGTCTCGAGGCCTCTCCAGTGGAGCTTCCTCGCCATTTGTAAAGAGCAGAATGGATTCCGTCAGTCTGCATTGTGCCAGGCAGAATGGGCTCAGTGGAGCCTGGCAAAGAGAGGTTTTTTTTTTTGCGCTGTGGGCTTTGGATCCGGTGCTGTCCATTCCACTGCCAGCGCTGCTCGCTGCCTCCCAGCTCGTTGCTACGGCAACCGGACCAGGCCAGCATCTGAAAACAATTTGGTTCTTAATGAGAATTTACTTTGCGCAAATGGTGGGAAAATTGGGGGTGGGAGAGAGAGGAGAAGGGGGAAAAAAGGAAGGAAGGAAGGAATGAGGCGCCTGGATCTTGCATACTTGTCATGTACTTCTAAGGCATACTGGAGGAACCGAACATGTACTTTTTTTCCGTTGCATATTTCTTTAAAATTCCGCTTACTTTCTTTAATTAGTGCAGTATGAGCCCATATAAAATGGACCCAAAAAATGTAGAAACATTTGTACAAAAAGTTAGTACCCAATCCCGAATGAGAAACAGCTCTAATTTTTCATCATTTACGTCACTAATGCCACTGATTTCTGAGTGCAACATTATATAATGTTTCTGTTGATGTCCTGTGTGTGTATAAGGGGCATTGAGCTCTTCTCTGGATGAGGAACGATGCCAGCTTCCACTGGGATCCCCCCTTTGTACCCATCTCCTTTTTCCCTGGTTTTGTTTGGACCCAGTCAGCCAGTAGCAAATTGTCCCAGCAGAAAGGGCCAATCTGGTTGGACTGTGGCAAGAGAGAGGGTCCCTACAGCAAAATTAACTGTTTGTCATTGCCAGGGTCTGGTTGTACCACCTTAACATCAGCTCAGAGGACCTGGTGCCACTAGATTACCAGAGAAGAGGTTGAGATAGGCGTGAAGGGGTGGGAATTTGGGGTTTCTTTGGACCAATAAATCAAATCACTGCTGTGACTTCGAAATTTGTCTTGGTGGGAACTAATTGGGTGAATGTCACGAAAACATGTCCGGGTCACATTTAACCGGCAAAATAAAAAATGTAGAAATTTTATTAGACATTATGCAAATGATGTATATATTCTGTTAAAAAAAAATATATAGACATTTTCTAGACAATTGTTGACCTAAAGCAGGAGTACAGAGTTTAAAATGAATGTGAATAGATAATTTGGTCTAAGAAAAAAATTATATTGAATGTTTATGAGACTTTTGAGTGTAGACTTGGAGTCTGACTGAGCACAGTTTGAGACATTGTCGAGATCTCTTTTTAAACTCTAGATGAGACAAATATCTCAATTTTCTCTGCCTTCAATCAATGGTGTCTGGGAGAAACAATTAAGATATTTGCTTCTTTTAGCTTCTGCTTGAAGAAATTCAGTTTATTACCAAGTTTGTTTTCTTAGCGATAAATTATTAGCATACATGACATAGTTTATCTTCTGTCGTTATCATTATTAATTAATTCATTACATTTGAATAGATAGACATTCTTCTATCTATTCTAGGGAAAAGGGAGATGGGTACAAAGGGGGGGATCCCAGTGGAAGCTGGCATCGTTACTCATCCAGAGAAGAGCTCAATGCCCCTTATACACACACAGGACATCAACAGAAACATTATATAATTATGACAGGAATGTCCAGTTTATTATATAAAACCAATACAAAACCCCCTTTTCCTCAGTCCTCTCTGCATCCATACAAATACCTACAAACAAAAAATAGCTGATAATGCCTAGATCAGTTTAAATAAACCAATAACAGGAAGAACACCCCCTGTTTCCTATTCCTGTGCTCCGGGCATGAATATTCCCCCAGTGGCCACTGCCTTCTCCCACGATTCTCAGTGGGAAGTGTCTGGCTCTTTGCGTACGTCGTCGCTGTGAGGCAGACGTGTCAGGGGAATACTGAAGAATGTCTTTTTTGGGGTCTGTTGTGTTTTCACTCCCCACCTTTTTCTCCGTAATCCTCCCTCTAGGTTATACATAGCTGACAGCATGGAGCTCTGAATAGCTACTAATAACCAGTGGGACCAGAATGTAGAGGAAGAGAAAACATGTGCTTTCCACTGATCCAGAGTAGTGTGCATGTCATGAAGTCATGTGACCAACTAACAACACTTGTAACCTTCAAATCCTCACGAAATGCCCCAACTTACGAGTTTGGACTTGATAATAATGATTTGCATTCAAGCAACGTGTGTTCAGAAAAATTGGCCATTGGGGAAATTTCAGCTAGCCTTTTCCCAGGTAGAATGTGACGTTCCCGCGACCATGGGTAACGTTTCCTAAAAGTTCTCTAAAGGTGACGAACATTCCGAACCTTTACAGAACATTAGGGACGTTCCTGAAACGTCCTCTTTTGTTAATGAAAGTGCTGCAGTTCAACGTTCCTTAAATGACTTTAGGGGGACGTTCCGTAATGGTAATCTTATGGTCACAT